TCTCCCTCTACTTCCTCTCCCTCTACTTCCTCTCCCTCTACTTCCTCTCCCTCTACTTCCTCTCCCTCTACTTCCTCCCTTTCCTCTTTCTTCTCCTCCCATGAAATTGGGGACTTAGAGTTCATGGAAACGTACGAGCCCAATTCAATGAACTCTTCGGCGACCATATTAGTCGTGGAATTCGTTACCTCCACGCCTCCCTTCCCGAAAATGTTACCGAGGTGTACCATCACTCAAATTGGCAAGGGCTCGTGGAACCTTGAAACCTGTCAAAAAAAGTTGATAATCACCACCAAGAAACAAGACCCAGTTACAACCGAAGAGGCATTATCCAACCAAGAGCCATCGAATCAGAATGGGCGAATCGCCCGACACGCTGTTTACAATTCAATTCTTGGGGTTGACAGAACTAAGAAGTGATGTTGACGGGAATTCCGAGATCCACGCACCAGCCACATGCTGAGCCACATTACAGCACCGCCACTCTAGTATAGCGGCTCCTGCGACAGTCAACTGCCGAAGCCTCAAACAGTCTTCGTATCTGTGGTCTCTTTCTCAACCAACGCCTCTTCAATGGCTCTTTCAGGCTTTTCAGACTTTACAGGCCAATAGCAGATAGCCACGATAAGAGCCGCACCTCCCAGAACGCCAGTCAAAAGCCAAAACGCGTCCCGGTAGCCTTCCATGGATGCCATAACCACACCATGCATGTCTACCTGTTTCGCATTGATCAACGCATTTGCTCCCGCAAGGAGCACACTTGCTCCAACCTGATAAGCAGTATTGAAAAGAGCGCTCGCCACAGCATGGTTTCCAGCCTCGACCTGACGAAGCAAGATGCTTTGCGCAGGTACCATGGCGACTGGGCTTCCGCAGACGAAGATAATTGCAGCCACGATCGAATACCAGTATCCTTCTCCGTGTGCGGTTCCTCCTGCGCGCTCGGGTGTCGCGAATACCCAGGCAACACCGCCTGCAGCAGTGATCCCGAGACCGATGACGAGGGTTGCTTTTTCTCCGATGAACTTGACCATTGGGGTTGAGAGGCCGCCACTAACGATGGCGCAGAATGCGCCTGGCTATGTTCACAATACTTGTCAGTCGATTGCTTCTATGATAGATGACTCTTCGGTGCAGAGTCTGATTGGGGTGATTGCTCACCAAAAAGTATACTGCGGTCAAAACTGGGGTATAGCGAAGTAGGTTCACGCAAAGCTGGGTGGTGATGAAAAACCACGAACTGAAGCTGCCGCCAAAAGCAAAAATAGCAACCAACATGAGGAAGAAGGGCAATGATTTCCAAACGTATTTGGGAACGGCCGGGTTGGGAACTCGTTTCTCAACGACAATGAAAGCCAGAAGGAGACAGACGCCCAGTATTATTCCAACGAGAACAGATGGTGCTGACCAGCCAAGTCTGGAGCTGTCATTGAGACCATACACCAGCAGAGCGATACCTGCAGTGAACACAACTGCTCCTATCACGTCGATTGGTACATTCTCTCGAGAGAACTCTGGAAGAAAGAGACATGCCAGAACCGTGGAAAGAGCTGTGAGGATGAGGCAGAGCCAGAATATCGATCTCCAGCCAGCAGGGGATGCTAATCATCATCAGTTTACCATATCCACAGGGCTTCAACATTTTATCAAGTTATGCTTACATGCAAGAAGGGAACCAACAACTGTGCCAATGGTTGATCCCAAAGGAGCACAAGCAGTATATATCGCCAGTGCTTTATTGCGAGCGTCACCGTCTTCAAACTTCCGGCTCAAGATGGCCAGGCCATTTGGAGCCTGTTGGACATGTCAATAAGGCCAAAATACGATGAGCTGGGCCAACAGATACTCACAGTCAATCCAGCCCCAATGCCCGAGATAGAGCGACCAGCAAGCAGAGCAGCCTTGTTGGGAGCAGCAGTGTTGATGATGTTTGACACAGTAAGAATTCCCGTGCCAGCAATAAAAGTTCTTTCCAGGCCATGTCTTTGACCCAGCTGGCCCCCAATCAGAAGGAATGACGCAAAGGTGATATTGTAAACAATCAGCACCCAGTTGATATCTTCAGGGGTGAAGTTCAACGAGCTTTGGATGTCGGGGAGGCCGAAGAGAACGGCAGAAAGTTGGAAGAGATCCAAGAAGTTTACCAATGTGGTTGTGAGAAGAATCAGCCCCAAGTCCGCTTTATGGCTCATCCTCGCGCCAAGGTGGTATGGCGGTTGCCATGTTCGTTTGGCGGTCATGATTGTTGCACTGTGATGGGATATGTGGGAGTATACCAGAGGCAAAATCAAAATGGTAAGGTAGACGGCCAAATTCAATGAAATATCGGATTCAGCCAAACCAACAATTGTCTATTGGTAGAATCCTTTCGAGGCACAGAATAAATTTGATTTAATTGAGCTATTGTTGGGTGTTTTCGGGCCTAGGCTTACATGAGTTAGAGAGGCTAGACTGCGAGTGAGTACCTTTGGAAGAAGAACTCTACGGTTGCTATTTGTGATCTGCAGCGTCTGGTCTTATGTGCATCATTGCCCAGCCCCAGATGGCGAGAAACACAATATTTAGGACTACTATAATGGTGAGGACTCGGACCGGAGACTATGTCGGAGACTATCTTTCTAAAGGGCTAACCAAATTGATCTACAACACCCATTGATGAGTTCGATCCACTCTGGAGAATTGGGTTTTTAGCTTTATTTCCAACAGAATAGCCATAGTTATTTTGTAAGCTTGTCTCTAATGCCAGGATGCATCACACGAAGAAAGCATTTGAAATTTTGAAATCGGTGCCATTGATTGGTAAGAACGGAGTCCACAATACTAAACAAAACCAATCTAATTGCAGTTCAAGATGGTCACAATGATTGGCCTCACCTTATACGTGGATTCTACGACAATTGCCTAGACGACCGATTCCAGCGTGGAAACGACTTAGCAGGTCATGTTGATATGAAACGCCTCAAAGAAGGGAAGTCAGGCGGGGCCTTTTGGAGCGTCTATATTGATTGGTAAGATTTGGTTATTCTCCTGTTGAACATAGGCATCTAATGCAACTGCAGTCCTGAATCAGACGACTTTACCAACAATGCAGCCCATTTCGAAGCTCTCCGAGACACAATGCAGCAGATCGATCTTGTGCATCGCCTGATGGATCTGTATTCAGATGATATGGGAATAGTTCAAGAATCATCGGACATCATGCGGTTGTTCAAGGCCGGGAAATTTGCAAGCCTCATTGGAGTTGAAGGCCTTCATCAGATTGCAAATAGTGCCAGTGTGCTTCGCATGTACCACAAATTGGGTGTGCGCTACATCACTCTAGCTCACAACAAGAATAATCTATATGCAGATAGCGCTGTGAGTTGCTGAATTCATATGCTCTGTCTACGAAGCTCACATTAGCAGACCTCGAGCTCTCCAGCACACGATGGTCTCTCTTTGCAAGGAGTGCAGATGATTCGGGAGATGAATCGGATAGGAATGTGAGACAGCTGATTACTATGATGGGATTAATTCAAGACTACTAACTTGAGGTAAAGGATTATCGACCTGTCGCACACGAGCGAAGCAGTGATGCATCAAGTACTTTATATTTCTGATGCGCCCGTCATCTTCTCTCATTCTGCGATGTAAGACAAATATTTCTTGATCTGATCTCGCTTACTTATCTTCTTTTGATACAGAGCATCAATTGTTCCCCACGTTCGGAATGTTCCCGATCTTGTCTTGAGGAAATTGAAAGCCAATGACGGTGTTGTCATGATAACCTTCATCCCGTCTCTGATTTATGAAGACACCCAGAAATCCAGTGTTGATCACGTTGTTGACCATATCATCTACGCTGGCGATCTTATAGGTTATGATCATATTGGGCTGGGATCAGACTACGACGGCATGTTTAGTGCCGTTCACGGTGTTGAAGACGTGACTAAATGGCATGTGCTGGTTTCAAAAATGCTTGAGAGAGGCATCTCTGCGCCGAATATTGAGAAAGTACTTGGTCTCAACATTATTCGAGTACTGGGCAAAGTCGAAACTTGTGCTTCACGATTGAAATGCAACTCCAAGCCGTTGGAAGACAATGTGAAGCAGCTTTGGAATGACAATTTCAGGGCTATGGTGGAGAAAGTCTATCCAAATGCTGAACAGAGTCGTCGAAACAAGGTTATAGAGTAAACTGATTAAAATACCGGGTCTTTAGTCCATCGCCTCGTCCCCAGATGATACTATGGAAGTAGTCATGGTAGAACCACATCGTCCATAGCAAACAGTCGAATACTATCAAAAACCATCTTGGTACATTTCCATCTTCATTCTTGAAATAATGCACCCCCGTCTCAATATAACAAGAGACTCTTTGCCAGAAAATGTTGAATAGCCATTTTCCGGCTTTGAATCGATATCCAATGGGGCGGATGAATGTCGGCTGAGAGAGAAGCCTCTCTTGGTAAGTCGTTGGGAGTGAGTGCTCTTCTGCGCCTCGAATCAATAGTCCCTGGAAACTCAGTATCGGGATCTTCTGCACTGGAGCCAAGGTAAGAATAGTACCATGTATCGCCCAGAGGGGAGTCTTTCATATCCCACAGGAATATCATGTCTCGCCAGCAGGGTAGTGACTGGGATGGCTGCAGAATCACTTTCCAAAGTCGCAGTGAGAGGTTCTGCTGTGTATGCAATGCCACCACTTGATCACATTAGCTTGAAGATCTGCCATACTGGTCGAGGAGGACATACCCCTCGCTCAATATTACTTGGTGCATATCTTTTTCAGTTAAAAGGTATGCAACCCCGTACACTGGTATGTCTCCAGGCTCTGCTTTCTGAATTCCACCCATAGCAGGCTCAGTGTATGGCACACCCATGACATTGAAGCATAATTTGTGTGTTTTGATGCTTGCAGATTCGTGGCGCAAGGGGCTGATTCTTCTTCTTTTGACAAAGACGTCAGACACCATATTGGAGCCGTATGCGAAGTACCATTGATTATTCTCTGTCATTGTGAGAGCGTAAGAGCCTGATGTTGAAGGGTTTTCAGCTTTAATTCGTGCTTCCAGGCACAGTATGACCCTCCACTGGGTCTTGGTATCAAGGGTTAGTTGAAAGTGCAGCCATGCAACAACTTTAGAAAGATATGTAGTTTTCATTTAATCTCAACTTACGTCAAAATATTAACCAGTCGAGTTAGTTTCGCGCTCACTGTAATTTGTTTATCAAGATCAACCTTGGTAGCACCGGCGAATTTCCGACTGGTACCTTGGGGACCTGCAAGGCCTCGAGTGTATGGCTCTCATTCCCCACCAGAAAATCCTCCCTGCCCAACTCGGTTAAAGGTCAGATCTCAGTATTTCTCTTCAACTGGTGCTGTCATGGTACCTCCGTTCTATCAAGAGTGAAATTGAAGAGTCTGCTTGGTAGGAGCAAGAGCTGGCCCTGGCTTAAAATGGGCGCAAATTTAGCATAGAAGTAAAAAGTTAACTTCTTCAAGTATCAATGCTGGCTGCTGACGTCCCCAGCGGTTTGGTGGATCTGGATGTGTTCTGCACTGGCACTCGGGTTTTGCGGACACTGCAATTGCCCTGAGCGGTTATTGTGTGGGGAATAGTTGTATATCCTTGTGGAGTGAGGTACCCTCGAAGACGTGGGCTATGAATTGGTCTTGATTTGATGGGAAAGTACTAGTAAGCATGAGATGTAAGCATAGGATATCCTTAGGCTTGATTGTTTTCTGAATTCAAGTTAATTGCACTTACAGAACACATTGGACGTGATGTCTGCGAGCGTATCCGGCCACACAGAGCCACGGTCTCCCAAAACTCGAAAAGAGCGAATTCAAGATTCAAACCTTCGTACTTCTTGTGATGGATGTCATGCAGCCAAGATTCGTTGTAGTGGTGGGACACCATGCACACGCTGTGCGCGAGAGTGAGTTTCCTCCGTCCCTGCCTCATTGACACCTACTGAGACATTTCAGCAATTTGAACTGTCATTACAGCCAAAAGGCAAAGATTGGAAAGCCAAGAGGCAGTCTGAATAAAAAGACCATTGAACGATTGCGACAGATGAAGGAAAAGCAGAGATGTGCGCCTCAGACGCCGCCATCAACTGCAGGCTCCATGGACGTCTCGGAGACGATACCTCCACTCCCAAGTTGCGGTTCAGAATCAAACACTACGATCTCACCCAAAGAGAGTAATGGACATACTCTTCATACTCCGCCCAATTTCGCTCTGGGCTCCCCAACGTTCCACGATCTCATCTTCCCCGAAGTTTCGCAGATGGAGAGCTGGCTCCCTGGGCTGACAGACCCCATTGCAAATGTGAGATCTGAATGTCGAATTAGATGGGCGTAGAGCTAACAAAAATCAGACTCAGGACACAAATCCGCCCGATATATCAAGTGACTTCAGTTCCTAATGAATCTACATTCCTAGCAGCAAACTAACCAGCTCCAGAACAACCCACACACCAAACATATATGAGTCCGACAGAAAGCCACAATTCAACCGCCTTATACAAACCCTTCCTCGAATCCTTCAAGGAATCCCAGTCCCACGAACCCTCATTCTTCCCAATAACAGACAGAACAGAAAGAATATCCCAAACCTGCACCTGCTTCCCAACCCTAAGCCACCACCTCTGCACCCTCCAAGCCAATTCATCAACAATCCACTCCCAAGCCCTCGACGCCCTCCTCATCCAATCCCAGCAAATCCTCCCCTCCATCTGCAGTCTCGCAAAATGCCAAGCCTGTCTCCGCGATACACAGACCCTCTTCCTCGTCACCATGATCCTGTCCAGACTACTCAAGTGGACGCACGCCTCCATCTGCACCTGCGAGACGCGCTGCGTTTCCGCCGATATCCGTCTGGGCCAGTATCAGGCTCCGGGGGGAATGGGGCTGGTGGTGACCAAGCTCCTTATTCAGGCATATCTGGATGAGTTTGAGAAGGCTGTTGAGGTGTTTGAGGGGACGGTGAGTCGGGTTGGATGTGGGGATGATGGGGCTTATTTGGCGCTTCAGGCAAGGAATTTTCAGATGGAGGTTAGAGGGTTGGTGGAGAGGATTGCGAAGTATATATGAAATCCTGGGGAATGATTACTGGTCCTTAGGGCTCTGGGCCGACCGTGATTTTGTCCGATTTACTTGAACATTACTCAAGCGTCGTCAGTTTACTGCCATAATAAGAGTATAGAGACGTATGTTATGGAGACCTTGTCGACTGCCTTGAAGAATTGACTGAGATGCACTGGGACGTGGGCACCACGTAACCAGGAACCTATCTCAAATTGGTTTCTATGTCTTTAATTCAACAGGAAGCGAAAAGAATGAAAACATTAAATTCTAAAGATAAAAAAAAAAAAAAAAAAAAGAAAAAAAAAAAAAAAAAAAAAAAAAAAAAAAAAAAAAAAAAAAAAAAAAAAAAAAAACGATGCAGCGTTCTCAGGTTACTGGACGCGACTGGGATAGATCCAGCATATTAGAAGGATGTCGAAAGGGGATGTAAACAGCAGTAGAACTTTAGAATAAAAGGAAAACTAACTGGGAATAACTTCAAGCCAACCTACAACTTTAGAAAAGAACAAGATACTAGGGAAGGAGTTGGAACTACGAAAGCTAAAGAGATATGAACTACAACAACAGAACAACAATACAAAGTATAGTAAATAGCATACATAGGGCTGGTCTTAGCTTCATCCGTTAGGACTACTGAGCCTCAACACCACGACAAGGTGCCAGCCACGTTGAGGAAGGCGGCAGAAGAAATGGCCTCAAGCCAGGACATGGAAGACCATGCCCCGACAAGAGATAAATGGACCAGTGGTCACGGCTAAATGCAGAGATGAAGGAGCTTTAGAAGTAGAAGTAGGAAGATGACGTCCATTAGATGAAGGACAAGAAGGATAAATGACGCAGTGAAGAAGAAGAGGGGGCCCGCGGCAAGAAAGAGAGAGAGAAGAGTTGAAGAAGAGAAAAAAGAAATGAAACAGGACGGGGGAATGGCGGGTTTATATACTCGGCCCAATAAGCTTTGCTCGTTGCCCAGAAACACCGCTGCGATGAGTTCACGATGACTTGTGTTTACTTCAAAATTGCCTGATTGGGACGACGTGGACGTGTGAAATGCGAAAACAGAAGGTCCGGACGCGTGAAAATGGGCCATGACGGCGTGTCTGGGAGAGGTGATTTAGGTGAGAGATGTGGAATAGGGCTGGATGGGGTTCGAGAGGAGGTGAAATCGATGTAGTATGGTATTCTATGGCCACAAATGTATGAATATAGCTGTAGATGCGTGATTTCGGCATGCGGGAGAGTTTCAGAGCTGTGATCAACAAGAGTGGATTTGCACAGTGTGGACTGGAGACATCTTCAACATGAGAAATAGGAAGAAATTCATTAGATGTCGTAGCATCACAGCCCGTGGTGCAGAGAGACCGGAATCAGCTCATCAACAGGCAAGACGCGTTTCAAAACCAGTGAAACAGTCTTCCCTGGTCTAGAGGGGCTGGCAGGCCCCAAAGTCTTCTAATAGTGGGAGCTTCACGAACCGGCAAAAGCAGCCTCGCGCAATACATTGCGTCGCGATACGGAGTGTTTTCGGAGTTTGATATGGAATGGGACTTGAACGGGTACCGGCCCGGGCATACATGCGCAGTGTTTCACGATATTCAGAAAGCATTTAGATATTGGAAGGCAGTATTTGGATGTCAAGATTTTGTTACTGTCCATGCGAGATACGCGGCAACCAGATGCCCACTATATGGGTATGCAATTATGAGGACGACCCAAGAAATTGGGACGATAGTGTACGGGAGTATATTCAAACAAATACTGTTGTTTACAAGGTTGAAAAAGGGTCATCACTATATGATGATGGATTATAATGGGGGCCCCAGGCTCTGCTTGGGGGCGAAGCCCTAAATTTACCCTATGTTGGATCGGTGTTGATCGGTGAATGCATGTTTTAGAATATATACCTAGGTATATTTGACCCAAGGTGGTGTTTGAGCAGATGATGATCAAGAATGAATATGATTGGATAAAGTTTTTGGGGGAGGGTGCCCTCTATAACATTGCCCCCAAAAAGTTGAGACTTGAGACTCAACTGTAATTCCCCCTTTGGGGGAAGTTTTGATACAGGAGGAACCCGCAGAGGGCGGGAGGGAACCCCCTCCGATAGGAGGACAGCGCAGTCTGCATCCCGAAGGGGTTAAGCCCGGGTAACGGTACCGTAAATACGAGACTGAACGGCTGTGTAGAGACCACCGCCTACCTAATAGCGTAGTATGCGCTAGCAGTCTTGGCAAGACTGTGAGACTAGCGGCAATTACCCGATAGGGGAATACCTAGCACTACGTGCTACCTGTGGACGTCACCACGTGACGGTATCAATAAGATAAAAGGAGGGGAGTGCCCCTTCATGAAAATGCATATCATTTTGAGCACGAAATGTTCGGTCGATACAAATCAAGCCGTGTGAACGCGCAGTCGGAGACGTCTTCTAGGGCAACTTCTTCCAGAAGTGGAAGAAGCACCACGGTGACTTCAGTTGACAATAAAAGGGAAGTACCCCTTCATGAAAATGCATATCATTTTAAACAAAATATGTGCGGTCGATACAAGCTCTACCCTGTGAGCGTGCAGTCGAAGACGTCCTCTGGGACAACTTCTTCGAGAAGTAGAAGAAACACCACGGTGACTTCAGTTGACGATAAAGCACGGCTCCATCACCGATGGGTTTTTTTGACCTACGCTCGATGCTCACTCGAGGTCAAAGACGATTTCGAAGAGGGCTTTCGCGACATGCTACAGCGAAACAACTTCACCCATGCGACGTATTACGGTTGCCGAGAGCAACACGCAGGCGAAGGGATCCATTACCATGTACTGGTAAATTTTGATGAACAACGCAATTGGAGTAACAAGACCGCGCGTGAGCGCCTCAGCGTGGCGCACAATGAAGGTGATTCGTTGCACATTTCAACACGAAGGGCGGAGCAGCCCATTGGCCAGTTCATCGACAACCACGTGAAGTATTGTGAAAAGGAAGGCGACTGTTTCGGGGTCCACCCCCTCGCATCTGTTGAGAAACAGGCTAAGCGGAAGCGAAAGTGGGAGGAAATCGGAACGCAACCAACGGCACCAGCGAAGCTTGCCAAGCTGAAGAAAATATAGCCGTAGATGCGTGATTTCGGCATGCGGGAGGTTCCAGAGCTGTGATCAATAAGAAGTGGATTTGCACATCTAGGACTGAATGGATACATCTTCAACATGAGAAATAGGAAGAAATCACCTAGGTATCATTAGATGTCGTAGTGAGCCCGTGCAAGGAGAGAGGCCGGGATAAGCTCATCAACTGGCAAGACGCGTTTCAAGAAGTGAAACAGTCTTCCCTGGTCTAGATGTACTCTAGTAACAGCATGACGTGAGCATGACTTGGGGATATCGAAAAAACCACGCGAATCATCCAAGTATAGACAGTCTCTGGCGAGCAGGAAACGTCTATACCCTCCACGCTCTTCGGGCTCGCGTTCTATGGAAGAGGCCTTGCGTACATTTAACAGAAGGCACGGTGCCTTTTAAAAGGTGTCTACAATCACACATCATGACGAATGGGGCACGAGACGTGTCTATGGCGACTTGATACAAGAATCGGCGCAATATACGGTGAGATCACGGAGTGGATTGTTGTGAAACTTCAATACTGAGATAGCAAGGACATATGTTCCATGTAGCCCTGAAGATAGTACTATGAGCTATAGAAATAAAAATCAGTAAGAAACTGCAAACCCATGTACATTCGTCTACGGGACAGATCAGAATGCATTCACGAATTGTAAAACATAACAGAATGCAAATTTTGTAGATTGGGTATCATGATGTTGACAGAAAAAAATAATGTACAACATGCCTGCCCAGGTCGTGGCGCAGGTGGAGCTCGTTATGAGCGACGGATCAGGGTCGAGCATGGAGCCAGAGCCATGCTGCCCAGGTAATGAAGCGCACTGGACAAACAGCCAGGAGCCTGCTGACGGCATCTGATCTTTCTACATGAGCCTAGACCATGTATGCCCTCAGTGTTGGAGGAAGTGGCCAAGACACTTCCGAAATGATTGGCAAGAGCCCCTTGGGAGAAACGGGGCGCGAGATGGGGGAGCAGCTTAGGCGACCTTTCGGCCGACGTTGCCAATTCCACGTCCGACAACACTGACAATAACATCACCGTGCTCATTATCATCCGCAGCATCGCGGATACCCCAGCCAGGAGCACCGAACTTGGACAGATCGCGGGCGAGCTGGATCACACTAGGATCCGCAATCACTTCCCGGCCGACTTGCAGACGACCCACGTCTTCAGAACCCATGGTCATAAGGGTGAACATGGTAGCTGCGGCAGCTGGGGCGACGCAACCGCCCTTGGCGACATTCTCCAAAAGTTGGTATGCGCACTGCTTTCCAATGTCCTCTGGGGCGGTACCACCTGATGGCGGGGAGGCCACATCGGCCGAGAACAGACATCCGGTGGATGACTCCGCGACCAAAGAAAGACCAAATCCAAGACCGATCTTCCTCTTCGCTTGAGGGTTGGTCTTGTCCGGGGCAGGGATCAAGGGTGCGTTTGCGACGTCGGAGAAAATGTAAGTATCCGGGCTGAGGGGGTTGAGAATACCACGGGCAGTCTCGATCATACGAGCGTTGTTGGAGCCCGACACACCGACGGAGTATACAACACCGCGAATACGCTTGATGCGACCAGCGTTCATCAAGTGCAGAGTCTTCGGGAGGCGGACCTGGTGGCCGAACACGAGCTGCACTTCACCACCGCCTCCTCTCCCAGTGGGACCGGGGTTTGATCGCTTGAGAATACGCAGCTCAATGTTGTTGAAGATACCAAATTGGTTGTATAGAGGGAGAATGGCGGTTCGGACGCTGTCAACGGACATATCACCGGTCGGAGTGGAGGAGGTGATCACACCGGGTCCGGAGAAGAAGACTTTCATGGGTGCCTTGGCGAAAGGCGCCATCAGACAGAGGGGAATGAGGTAGTAGCTGAGACCGCGGTTGCAGTTCGAAGGAAGCTCGTAGTTGATCATGCCGCCGGAGGCTCCTGTGCCGGCAGTGCTGCCTGTGATCAAACCGGGCTTGTAGACCAGGATTGTTCCTGTGTAGGAGATCTCCACCTGAGATCCATTGGTGACTGCGTCCAAGAGACGAATGAAAGAAATTTCATGAGGAGCAAGACCTGGATTCGTAGGCGACGATGATCGGATTTGCGAGATGTGAATGGTGCGGCCGGTGAGAGTTGACAAGACCAGACGGTAGACCAGATTGTGATGGCCTGTAAACCGTAGAGGGGGTTGTGAGGTAGCCATGGTGTCTTGCGCGAAATTGCTCTGGATCTTGTCTCTGATCTCGGCTTTGGTGAAAAAGAAAAATTGGCGCAAAAAGGTTGTTCCAGTGCCGACTCTTAACTCCGTGGAGCTCATATCTCCGGGCATCAGATTGGATTTCTAACCTCACAACACTCTCACACCTTGATTCTGTACATCGAACCAGATCTCTTATTGAATCATTTTAGAATACCCACAATGCTCCCCCCAGCACTCAATATCCCAAAATGGTCAGTTCCAAGATGTCCCCCTCAAAATATATCATCACCCCACCTTCATTCACCGCGGGGACATGACACATCCTGCAAGTGACCACCGAGGCAACCAGTTAACCAAGACAGGCTGGAAGAGAATTCTCATCTCCTACAACCACCAGTCAATAATTACTGTGTCTATCACCCCTCAACACCAGCAACAGCCGGGTATACAGTCATGATAGTGGGCGGGCCAAATGCCCGAACAGATTTCCACATCAACACCACCCCAGAGTTCTTTTACCAATATCGAGGCTCAATGCTTCTTAAGACAGTCGATACTACAACAAACCCTCCCACATTCCAGGATATCCCAATTCAGGAGGGCTCGATTTTCTTGTTACCCGCCAACACACCACATTGCCCCGTGCGGTTCAAGGACACGGTTGGTGTGGTGATGGAACAGCCCCGGGCATCTGATGCAGTTGATGCAATGCGGTGGTATTGTCGAAAGTGCAAGGAGATTGTGTGGGAGAAGCAGTTTGTTTGCGTCGACTTGGGGACGCAGGTGAAGGCTGTTGTTGAGGAGTTCGCGGCTGATGAAGAGAAGCGCACGTGTAAGGCTTGTGGGGAGATTGCAGCTTCTAAATATGCGGATGGTGAGATTGTGCAGCCGCCGAATGTCCTGGCTTAGTAGTAGGACTGGACTGTATAATACCTGGGCATGGGGTGATGGTGACGAGTGACGAATCGAACATATGAGAACAAGTCGGAACATGATTGAAATACTGACAATTTCATGAACATCACACTTCTCGAGTGAGTCTTGAGTGCCCCAAGGACCATCAACCAGTACTGCTGTCACTGGCTGGCCACCTTGGGAACGTACCGAATGCTCTACCTCTTTGTGTACATGTGTACATTGCACTGTAGATGCGAACTGCAAATCTTCAGAAAATGAGATACTGGTATGAATATGGACTGTATACACCTCTTGATTACTGAGGGACCTATTTATTACAGTGTGCAGTGTACAAGAACCACCTCCAAGCCGAAAGAGAAACACCCCCAAACCACTAATGCGTCGCCATGCTCGTATATCTAACAATTCACTCATCAAGAGGACAGTCAATGCTTTCGTGGCCATCTCGCTCACAAAGAGCACACCACTTGGTCTCATCAATGACACCAGAGGACTTGCCCGCAATAGGCGCCATGGACGATCCAAGTCCACCAATGCCCTTGAGTCCTTCCATCACCACATCCTTTCCAGTCTTTTGCGGTTCATCGTGATCCCTGGGTTGGAGTGGTGGTGTCTGTTCAATTGGTTCCTCGTCATCGTCAACAGGCTCCTGCGCTGGCTTGCGTTCGGCATTCTGACCAGAACCGAACATGCTGGTGCAGTTCAGGATGTCGTGGCCGCCTGTTTCGCAAATCTCGCACCACAGGGCGTCTTCGTCAGAGGATCGCTCGGACTCATGCATGGTTTCCAGGCGGGATTGGGAGGTGTTGGAGGGACCGCGGTTGTGACGGGGCTCGGAGGGAGCATCGTGCCAGTCTGGAGGAACCACAGTACGGTCTGAGAGACGGTGAGGGTTATCGTTAGAGTGGTTGGAGTGGTTGGAGATGTTGCCCGCAGAGTGGGTGGGCTTGTGTTGCTTAGGTGAAGGAGTGATAGTGGAGCTGCGGTTCCGGCCGGATTGAAGGTTCATTTCTTGTAGTTCGCGCTCAAGCTCTTCAATTCGAGTGTCCTTGTGGTCGGCGGTCTCTTCGAACTCACGGATGCGCTGCTCCAAATGGGACAAATGCTCTGCGTGATCGTCTGAGCCATGGTCTTCCTCTGCCGCAGGGTTTCCTCGGCTCAAAGAATGAATAATGGCCTTGAGCCCTCGAATCTCATCATCCTTCTGATCCAGTTCACTGCTGTTTCGAGGCCCGTCTGAAGTTGAGTGGGCATCTTTCAGCGCAGCGGCCGAATAGTCACGCTCCTTCTTCAATTCTAGCTTGGTGCGCTCGACTTCGCCACGCAGGAACTCAACCTCGGCCCTCGCCTCCGCTTCTCCGCGTCGGGCGTCTTCAAGTCCCTCCTCTAGTTCCGAGACCAGCTCCTCTAGTTGCTTGAGCTGCTGCGCGACAACCTCGACATCCTCACCTCGGTCTTGGAGCTCCTTGTTCTGTTGCATCAGCTCATCCAGTCGCTGCTCGTAAACGCGCTCGGTCTCAGAGGCGGCAATCTCCAATGTGTCGAGGGTGCTCCGGAAGTCTGCGCGGTGGCCATCGAACTCAGAGGTCAATTGAGTGATTCGCTCGTTGCGTTCCCGCAGCTGCGTACGCAAGGAGATGCCCTCCGATCCCTCCATTTCCTCCAATGTCTTCTGGAATTCGCTCAATGTCCCCGATTGCTCATCCAACTGCCTATCTCGGTCAAGCAATTGCTTTTCCAGAGCCTTGATTTGATCCCTCAGCTCCTGATTTCCTGATGAACTGGGCCGACGGAAATCCGAGGGCCGGCCATATGAGGAGTCATCATCGGCAGTGCTGAGCCGCGACGAGGGTCTATCCGACAGTCGCGAAGGGGCCTTGACCGGGCTTCGCTGGGCGCTCGTCAATCCACTCCGGGATGCCGCGGACGGTGTACGCAGGCCACTGAGGCTCAGCTTGGGGGGAGGCACGCGCGGGGATTCCGGTCGAGGGAGGGAGGGTCGTCGAACACGAGGACGAGGTGTCGTCAGGGCTGGTCCAACGGATTTGCTGAAGTTCACGGGTCCTCCGCGCCCTGGGGTCGTCGGGTTCGAGATGTTTGAGGTCGATCGTCGGGTGACATACTTGCTGTTGTTCATGGGCACGAAGATGCCTGACCCGGGGGTGGACGTGGTAAAGTACTTTCGGCCATCCACGTCGCCATTATTCTTCCCTCTTTGCGCGTGTTCCGAGCTCAATTCCACGCCCGCAAATCGACCTGGTTTCCCCGCCACTGATCCCAGGAATTTGATCGTCCCATACATACCACCGGGGACATTGACCACGTCCCCAACCTGCACATCATCGAAGGGCGCCATTGGAATATAAATGTAGATGTGAGTGTAAACGTAGAAAACGAGTGTTTAAATGAAAGTTTCGGGGGATATTAATAACCCCTGGAAGGGTCAAAGGGCGCGTAGCGGGTCTAATGCAAGGACGAGAGGTAGCCAACTCCCATGGCGAATAAGTAATGAGAGACAAAGAGAGAATTAGATCTCAGAGGAGAGATCGAGAGATCGAGAGAGTGGGATGTGAGGAAAGAGAAAGGGGGCAAATAAATGTGAGCTCCACCCGTGCGGTAGGCCAACTTCATCTCCGCATATATTGCACTCGTACACACAGCATACACAGCACGGAGTACACAGTTCGCTGTACTCAAGTACGAATTACACCTCGATCTTGGTTAACTGCGATCTCCCTACACTGGCTCCTACGACTCCTCCGTCCACCTCAGATCGCAGCCGCATCATTGACACGTTCGCATTGCACCATGGCGCAATACTTCTTCGACCTCTTATACAATTTCACGGATTGCATGTGCTGCTTTCCTAGCTCTCCACAGCTAAAGATCAACAATCGAAGTTTCAAGCTCCTGCGACTACTCGGCGAGGTAAGGCCCGATCCCCAACGCCAGCTGGCCTAACTAACACCCCCAGGGCGGATTTTCCTACGTCTACCTGGTCCAAGACAAATCCACCTCCGAGTTATTCGCCTTAAAAAAGATTCGCTGTCCATTCGGCCAGGAATCCGTATCGCAAGCTTTGAAGGAAGTGGAAGCCTATAACCTATTCAACTCCCAATCGAACATCATCCACTCGATCGACCACTGCGTCTCCACAGAATCCGGCTCCAAGTTCCGATCGGACGGCGGCGATCCAGGGTCTAAGACCGTCTACATCCTCCTCCCATACTACCAGCGCGGCAACTTGCAAGATGCCATCAATGCAAACCTGGTCAACCATACCAAGTTCCCGGAGAAGCGGCTGATGGTGTTGATTCTGGGTGTCGCGGATGCACTTCGCGCGATGCACCAGTACCGCGTTAAGAGTGGGGCGTCATCAACCCGCAAGGCTAAGGGTGTAAGGAGGGAAGGCGAGGAGGCAGATGCCGAACGGACAATGCAAATGAAACCAAAACGGCGGGCAAGTCAGCGTGCGGATGATGATGACGAGGAGAATGAACCTCTCATGGATGATGAAGTCACTCGTAGTCAGGAGGGTGTAGAGGATGGAGACCTGCGTCCCTATGCGCACCGAGACGTGAAGCCCGGTAAGTTCGGATGGTTGAGAGATTGGCTTGATATGGCACCAACTAACACGGCACAGGTAACATCATGATTGCGGACAATGGCCAGACTCCCATTTTGATGGATCTGGGCTCATTGGCGCCTAGCCCCATCGCTATTACCTCTCGTTCACTCGCGTTGGCAGTCCAAGATACTGCGGCTGAACACTCGACGATGCCATACCGCGCACCTGAGCTCTTCGATGTGAAGACCGGATCTATCATCGATACCAAGGTGGATGTGTGGTCACTTGGTTGTACCCTGTACGCCTGCCTGGTCGGCAAGAGTCCCTTTGAGGCACGCAGCGAAGAAACCGGTGGTAGCTTGAGCATGTGTGTTCTCGGTGGTGACTGGCGCTTCCCCGATGAGAAGTCCGGCGCTTCCAAAGGGAAGGCCAAGTCTGGCGAAGGTGAAAGTGCCAAGAGTGATGAGCCGGCTATCAGCGAGGCTGTCAAGGATGTTGTTCGCAAGTGTCTCACTGTGGAACCCTCTGAGCGACCCGACATTGGGGAATTGATGGAGCTCATGAAGGGTGTTATTGCGCAAATGCCCGAGGATGACGGCGCAGGTCCTTCTCACTAGTTAAATCCGGCAGGCTCCGTATTGTGTGTACAGTAGAAAGGCGAAGGCCAGATCAGTTTCTCAGCGTGATTGTTTTATTTACTCTTGCTCTTTGCCAATGATATGTTTGATTCGTCCTATCCAGCTCCAATGCCTCATTGTATAGATGTTCGTTCCTCGGCTTCGACCGAGCTCATTCTGGGTTCATCATGACGACAACCCTGCAATCATCTTAGAGACAACACAAAGACCTCAACTCATCCTCAATCACCATGAGCCACACGTTCAACGACCAAACCCTCGGGGCAGAGATAACCCGTCTCTTCCCAGAACGGGTCCAGGGCAAGACCTGTACACAACCCTCTCCTGAAGTCCCTCCAGGGCTGGATTGTAGACAGCTAACTCATCCCACAGTCATCCTAGCAGGCCTCAAGCGAGGCGAGCTAGCCGCAGCTACTGCGGATGCTCTCGCAGCAGCGCAGGCCTCCACGATCATTTGCACTGGCCATTGTCAAGCTGAGCTCCAGCCAGTCATCGACCACATCACTCGCAAATTCAAAAATGTAAACATGATCTTCGTCACTGCAGACACAAGCAGTCTTGCCTCCTTTCGTGAAGCAGGCCATGCAATCAAGAAGATTGGTTTGCCGATAGACGGATTCATTGGCTTTCCATCCGTCATGGCTGCACCATGGGAGACTACAACTGATGGATTCGAGTCGCACTTCCAAAAGAATTACCTCTGCTACTTCCTGCTCGTGAATATTATCCTGGACGTCATGGCGCCAGGGTCCAGAATCGTGCTGGTCACGTCCAGCATGCGGACTGAAGCGCCGGCGCCGACATGGGTGGATGTTGGGTTTTCGGTACGTTAGCTGTAACCGAAAGAGATTCTACTGACCAGCGCAGGGTGGGGAGGATTATCACTGTCTCGATGGATACGCGCAATCCATGCAGGCGGTCATTTTGTTCGTCAAGTCTCTCTCGAAAATGTGTGGGGGTCGATCGATTACTGCGTTTTCAGCCAATCCGGGAAGTAAGTGTTGACTCTTGGTCATACTTAAGTATTTGCAGCACTCTGATTTGAGTAGATACCAAGACCAACATCCAGACATATGTTACAAGGGAACAGATAGACACCTGGTTAGAGCGGAAGAAGATAGTTAAGTCTCTCTTGATTTCTATTGCCCCTTGTTCACCCCGGTAACCTCCTATCAGCGGGGGAAGATATCCCCGTTCTGCTCCAGCAGGCTCCTAAATCACTGGCCCAGGGGAGTGCGACTATCCTGCGGGGGCTACTTGATTCCGGCCTCGAAGGTGAGTGATAAGGACTTCCAATGAGATCAAGAGTGCTGATACTGTGTAGAACAGTCTGGGTCATTCTTGGATCATTGTCAGACCTCTCCATTGCCCCATCTTGACTTCCCGGCGGGTGCAGATAGTGCTGCGGCGTTGTGGGAGCGTAGCCAGGGATTTCTCCAGCAGTTTCTTTAGTTTCTTTAGGCCAAATGAGGAAAGGAATCTATCGAGTTGGGGTAACCCCATCTCATTCCGCACTCTGTCTTAGTACTTAAGTAGTAAGTTACTTAGACTAGAAGATAAGCGGAAGGGGTTCTCCGCATTGACCTTTTGACTTGTTCTTTTTCTTTTCGGAGTAAAGTAAATGGTAAGTGTTCGTTGAATTGAGTTGTCTATGGCCTGTATACTTAAGTACTATCTGCCACTATTGAATACTGTCTCACTGCCTCACTAAAACCCTAAGCAACTCAACAACTAAACAACTAAATACATAGTAAACCACTAAATAGTAACTAAAAGTCACAAATTGCGGGGAAACAGCCAAGCCGGCAGTGGAGCTTATCTGTGCCCTGTGAAGTAGTATTTCTTCCTAACCGATTGGTCCCTCCTCCCTTGATGATTTCATATAAACCTATAAGGCCTTTACTTGAACCCATATCCATGTCCACTCTACAACAGAGTCTGGTGACCCGTGCAATTGACTATTTTTGCTTTTTCCTCGCTACTTAGGTCCATCCGCAGAGCTGCAAACTGATGGCACCCATTATCGACAACACCGCCACTCCTGGCACGGTGACTCTCGTCGATGTCGACCATGTCATGGAAACGCGGCATTTGGCCCGCGGAGACCGCGATATTGTGCTGGTCCCCACGCCCTCCAATGATCCGGATGATCCACTCAATTGGAGTCCCAGGCGAAAATTGCTGTCGACCGTTTGCGTGAGCGTGTGAGTGTTCTATTCAAAATCCGATGCTCACAGGGTCCATCGAGAATAATCCACTGACCAGCGCAGTTACACATTATTTTCGGGAATTGCTTGTTCCGTTGTGTATTCGGTTCTTACGCCACTCCATGAGGCTACCGGTCTGCCGGTGAGTACCTTGAATGAGGGGACGGGATATATGTTCTTACTGGCTGGCTGGGGTCTGCTGTTCTGGCAGCCTTTTGCCATGCAGTATGGCAAGCGGCCGACATACATCTTGTCATTGATTGGGATCTTGGTGAGTCCTGGACCTTGTCTCAACTGAGTCTGCGCTGACCAGCCGCAGGGTGTGACAATGTGGGGGTAAGATATCCCTTACCAGATGAAACAAGGGATACTAATGTCGAACAGTCCGTATGCAGGCACAAACGGGCAATGGATCGCCAGAAACATTATCTCGGGATTCTTTACAGCACCCGTCGAAGCCCTTCCCGAGATTTCGGTCACGGATGTGGTGAGTCTGCCCTCAAACTCAATGAGTACTTCGCTGATACAAGAAAGTACTTCACGCACGAACGAGGAACATACATGGGCTTGTATGCATGCTTTCTAGCAGGCAGTAACTATTTGGCACCGGTAATATGTGGCTTCATTGCCGAATATCAAGGCTGGCGATGGGTCTTTTACTGGCCCAGCATATTCGTCGGCTGTGCGGCAGTCTTTCTATTTTTCTTCTGCGAAGAAACAAACTATGTCCGGCACCATGTCGATCAACCAGTACCTGCGCGGGTGGAGTCATCGACCACAAGCAAACACAGTGGTGAGCATGAGAAATCTGCCCCGGCTGATACCGAGGCTGCAGAAGTCGGTGCAGTTTATACAAAGAAGTCCTACGCGCAGAAATTGTCGCTTTTGGGGCCTCGCCAGGAACAAAATACTGTCTTTCGCAGGTTTTGGCAGATTTTGTATTATCTTTCTTGGCCTGTCATCTTCTATGCCGGGTATGTTCTTTTTCTGGCTACCTGACTCTTTCCCTGACTGCGGCTAATCTTGAACTAGCTTCTCATACGGATCATATTTGGTGTTCTTCAATATCCTCAATGGTACTGCGTCCATTATCCTCGGTGGATCACCTTACGGCTTCAAGTGAGCATTCTCCTCGAAAGACCCTACCCAAGCTAACCTGTCAAGATCGTCCATGGTCGGCCTCAGTTATCTAGCATGCTGCCTCGGTGTGGTCCTAGGATCCATCTTCACCGGCCGCTTCAGTGACTGGCTTACAGTCAAACTTGCCCGACGGAACAACGGAGTCATGGAAGCAGAACACCGTCTATGGCCTTTTCTCGCATGTCTCGTCCTGGTACCTGCTTCTCTCATCCTGTGGGGAGTTGGTGCTGCCCATGAAGTGCACTGGTTTGGCCTGATTGTTGCCATGTGTCTAATCGCCTTCACCAATACCTGTGGAATCACCCTGAGTGTCAATTACTTCATTGACAGCTACCGGGAGTTGAGTGGGGTGGCCATGGCCAGCGTGATTCTAGTGCGAAACACCATGTCCTTCGCTATAGGGTATGGAATCACACCTTGGATTGACAACATGGGATATCAGAACTGCTTTATCTCTGCTGCTTTCATTGGCATGGCCTGTGCATCTGTATTCCTGTTCATGGTCAAGTTTGGCAAGACTTTCCGTGAGCGTTCACGCGAGAAGTACTGGAAACTCGTGCAAGAGAATTGGGAGAAGGGAATGGGTCATTAAATACATCTCCAATAACATTTCTCAATTAACAGCATTACAATCAATCCTTCAAATGAATATCCCCCTCCTCATCATACCAAATCTCCCTCATCTTCACCGACCTCAAATGATCCACCCCCTTGGACAATTCACAATCATGATAAAACAACCACCACCTCCCCGCAAACTCAGCAATAGAATGATGTGTCGTCCACCCAAGCACCGGATCCAAAATCCTCCCTCGATACATAAACGGACCCAAAGGCGAAGACCCAGTAGCATAAGCCAGGAAATGGGTATCCCCCGTCGAATACGAGAAATAGTACCTGTCTCGATACTTGTGCATCCAGGCAGCTTCAAAGAATCTCCTCTCATGATCATCAGCCAACAATGGCTCCCCAGTTTCCGGCGCCAGTATTTTGATCTCCTGCACTGGCGATGCAAGACTTAACATATCTTCAGACAGAAGTGCCACACGAGGTCCTAGAGCTCGCACACCCTCCCCTGCTGGCTCATGGGGTCCAGAAAGCGATTCGTCAAAAGTAAGTCGTCTTTCATTCCCGTCCATGTCCATTTCAGCTCTTCCATTCCCCTCAACCCAGCATTGTAACTGACCACCCCAAATCCCACCTGTGTACAGGTATGCCTGATTTCCGACATCATCAACAAAAACAGCCGGGTCGATACTGTACGATCCAGCAAGGAAATTCTCTTCCGGAATGAAGGGACCTTCTGGTTGATCAGATACTGCTACACCAATCCGGAAAATATTCTCTTTATCCCGGGCTGGGAAAAAGAGATAGAATTTCCCGTTCTTGGTCGCAGCGTCTGGTGCCCATAGCTGTTTGGAGACCCAGGGGATGTCGCTGTCGCGGAGTGCGATGCCATGGTCTGTTACGGGGCCTCCTGGTGTTTCCATTGAGAGGACGTGGTAGTCTGCCATGTCGTATTGGTCCCCATTGTCGTTGAAGGGGATGGTTGTTTCCCGGTCGTGGGATGGGTAGATGTATAGTTTGTTGTTGAAGACGTGGGCTGAGGGGTCTGCTGTGTAGATGTGGGAGACGAGAGGTTGAGGCATGGTATACTTGCGTACTTAGGTATACTTAAGTATTTTTATTATTCCAAAGTTTGAATTAAGAGATTTAGCTGGAGTAGCTGGACTGGACTGTATTTATGGTGTTCTATTTAGCCTGTGAGTGCTGGGCATTGACTAGTATAGACTTGGGCGGCTAAAGTACCTCGGCGTCAGCTCCGTATTAGCCTGATCGGAGAAAGAAACTTGATATTAATGCTTTTGAGACCGATAATTATATACTGGAAGACCATTAAGTATGTGAGTGAATCACTTCTGACTCCAACGATGTCCCTGATCCCTCCAAGCCCGTCTAAGACCCTCCTCCCACTCCTGCTGCATTCCCTCTAGAGTTTCAGTCATTTCAACATCCTCCATCTCTGTATCCATCTCTGTATCCATTCCTACATTTTGATCCCGATCCTCCCAAGCCTCATAAACAGGCGACTCACAGCCCCCAAGACCAATAAACTGCCCGATTCGTCGCCGCTTAGTATCAAGATCCATCCGCGCCTCATATTTAGATCCAATCCAGGGCCGAATAGGGACTGGGTATTCAGCTGTTTCTCGGACAGGTGGCCAGACCTGGTGGAAGTGGCGACAGAGTGCGTCGCACTGTTCATGGGTGAGGAGGTTGTAGGCTAGCATTGTGGCTGGGAAATCTGGGTGGGTTTCACCTGTTACGCAGTTGACTAGTGGGGAGAGGCGGGCTTCGAGGTGTTGCAGGAGGGGGATGAAGTCTGGGTGGAATTTGACGGAGGGGGTGAAGGAGCTGGGGGCTTGGACTTGGGTAGATTCTTGTGTGTTGGAGATTGATAGACTGCGTTCGGAAATAGTAGTACTTGAGACACTTTGGCTAGGGGAAATGGGGCTGGTTGGGTTGTAAGGGTTTCGGTGGTTGTTCGCCATTGTAAATGAGATGTTGCAATTATACAATTTTGGAAGGTTGTAATTATATCGATGATGTTGGAAGCTTGAGGATAGACTATCGAGGAGAAGGACAGAGGCTTATATATTCAAAAAGGATGCCATTGTTAGAACAAAGCATCGTCGACAATAAGCTGAAACCTTTGTTGCCCGAAAGAAAACAATGCCTGTATCTATTGTAGCTATGTTTCGAAAATATCACTAGTCATTGTTCATAAATGAAAGAAAATGCAATCAAAGCGAGAGGTTGTTGACTTCGCCCGCCAAGTCCGGTTCCTCGAAGGCAGCGGGAAGACCAACATACTTGTTGATCCAGTTCAGGACAGTGCGATGCCACAACAGGGAGTTCTCAGGGTTAAGGACCCAGTGATTCTCATCGGGGAACGTCAAGAACGCACTTTCAATGCCTCGCAGTTGAAGCACGTTGAAAGCAGCCAAACCCTCCGCAACGGTCAGACGATAGTCCAACTCATTGTGAATGATCAGATGAGGAGTTCTCCAGTGTTCGGTGAACCGCGACGGGTCCCACTTGGCCCAGTTCTCGGGGACCTTCCAGATTGGACCTTTCAGGTCATGCAGGGGGAAGTACTGCTCTTCACTGGCAAGTTGGCCGGTCATGCTGAACACACCGTCGTGGGTGACCAATGCCTTGAACTTGCGCCCAAGAAGATTTCCTTGGATCCAGTTCATCATGTAGCCACCGTAAGAAGCACCCAGTGCCACTGCGCGTGTAGTATCAACATAGTCAAGGTTGTGTTCGATGTAATCGAATCCTCGAACGAGGTCCTCGTAAGGTCGACCACCCCATTGTCCCTTGATTGCGTCTGTGAAAGGCTGGCCGTAACCGGTACTTCCTGTTGGGTTGGGGGTGATCACAACGTATCCTTGCTCGGCAAACACGGCAGGATTCCAGCGAGTGCTCCATTGGTCATTCCAGGCGCCCTGAGGACCGCCGTGGATCAAGTAGGCAAGAGGGTACTTTTCGCCTGGCTTGAAATCAGAGGGCTTCACAACCCAAGCGTGAACAGGGTGATCTTCGGCTCCCTTGAACCAGATCTCATCGACCTGCGACGAGGAAAGACCAAATGCGCTACCGCCCCGGCCGTTGGAGGAGACCATCTGGACATCGTCTGGGTGGGCAGGATCAACAATGGTCCATAAGCTGTTGTCAACGAGACTGCTGCTGGACACGAAAAGCTTCGAAGAGTTTGCCGCCGCGGGAACGGCGTCATTTACATATCCAGAGCGAGTCAGTCTCTTGAGAGCATCAGGCTTGACCTTCTGAGGATTATCCAGAGAAAGCTGGTAGAGAACACCACGACCCTGTTCCTCGACATGAAGCAGTAATGATTTATCGTCGTGTGCGAATGCCACTGATGAAGGGCTAAGATCCCAGAGACCCTCGCCGTTATCCGATTCGAAGATCTCAATCATCGTTCCATCCCAAGGGTTTGGAACATACAGGATCCGATTCTTGTCGGATTCATAGCCATCCTCGCGCATAGCCAGTAGCGCGATGGAGCTACCATCGGAGTTGAGAACAGGGGAGGACATCGCTCCCTGGAGACCTGTAACCTTGCAAATCTTCGCATCCGGTGTACTCATACTTGTCCAAGAGAACATGGGAGCATAGTAACACGAGCAAGAAGTGTGGGTTGCAGGGTTCAGGGCAGGATCCTTGGCGATGAACACAATGGCTGACGGACTAATGTCGAAATCACCTGTACCACCGAATGGGGGAATGGGCGACTCGACACCAGCCAGTCCTGAGACTTGAATCAAGTTCGTCAACCCAGAGACGGCGTATTTCCCCGCACGCCTGCGAGCGGGCGACAGAGGTGCCTGTTCCAGCAATCCATACCAGATGGCATTCTTCTGCGGCTCGACGTATGAATCCCAGTGACGGACAAACAGAGAGGTATATAATTTACCAGTGGTGTATGGCTTCTTCGCATCGTGCGGGTTGTACAGCGATCCGTCCGTGTTGGCCTTGCCTGTCACAGCGAACCCCACTTTTCCAGGCTCGATCACAGTGACCTTGAGGTCCGAGACTGGGCCGGGGACAGTGCCAGCGGTGTATGTATTATCGGCCTGACGAGCATCACCAACGATGAAACTGGTGTTTCCGTTGCCCTTGGCCTTCAGCCAGACCAGCTGGTCGCTGTCGTCAACCCATTGCGGGTTGCTAGCACCGGGATCATTGGTGATCAGGGCCGAGCGGCCAGACTCGATATCAATCACCCGGATTTCATTGGTCTTGGAATGGGACTCGAAGGAGTAGGAGGTTTGGGTGTACACCGCTAGGGTGCCGGCTGCGTTGGGGGTGGCTGAGGACCGCCTGGGCGCGCCGAGCAAGATCCTAAGGATTGTCAGTCCGTTGTCCTGCAGTGACTCGAACCCATCAAGTATTGATTGTGAAGCTATCCAAGGGAATCGCGATGCTACTTACTCGGGCGTGAACTTCATGGAGCGAATGGCCATATCAGATGAGATCGTCAGATAAGATAGAGCTCCCAGGAGCTTGTCCAAGGGTCTGGTAGAACTTAATTGAGGTCAGGGACTCAAGAGAATGAATGGGTAGGGGTTTTAGAGGGAATAGGATGAGAGGGAGTAGGGTGTTAAGTTGAGGTAGAAACAGATACAAAGAGGAGTCAGAGTTGGAGAAGGGGCTGTTATGCGGGGGACCCTGATAGGGTTAGATCGGCCCAGATGAGGTCACTCGGATGCTTGGCGTCGGCGCTCGGAGTTCGGAGTACTGAGTATAGTATGTAAGTATAAAAGTACAGTAAGTATAGCAAGTATAGTAAGTATAGAATGTTGAACATTGCATATATTGCGTGGAAATTGAAATATTATTACAAATTGGAAGATTTTTACTCCTCTTCCTCACTCTCATCCTCCTCCATGCCCTCGGCGGCGTTCACACTGAAGGTAGGAGCCTGATCAACACCGACATAACTGTCACTCATCAGGTAGAGCGTCAATTCGTGCTCGCCAGGGGTGGGGACAACATATTCCAGGCGGAGCTCCAGCTTACGACCAATCGTAACACGCTTGATAGCCAACAAGCTCTTGGTCTTCTCATCACCAACGACCAACCACCAGTTCTCCATCTTCTGTTTGGGGTAGAAGGGCGCATGGACGGTGGTGTCAGGCTCTTCATCGTCCTCGAGTTCCCGCTCAATCTTGACCTTCAGATATGAGGGGTCACCGGAGGTGATGTTCTCGGGATCTTCGACCTCGAAGTCAAGCTCGATGTTCGGGTACTTGTCATTGGTGAAGGATGCAACCTGGCTCAGTTGGGCGGCGTCAAGACCAAGACTCTTGATCAAGGTAGCGTGATCCTTATTCTCCGAGGGGTCCATAGCTTCCATGAATTCAAAGATATCATTGATCCTGCACAAAGGGTGGTTAGTATTGACAGAAATTGGGAAAGATTTGGACGCCACATACTTGAATTCATTGGCCACCTTAACGACCTCGGGGGAGAAGTGGGGGATCTGCTTCAAAGGACTATCACGGTCCCACATGGACTGAACCACCATCTGAGAAAGCTCCATGGCGTTCATCGCGTTGAGGTGACCTTCGGAGGACAGAACGTCCACACATGCGCTGAGAAGGTTGAGAACCTTTCCAACAATGTCTTCCTGATCCTTGGCAAGATCAAGTGGGAGTTGCATGCGAGAGAAGTGGGCTTGGAGAAGAACGAACGCCTTGAAATGAGGTGAGTCGTAGGATACCTCAGCCATCTTGACAGGGCAACGGTCGTACACCCGGCGGAGGATGTGGCTCTCATGGCGGCGGATCTGGACGGACTCGAACTCGGTCGCTGAGGTGACAATTTCCAGAATGCCCTTGAGTTTGGTCCGAGCGGAAAGAGACAACAAGAAGGTCTGCATTGTAATGAAAGAGATGTTGTAGTAAGCACCGATCATGGCCGCGTTCAGAGGGGAGACGCTGTCGTCTTCCTCGTCCAGATCGATGATCTTTGCCTCGGACAGTTCCTTCAGGGTGTTCTCCACGAGCTCGGACAAGAACGTGCTGAGACCTTCATGGCTGATGTCACTCAGGCCGTAGAAGCTGGGGTTGGCGAGGAGGCGACGGTAGAAATAGGTGTATGTCATCCAATCGACGGCATCCTGAGTCGAGGTAAGAGTTCGTGTGCTGGCTTCAGTCACAAATGCATCGTGCAGGTAAGCCTGCAGATGACTCTCCACGGGTAGAGCCTCGTTCAGGAACTTCTTGTAGTAGTCGCGCTTGACAGCGGGTACCATCAGAACACCACGACCAATCTTATCCTGGCCAGGGCGCGAGGCCTTGCCGAACATTTGCAGGATATCGCTGATTGGGTAATCAATGTAGCGATGCTCACGGCCATCAAAGAATTGGGTGTTCATCACAATGACCAGATGGGCCGTGATGTCCAATTCCCAGCAGACGTCCCTAGAGGCCAGCATCACCTGAATGGCACCAAGGCGGAAGAGGTAAGTTACAATGCGCTTATCACCAGCGGTAAGAGCTTCGTGGTAGTAACCAATACCATGGGAGAGCGACTGAGCAAGGGTTTGCTCGTGAATGCGCTCAAGGAGGGGAGCAAGTTGCTCGACATCGGCGTTCAAGAAACGGTCGTCGTCATTGTCGATGGCGCATGCCGTGAGAAGATCCATGGCAGTGGCACGGACTTGCTTGCGGCTAGGAACAAAGACAAGGGCAGGCTTATCAGGCGACAGCTGCAGGATAGATTGATAGGCCGGACGAGCCATAGCCAACATCAAGGACGGGAAATGAGGGATGGTGAAAGATTGCAGGTGAAGCTCCAATGGCACAGGGCGGGCATGCGGGCTGAAGTTGAAGATGGTGTGCTTGTTGGCACCGATCCACTCTCCGATGTCACGAGCATTAGAAAGAGGCACGCTGAGACCGATGATGCGCATCTCATTCTCGGTCTGAAGTGCAACGTAGTGCATGCGGGACACGACCACTTCGTAGATGTATCCAGCAAAGCCACCCAGCAGGTGGAGCTCATCAGCAATGAAAAGCTGGACCGTTTGGATGTTCTTGCGTCGCTGCCACTGGCGAGACAAGACGTCCCATTGAGCAGGGGTTGCGAGAACCAGATCACCCTGCTCGAGCAGCTTGAGATCGGCGGTAGTTTCACCTGTAAGCTTGACAATGGTCTTGCCGCCGTCCAACTTGGCAAAGCGCGCTTGCCAATCAGCAAGTCTCAAGTCAACCAATTCTTGGAAGGGGGCGATGTAAACTGCACGACCACCCTCCCTGGTTGCCCAATGGCGAAGCAAGGCCAATTCCGCGCAAACAGTCTTGCCACTGCCTGTAGGGGCACCGATGAAGATGTTGTCATCGCTATCGAACACACTCTTGAAAACTTGGGATTGAATCTTGTTGAAGTGTTGCCAGTCGGGATACAATGCCTGGTAGTCCTCGCGCTTCAGCGCCTTGACTGGTGCGCGCTGCATGTCCAGCAAAGGAGTGTGAGGAGGGAAACGTTCAGGAAGAATCAGCTTCTGGAAAGAGACTGCGATCTTGGTTTCGGAGTGCATCCATCTGTCCGACACCAATGAGATGAAGTAGTTGGGAGGCATCGGCTCAGTGACAGGAACAGTGAACTCCACAAGATGCTCGTTCATCTCCGACTTGGCGAATTCACTGCGGAGCAGGAATCGGTCATGGAACAGGATTTCCTCACCGTCACAATCTTCAACCAAGATCCAGAAGTCTTGAGCACCGCCGTGCACATTGTCATCCCAAACAAAGTTTGGCGCAATTGTGAGTTCAACCCGCAGCATGGATCTTGTGATGGGTTGCACTTGAGCTTGAACATCGAGTCTAGGGAACTTAGACACCAAGTCACACACGACGCGACCAGCCTTGGGCATTCCAAGGAGCTCACCCATACGTGGGGGGTCCAAGTCAAAGTAGCTGTTCCAGGGAACATCAATTCGCTCGGCCTTCTGAAGCACGTCTCTTGGACAGTGTGAGAACTGACGAAGGGGCGACATTGTAGGCCACATGCGCTTCTCTGCCATTTTGCAGAGATCAAGCGCGTTCTTGGCCACCGAAGACCAGCCCTTCTTCAGGCAAATCTCGAAGAGTGCTCGGATGATACGACCAGCTGATTGAGTGACGTAGACCATATCTGCCATCAAAGCAAGGCCGTCAAGCTTGAGTCTGGAGATGTAGGCTTGCAAAAGAACGTTGATCTTAGCGTGGGGCTCATCAATCGTTTCTTTCACAGGCACAGGCACACGGCCAAGGAGCTTTCCAAGCTCGAGCTTCTCGTCCTGGCGCACTGGGATGTACTTGAACTCGTCACTGAGAGCAAAGATGCGGAACAATTCGATGGTTGAGATAGAAGGTTGGAGGTGTTGAGAGTAGGTGAGCATCGAATTGTGGCCGATGTAGTAGTGTGAGGAAATGCGGCCAAGCTCGGTTGACTGCAGACGTCCAGTCTTCTTTTCATACTTGACGAGGCCTGCCTTTTCAAGCACGGCGGCGGCGGAGTGAATAAGATCAACGCGCTTTTGTTCCAAAGCCTCGTCATCCTGGTAGTCCGCACCGACACTGTACAAGCCAGGTGATCGGAGCATACGCACATAGAGATATGTGTAGCTCAACCACTCCACACCATCGTCTCGTGTACGAACGTTTCCAAGCACAATCTCAGCGTTCAAGTTATCCGCCAACTTGCTCATCAGCTGTGACTCGATGGGCAATTGTTGATTGAGCAGCGAGAGGTAGTATTGAATTTCTGCCTGCGACGTGATGATAATACCTTCACCGAAGGTATCATATTGAGGTCGACCAGCACGTCCCAGCATCTGCAGAACGTCCTGAGGGCTCAGCTCGACCCAAGCACCCTTTTCAGGCGAATAGACCTGAGTTCCCTTAATGATGACCGTGTGGGCGGGAAGGTTAACACCCCAGGCCAATGTCGAGGTACAGACAAGGACCTGGATGCTGCCATCTGCGAACAGTGCTTGAACGGAATCACGATCAGCAAGACTGAGACCAGCATGGTGAACTCCAAATCCGTAGGGCATCACATCCTTCAGGCCAGCATCATCAACAGAATCGGCTTCTTCCGCAAGAATGGCACGACTAGCGGCGTCACTGCGCAAGATTTGGCCAATGGTTTCATTTTCCAAAGCCTTGTCTCTGATGTACTTGGCTGTCTTCACGGTTTCCTTACGTGAATGCACGAAGATAAGCATTTGGTTGCGGCGTTGGCCGACCTGCTCCATCACTTTAGTGTAGCAAATGTCGTTCATCGTCTTGAGCTGCTTGATTGCCTTCTTGTCGGTGACACCAATGAACTCTTGCTTGAGGGGACAAGGACGGTATGTGCCATCGAAATGGAACATACCCTTGACGGGGTCGGCGCGCAGGAAGCTTCCAACGTCCTTATAGTTGGGGAGGGTGGCACTCAGACCAACAATTCGCACCGGCTCACCAGTTTGCTCAGATCTGCGAATCGTTCGGCTAACAATGCTCTCAATGACAGGACCACGGTCGTCGTGGAGAAGATGAATCTCATCGATGACAACAAGACGGACGAGCTTGGTGTAGCTGGTCTCAGAAGCCTTTCTGGTGATAACGTCGTACTTCTCGGGGGTGGTAACAATGACCTGGGTATCGGCAATTTGCTGCTTGGTGAGTTGGCGATCACCAGTAAGTTCGGCCACTCGGATGCCATAAGGCTCGAGGCGTTTTCCGAGGTTTCCAACCTGCTCCTGTACCAGAGCCTTCAGGGGGGAAATGTAGACAATCTTGAAGTCGTCCAACATGATCTCACCGGTCTCGGGGTTGCGGTTTTTGCCGATTTCACGAAGAAGTGTAAGCATGGCGACGTTGGTTTTTCCGGATCCTGTTGGGGCACAGACGAGCATGTTACCATCATCGTGGAAGGCTGAGGGGTAACACTTTGACTGAATGCGGTTGAGCTCCTTAGCAGTTCCAAATCCAACACGAGCCCATTCGGGCAGTTCGGTAGCGGGAATGAGCTTCTCGCCGGGGTCCTTCTTCGCCTTGGGAGGTGGTACATGGATCTCTTCGTATCCCTTGAATGTGCGTTTGCTCGAGCCTTGGGGCAACTTGACATTGGGGTTTGTCATGAGGTGGTTACCCTGGTGGAAGACGAGGTTGTCCAGGTTGATGGTCCTTTGCGGTTGAAGGGGGCCAGTCTGGGCTCCGGCCTTTTCGTCTGCAGCTGGACCTGAAGGAACATCGACATCCATCAAATCAAACTTCATCTTCTTCTCGGGGCGCTCCTCAAGGTCGTCGCTGGTTTCCTTGCCGCGAATCTGGTCCAAAATCGCGCGATGTCCAGCTTCAACCATCTCAATCTCGACTAAATTGCGCGCATCGGAATCTTCTGCCACCCTTCGCCAGCGGGTCACCCACACGGCCTTATCGCGGTTAGTGACCAGTTTGGCGACTAGGTCGGGATGATCGTAGTCGAAGAGTTCCATCAGATCGTTCTCAACGTCGCGCAAGGGCTTTGGTGTTCCATCCTCCTCCTTGCCGCCGAGAATTGCGAGGGCCTCATCGGTTTTCTCATGTTGGGTGTGGGCATCGGAATAAAGAGCACCGATTTGGCGTTGCAGCCAGTAGGCGTCGATTTCGCGAGCCGAAACTTTCAGGCTGCTCTTGTCTGCACCTTTGTCGCTCTCGCCGAGACCTCCATCAATGACCATTTCGTCGCCATCTTCGTCTTTGGGGGCGGTGGCATCGCCAGATTCTGATTTGTCTTCGTCGGCTTCTTCGTCATCGCTGATCTCGTCGTCGCGAACTTCGTTGAGAGTTTCATTAGGATCCTCGTCCTCTTCTTCATCGAAAACGACAGCGACACCTTGACGCTGATCGAGTTCCCCGTTGGTTGGGTCAAAGTCGTCGTGCATTTCTTCGTCGTCGTCCTGGGCATCGTAGTCTGTAATTTTTTTGCCTAGGTTGACGAGCTCATTGAATTCCTTCGGATTCATCGAATTTCCCAAAAGATCATCAATTTCCTTCTTTTTATCAAAATCCTTCATCTCCTCGTCCTTCAGCAATTCCAACACAGCGTCTGCGGCACTGCGAACGACTTCGTGGGGAACATCGCCCAGGGAGCCTCCGGTGATTGTGAGGATGAGGTCGTATGTGGCTCGTGTGGCGGGCGTCCGAGGGCGATATTTGAGGCCTTCGATGACAGCATCGGCTGCTGAGAGGATACCCTGTCCCCGCAGTTGTGCTGGTTGTCCGCGCGTGCGCTTTTTCTGTTCGCGTAGCAACACATCTTCACCCTCCCCGATACTGCCTCGCTCAAGTCCAGAAGGGGCGGTCTTCTTGGCTTTGGGGGCTGTATCACGCGCGACTTGTGCACCCATCTCCCGAATACCAATGCGACCCGCCAAAGACTCCGGGTCTCCAGTGGGTTCGTCATGGGTACGACTGATGAAACGACGGTCCGCCTGGAGAACCAGGTTGGACATCGCCGAGTACTTGTACTGTGAAATATTTTGGTCCGCCATCTTGGTGGTTGTATGGCTCTGAAAAAACGATGAAAAGAATGAGTTGCGACAAGAATCTTCCTGCGGAGGTCAAGACTCAGGCCGCGCCGAGACACAAAATCGGCAATAGATCAATTTCAAAAGGTCTCACAAACCTGGCTCATCCTCCTATCGTGAACGTAAAAAGAAATAAAGAGATTGGCCAAGGCTAGTGCAGATGAAATGAAGCCAAGGAGAGCAGCTCGGGAAGATTTCGGTGGCGAAGGCGGAAGGAGGGGAGCTATAGTGGTTCTGCCGGTTCAATTGTGAGAGCGCGTCGCAACTATGCGCCCTCGATTGCCCTCACACTTGGCCCTTGGTGCAGGCCTCAATGTGCCTCTGTCAATACGATCACCCTATAACTGTCACATCCACCGTACCATTTGCCATCATGCGCGTCGAACCTCGATACACCGCGTGTCCTCCAAGATCCACATACGAGGCGCCAAGACGAAGACAACAGTCAAATTGAAAGACCTACCTCAAGGTGTTTTGAAACTAAAACCTTACGATGACCACGCGGAGGACACTCCCCGGTACCCGACAGTGGTACAGGGCCATCGAAACAATATGCAGACGTTCCAGAATTGCGTCGTGTTGACTCGGGTGGGGGGCTTTTATGAGGTTCGGACAATATCTATACTGCGGGTATAAACCATGCAGCCTGGCTGATTCCTTCTTGCAGCTATACTTCGAGCAAGCAGAGGAACTGGCGCCGTTACTCGGCATCAAGCTTGCAACGAAAAAGACCAACGGTGGGCCAGTGCCTATGGCCGGTTTCCCCTTCTTTCAATTGGATCGTTTTCTCAAAATGCTTGTTCAAGATCTGAGCAAGTACGTGGCTATCAGTGAAGAATTTGCCATAAATGCGGATGACAAGTTAAGCTCGGGTGGCCTTTTGTTTGACCGAAAGGTAGCTAGAATCATCACTCCTGGCACGCTGATCGATGAAAAGTTCATTGATCCCTCCGAGCACAACTTCCTGCTGGCGATCTACTTCGATATTCCGGCGTTGGAAGCTCAGTTGAAACTGCATGCTGAGCAGGATGGAGAATCGTCCAAGCAACATGTGCTATCTTCGGTACCCCAGCAAGTAGGGTTATCATGGCTAGATCTCTCGACGGGTGATTTCTTCACCCAGCTCACGACGACTCAAATGTTGCCGTCTGCGATTGCTCGTATCGGAGCTCGTGAGATCTTGGTGGATCGAAATGTACAGGATATCATTGGCCACGAACTACAGATGTTGGTTGGACATGATCACCGACTGGTCACTTTCTTCCAATTTCCCGAAGTAATTGATCCAGTATCGGAATGGGGATCAATGCTCGAGTCTCCTGTCCCAGCACACTCACGCGCTTTGTTTACTCCCAAAGAAGTCGCAGCTGGTTTCAGCCTGCTCGAGTACACCCGTGTGCAATTACAAGGAATTAATATAAAGCTTCAGCCTCCACTCCGGAAACATCCACAGGAGTCGATGAGTATTGATCGCAATAGTTTAAGTGGCCTCGAAATCTTGGAAACTGCGAGAGACGGATTTGGCAAAGGAAGTCTCCTCCATGCTGTCCGGAGGACATCGACCAAAAGCGGAGCAAGACTTTTACGAGACCGGCTGAGTACGTTCTGTTCCTTTTGAATCGGCGTTGATCTGTTTTGCTGACATATCAAACGCAGCTTCGCCGTCCACGTCATTGCAGGTCATTAATGATCGCCTGGAACTCGTTGCAATCTTCATCGAACATGTAGAGCTTCGAGACAGTATCATTCAACTCCTCAAACGCAGCTATGATTCCCAGCGCTTGGTTCAAAAGTTCGCCTTCGGTAAAGGCGACCCAGACGATCTGATATGTTTGTCCAGGGCCATCGAAGCGTCGAAGGAAGTGAAACAAGTCCTTTCGAGCCACAGCCGATTGGTATCCTCAACAAATACACCTGACTCCAAGCACAGCATCTCCTCTATGATCTCACGTCTGTATCTTGATGGTCCCTCTGCCTTGGCAGATAAGATCGTCGCGGCGATTGACGAAGAAGGATTACTACAAAAGCAGCGGATCGAAGATAGTACTGCTGCAGAGGCTGCCAGTCTGGCAGAAAAGGTCACACTAGATGAAGGCACACCGGGTGATCTCGAAGCACTTCCCAAAAAGGTCCGTGGAAAGAAAGCTGACCGAGCTGCTGTTGCCGACATTGACAGTGGTCCACCTGATACGTGGATCATGAGACGTAATGCAAGTCCAAGTCTGAATGGTCTTCACACGAAATTGGAAGACCTGAGCGAGCAAAAGATAGCCCTTACCCAACGGCTCCGCGAGTCAGTTGATTCCACGGCCCTGAGCCTGAAATGGACACCAGGGTTGGGTCACATTTGCCATGTTAAGGGAGCCAAAATCTCGCAGCAAGCTTTAGAAGAATTGGGAGTCACTCGAAATGTTTCATCCACCAAATCCACGCGCTCGTTCTACCTACCCGCCTGGACTGAACTTGGAGTCAAAATGGACCACGCCAAAATACAGATTCGTCAGGAAGAACAAGCCATCTTTGAAAGTCTTCGCCGTGAAGTGATCCTCAACTTGGTCAAGATCCGCCGAAATGCAGCCGTCATGGATGAACTAGACGTTGCCTGTTCATTCGCTCTTCTAGCACAAGAGCAACAAATGGTGCGCCCAATCCTGAACGATGGCACCCAGCACAAGATCGTGGGTGGAAGGCATCCTACGGTCAAGCTAGGACTTGAAGAGCAAGGACGCTCATTCGTGAGCAACGATTGCTTCCTTGGTGACTCTCAGCGAATCTGGCTTATCACCGGGCCAAACATGGCTGGCAAAAGCACCTTCTTACGACAAAATGCGTTGATCACCATCCTCGCGCAAGTGGGATCCTTTGTGCCTGCGGCTTATGCCGAGATCGGTATTGTCGACCAAATTTTCAGCCGCATTGGCGCGGCCGACGACCTTTTCCGTGACCAGTCCACGTTCATGGTAGAAATGCTGGAAACCGCCACTATCCTCAAACAGGCCACACACAAATCTTTCGTGATCATGGATGAAGTCGGCCGTGGCACAACGCCCGAGGATGGTACTGCCGTTAGCTTTGCTTGCCTTCACCATTTGCACTATCACAATCAGTCGCGCGTGCTCTTCGCGACCCATTTCCACGGGCTAGCGGACATGACAGAAAAGTTCGAGAAATTGGAACGATACTGTACTGATGTCAAAGATCTACCTTCGGGTGCTTTCTCCTTCGTTCACAGGCTGCAGAAGGGTGTCAATCGCCAGTCTCATGCTTTGAAGGTTGCTCAGCTGGCTGGGTTGCCCACGGAAACTCTTAAGCTAGCCCAGCAAGTTCGGGATCAGATGCGCGGCGAGATGTCACCTCGAGTACCTGATGAAGCAGCACTCTAATTGCAGGTTTTCAAGCTTCCTACCGAGGTCCGACCATCGATTCCACAGACTCAAGTGGCAATTCGAGAAAAACATTTGACAGCCTCACTCTATACACCGCGGCTACGTCATATTCCCGGCCTCTGGTTTCCTTCGATCTTTCTTGATATTCCCTTGAGCCCCTCCGTTTGACTGCCAACACATACACAAAACCCCACTCTCGAGTCTGATTGAATTCAGAACCGGGTCTTTCCAAACCTCGGGCTTTGTATGATATATGTACAAATATTTCGGCTAATATCTAATCTAAAGATGCCAACCAACCGTGGCAATTGGCCCACACGTCTTCACATCCAGGAAATTCCCTGTAGACAGATCCACTGCTCACAGCTTAGCCGGCCACAACCTAGGCTGATTCTCAACCCGACCAAGCTGCCCCTTCTTACCAAGATCAACAACAACACCTTCCCCAAAGGCAGCCTCTTGACAATCCTCGTCCCCAACCCCATTCACAAACTGCACAACCACAAAATCGACCCGCCTCTTGCCCAAAACAACCATAGGCGCATGCCAAGTGCCCACCCCATACGTCACGGCCTGACCACCGCGCGCAACAAACGCCTTCACATTCTTCAAGTCTGGCGGATCCTGGATAGCCACCGATTCTCCATTCTCATTTTTAGCCAACGCAGTTTGACCCTTCAATGTAGGCGCCACCACCACCAAGAACAGCGGCTCATCCTCATCCCCCACTTTAGAATGCGCCGACAGATCAACCGGGATGAAAGTCTGGTTTGTGAAAGGGTGGCGCTCCAGGATCCGGACATCAAATGCCTCTTTCTCTAACTGGCCGGATTGGATACTTCGTAATTGGCGCGGGAAACAGCAGAACATGGTCATGCGTGCTTCGGATGGCTGGCCGCTTGGACAGGCATTGTATCTGTCTAGGAGCGGGGAGATGGGACTGTATTTCAGGGCGGAGTTTTGATTTGCTAGGACAGGGGTTGGATTGTGTGGTGGGAGGGTAGATGGTGCTGTGGCGACACTTAGTTCTCGTGGTAGGGGGGAGACCACTGCTGTGCCGAATTGGGCGAAATTCACCGGTGTGAGCGGCTCTGGAGTGAGTGTCACTGTGGGGTTGGTGGTCAGGATCGGTGCCATGATAGGCTAGGTATTGAGAGGTGTGTTGTTCTTTGTCTAGTATGCCGCCCACAGGTACTTAAGTATTGAGAAGAGAAGTGAGGACTGTTATAAGAACGCCAATGCGGAGATGTCGGCGGCCTCCGGTGATAGTTTGCCGATAAGATAAGCGGCCGGGGCCGGACCTAAGCCCTCATACTTAAGTAGTTAACCCTTTCTTTTTGCTTCTTGTTTCTATATAATGAGAGCTATGTTACTCAAGTATAGTATATTTTATCCGATTCTCGGACACGATTAAGCTGTCTCCAAGCGCCACGCGCCAATTCTCCATGAAATTAAGATTGGTCCTTGCACCAGCCCGATTGGTAGCAAAATGTCTCCGAGAACCGGGCATTTAGGTCGATGCCCAACGAGGCTGCAGATACATCAACAGAGGTGCGGGGAATCCTGTTCATCCCAAATTTCTCCGAGCAGCATGGATGTCAACGCTGCAAAGCGCGGGCTGGAAATGAAAAAATCCGTTGGATATACTAAGGACATATTCATCTCGGTAAGCCCGGATAGATCTAATCCCGGGATCTGAAACAGCAATTTAAAAGGACAGCGAGGTATGCTGGTCCGCACGCTAGCCGTCAAGGCAACTGCTGATCATAATATAAGAAGTGCATGTTTGCTTCAAGATGAGGCTCTGGAGACCGCGAGAAAATATCTTGGGCAGATATTGACATGCACATGCTGAAGTGTCGGACCTATGATATACAATCCCCCTCCCACATTGATGACCCGCATTAAATCATGGCGCTACTGTCGACTGTCGGTGATTTCAATTGGATCCGTTGCGCCGGGTACACTCCCTGATCGTGGAAGGAGGTTGTAGCGATGAAATGCACGATCTTGACTCCAACTCGCTGGTGGCGGGTCGATGCCGTGCTAGCTCCAAGGTTGGATATCTTGGATCATAGATATAAAATAATGAGCACTTCTTTGACTCGGGCTTTCAAGGTTTTCGTGAATGAGATTGTGCTGGCACACATTCTGTCGAACAGAACATTCTGAAATTGCACATTGAGTTCTCGATTAATATCACCCGTGATAATGAATTCAACGTCGGGCCAAACCTCACAACCGGCCGGGCCCTCTATTTCTTCCAATGGCACGAGTGCTCCTAGCAATAGTGCAAACTACACACCATCTACTTCGAACACAAGGTATGTGGCACAGTACAAGCGTTCAGCTGGGCCAAGGAACATCTCAACCGAGCGCTTCCAAGACTCAACGGTCAATCCAAGCTAATACCAAGGATCTCAGTGGTTCACCGAGCGAAATTCTCCAGCGGGATGTTTCCAACATGGGGGGCTGGATAAACCATAACGACCTTAATTCCTTCCCTAATTCCTTGCCTAATTTCACCTCCAATCCTTCCAAGTGAAACGCCAGACAACCAAGCCCAGCATTGATGCAACCTGCGTAATGGGATTTGGCTGGGTCTAAGGTACATGCAGGACATGGTGAGTTGTTTCATCAAAGCACTTGGATAGTGAACTAAGTCATTCAAGTCCGACCACACACGTGTACTCTGATACGACAGTGACTTTTGAGATTTGGCGTTTTCATCCAAGGACAAGAACCATGTGATAGGAAGATTGCGGAGATGTCGTGCTGCAGGGAATTGGCAAATGGCGTATCGCAACGTTTCCTGCAGTTCCGAAAGATTTGATTCTTTTTAGCCGATGTCCTTTCCCCTCTTTTCTCTTGTCCCAGTACTTGCCGATCTTCGTATAAAGTAGCGCGACACTTGAGACTCTTTGGTGGGAAAAAAGAAATATAAGGATTTAAGTATCATATTGAGACTTGTAATTGTAGCCGTGCCCAAACCGGCCAGATGGGTCGAGCTAAGCTTGTACTCAATAACGTGATGGAAGCCAAGAAACACGAGCTGCATTGCCATGTAGGGCTGAGATCATTGTTTTTCGGGGAACCTCGGCAGATGTGGCGAATATTACTGCCACTCAATAGGATGATCAACAGGTATATTCCTGATATGTGATAGATTTGCTGGTCTAACATTCACTCTCACTCGATAAGAGACTAGTTTTGCACCGTGCCAAGTTACTTGCTTGCTTTGATATTCAATGCCTTAAGGCTCGGGCTGCACAGCAATTGAGTTACTTAGTAGTTTTCAGATTGACTGTTTACCAAGGGGAACTACTAGGCGCCTGAGCAGCCACATACACGGATATGTTGAGAAACATAAAAGAAAGCCCGTTGAATGTGTTAAATGTTTGGCATTGTATCAGAATACTCTTCAACTTTCCCCATGACATACTAATTTTTCTTCTGGAGATTGCATTTGACCAAATAAGAATGCTGCACAATGCACCAGTGATAATGAGCCGCCAGTCAGGAGTCATGCTCGAAGCAAACGCCCGGATCGAAAAGTTGTATGAAGATGTCGGTGTCATTTCAAGATTCATTGCAGATATTTTTGAAGGATGCCTGGGATTTGAAGTTCTCGCAACGACTCGGCGATAGATACTCGCAACTTCAAAGGGTTTCGTTTGACGTAACACACGTGCTGAAGTCCCCTCTCTCTGTCCCGGCATTCACGTGGGCATTCGGCTGACGGGGGGAGGACCTGAAAAGTCTTTTCGATGGCATCGAGACTCAGACCGCGGAACGGAGTTGAATCTTGAGCGTTGTCCTCCGTGAATCGAGAGATTGGTTGTAACTGGAGATGAATCCCGCAGTCCAACAGTGCCCTCAATATCTGCCAGACATACTCCTTCTGACAAATTAGCTCGCACTCTGGCTGGAAGGCAAGCCATTGGAAAGCTTGCTGCTCAATGTCACGCAATGCTTCGTGCAGTAATTTCTCTCTGGTCTTGTCAATGAACTCTAGAGCACCAAACGTCCAAATTAGCTCTCATGATAGAGGTCACCCAAGTCTTTTGTTTACTCACCAACGATATGGCCTGGGATACGAAGGCCTTTAGTATCGAAATGACCTTTCCACGTCTGAATAACATGCTTGACGAATCTTAGGAGTATGTCCTTTAGCTGGAAGCACCATGCGATAGTTATCAATTCGGGGTAACAAGGGGCCTTCAACTGAGGCAGACCTGAGCGGATCTTGTGCAACCACGCCCTGGCGAAGATTTCCATGACCTCAAGACACTTGAGGAAGTCAACAGCCACTGAGACATCAACAAGCTGTTGCAATGACAGGCTTTGGGGGACATTGCGAAACTTCCCATGTATGGCGTTCAAGATGATGAGGAGAGAAGCGGGATTGATGTCGGGAAGCGTAAGCTCGACTGTTTCGTTGGCAGCAAGGGATTTTCCCTCGGGCCAGTGATCAGAAAGCATCAAATCGAAATATGAAGATGCTAGCCTGAGATGCTTGGAGGAAACTCTGAAGCGAGCCATTCCCTCGTGGGCATTCTCTTGCTTTGTGATTGTTTGGATAGCAAGCCCATGATCACCATCCGCCTCGCCAGTCTCTCCAACACTCTCTTGGACTTTGGTGTCACTCTCTCCGCTCTTGTCTTCTCCGCTGGAGACTTTGGTAGGACTTTCTGCTACCCAAAGAACCACGTCCCCGTTGGGGTCGATATCGACGTCCATGGTTGTGGGCTGTCTAGGTTACGAGTGTCAGTGTGGTGTTGCGGGTGTGAGTCTGGTGCAGCGAGTGATACCGGTGAATTCACTTCAGAGTCAAATTGTAGGAGACCTTTGATGGGTAGGAAGTGGAGCTTGGATCCCTTTCGTGGCTCACGAACTCCAAGGGCGTAGGAGTGATGGGTGGCCTTGGACTGGGAAAGTGGATGAAGGATGAAGGTGAAAAGGAGAGAAGATTGAAGTGGAGGTCAATGAGTTGGCGAAGAAGAAAAAGAAAAGAGGGAAAAGTCCGGTGCATCTCAAGTTGTCAGCTATTTCAGATTAACTTGCATTTCACACAACTATGGGCTTCAAAACCATCGCATAGTACCAGGAAAGACGAAGCAGGCTATGTCTACGGAAGTATTACAGCAGTACACAACTCAACTCTTTTCCGAATTTCACTACTTTCTAGGGGCCCCTCTGATCTCCTGCACAAACGGTATACACCTCAAACTGACTACATTCAAATCATCTCGAAATGAATCGATCCACCTCCGAACTCACTCTCAGTTCGTCCTTGTGGAGCAGAAATACCCCCAATATGTCGTCGTCGCACCCCGATGTCGCATTCACAACAAATTCCCCTACCACTACCTTCGACGTTTTGGCTAGAGATCTCTCTACATCTCTCTTTCGTGCCACACGTCACGGACTGCATGACAAAAATGCGGTCCTGGTCAATCCGGGGAGCGACATCTCGCCCTCAATCACAAAAGAAAGCAATGTCCTTCCCGCGAAAATCCTGTCAAAGAACCAAGGGGACCAACGGCGCTTCCCAACTCCTGGCGTACATAAGTGTCTCGCTATACCTATTTTATATTTGTTTGAAGAACCTCATATATATGAAAGGTTGCTTCCACTACATTTGGAACCAGGAAGGGAATGCCGATTGCACTGTCTTCGGTATGGTGTATACCGGAGACACCTGGCACTTCATGAAGATCATCCATGGACATTTCCAAGCAGTTCCTCACAAGATCAGTTTCCAGACATTGGTTGATGTCTCCCTGACGGCAGACTTTTTTCAATGCACTGATGTGGTTCAGCTGTTTGCTCTCAGGTGGATTGATGGCCTCAAAGCGGAGATGCCGTCAAAATGGACACCAAAAATTCCCGAATGGACTATGATTTCTGTGTTGTCCAGGCAGGAAGACACATTCGCTCATGTCACCAAAGTTGCTGTCGAAAATGGCACATGTTCCGTCGTTCCTCACCAGTCACCGAAGTGACGACAATGATTCGTCTTCCGGGTCTGATACAGTTGTGCCTGCGACCCCCCGGGCTTTAAGCCACACGCGTCCTGTTCGTCCGCCTCGAAGTCCGCCTCGAAGTCCAGAGTTTGATCTTGTGGATGAAGAGGCTAGGTCTGGAAACCTGAGGATTCGACGGGGACTCACCAACACCCGGGGCATCCCAGCCCTTTCTATCGTTGCGCCTCTCTTAAGTCCCAACCCAGACTGGCCTCTGTCTATGGCGCGCAACTTCTCTGGTCTACTCGTCTGGATGCTGCGCACAGCAGCACCTCCACACACTCCAAAGAAACTTCCAAGGAGACTTCTGGGGACGACGACCCTACCATTGTGGAGGAAGTGAACTAAGAAACAAACAAGCTGTGCTTTGCCGATGAAAAGGAAGAGTCACAGGATGTCGTTTTAGAGGACGCCAGGTTTCAGCCTAAGTGCTACTAAATATGCCCAGAATTCACATACCGTTGAGAAAAAAATTGGCATAAGTAGTAGCGAGAAAAGCCACATCGCCTCCAGAGTTGTTTGTCGAACACAGCTCGTCCTTGATAAAGATATTGCTCTGATAAAAACAATAAATAAGCTGGCGATAGACATATACAACGTAGCCCAACTGAGAATTAACTCCTGCAATATCAGCTGCGACTCCACGGTCGATGTGGATGAGCGTCCTTGTGGGACACATCTCCGACCACCTGGAGGATTGACTCAACATTTGTACCAAGAGCGCCGACTCGCTCATCCAGTCTTTTGGCGGTATAGCCAGTGCTTGAGCGCTGCATCGGTTCGCGCTGTGATTCTGCACGGGAGCTTCTGTCGGGTAAGTTCCCACACAGTATACTCGTATGCTTCTAGAGGCAAGCTTACTATTCCTCGGGCTGTGGTGCTAGCATCTGATCACGATTGGTCAGCGGTTGGGTATTTGGTGGTGTTTTTGTAGCCATTTCGTATGTTGAGAAGGTGAAGCAATGGTGTGTCAAGGAGATGAGGGAAATGAGTCAAGATGAATTGAAACACTCGAATTCGAAATGCTTGTAAGGATTGGATCTTAAATACGGTACTCTTTTACCACCTTTTGTCACATCTTTTTCCTCAATCTGAAGGGGAGTCGAGACAGTTGAGATCTTTCCCTGAGAGTCACCTGCTCCTGATTCGGCATCCGACCTCAACTCCAGGGCTCCATTTACTTCGGTCACCAACGTCTTTGCTGCTTTTCTTTCTTGTTTTTCGATCTTCACTTTTCCATCCTTTCAAGTTTGACCTTGCTTTCGGACCTTCCACAAAATGTCTCCGCCGATGAAACTGAGCAAAGCCATCAACATACTACGCGCTGCCCGTGGCAACCTTTCACTGCCTCAGTTTGATCAACTGATGCACGAGCATGAAGATGATGAGAGACTCCCATCCGTTCGTCTGTCCTCGTTGAAGGTATCCGAAGTCGCACGTGTACTGTGCCTCTCGCCCGCGGAGAACGACCAGGGATGGGATTCGGCTCCTACTGTTCCTCTGTCTGAGTTGCTAGGCAAGTAAGAGATATTGAAGCAGGAGATCTCGCTAACTTTACCAAGTCAAAAGCCTCGCCCTGGTTGATGATTCTTTGAGTTGCGAAACAAGCGCTGAAACGATTGTGCGCTGGCGGATGAATTACTTCCTTCTCTGTGCTCTCGACATAGCAACGGCCTCTGGTTCTAAAGAGGAACAACTGCCGAAGATTGACCTTGAGCCCAAATGGTCATTCGGACCCGTCCAATACAATGACCAGGCCGTCAAGTTGACAGGATACCCATATTATGCCCTGTGGCATGGAGAAAAGGACGAAGCTGCTTCGAATGTCATTGTGACCCAGGGTCAGGGGTTTGGGGGGTCCGAAGAGGCAATTGCGGAAGTACTGGGATACATGGGTGAGTATTTTATGCTACTTGTGGTTTATGCTACTTGTGGTTTATGCTGCTTTGGTGCTGGACTGTTTTTGGGCTAACTTGGTCAAAGGTTTCATCCATCACCATCGCAAGAATGCAAAGAAAGAAATTTTTCCGCTGTATGGGATTGCAACGGACTCTAGGATCTTTCATTTTATCAAACTGGACAATGACTCCACGGTTTGTTTTTTTCAATTCGTCTCGCTTGATTGAAAGGGCATCTTCTAATATCCTCTAGTTTGTTACTGCAACACTCGATTCTGAGACAGATCTACAAAAAGCATTCAGCTTACTGGTCCATATATTAAAAGAAGCAGTGACTGCCCTATCGATGCAACCGAGCGAGCTATCCACGCAATCTGATCGAGGTGAAGCTCCCTCTGACCCGTCCATCCCCGCCGGGGCTTCTCTGAGACGCAGGGTTGACAAGAAGGCACATTATCGAATACTGAGAGCGACTGCGGATGACGAGGATGAGGACTCTGAATCTGAGGACGTAGATGACGAGGATCTCGAAGACGACTCCTCCGACGATTCTTCTGAAGATGAGACCTCTGAAGATAATGAATCCCAGGATAAATAATACTTTCGACTTCGGGTCCGAGGTTGATTTGAATGGTACCATTATCATTTATCTATTTGCGAAACTAGTTGAAGATATTTCTTACAATGAAGGCAACTCACAATACCGCTGTTCAAGATACAATTATTTCGCGTAGAGAGAGAGAGAGAGAGAGAACGAAATAAGGAATGAAAAGAAGGTACTCCTAGTAAAAAAGGGGAGGGGGAGGGGAATGAAATAAAAAAAAAAAGGTGTGGGGGGCTGGATCGAACTCCCCCCCTCTGTTACCCCAGGTAATCCTGACAGAGGGGAGTTTTAGAGTACGCGGTATTGAAATCCTGAACGCCTTAACCCACTGAGCTACCGGAGTAGCTCACAGAAAGTGAGTAACTTTTGTATCTGATATAGACCTCTGTACTTCCTAATCGGGAAGGTGGATCCCATTCTGGTCACGTGACACAGTGCCTCACCTCGAGTCGTTACTACTAGTAGTAATCATGTACATAGTATCACATAGTCACATACAAAGTGGAAGACGTATGGATCTAAAATCTTTGTAGATTGGATGTTTCGTAGATACTTCTGGTGTGTTTCTAAACAGCTCGCTGAGCCTGTGTCTGTGTTTGAGTTTACTGGTTGCACCTGGTAATAAGGGCCTATCATCTATGTGCAAGTGACAACAGCGATGAGAAGAAGCACACCCTGGGGTCAGTTTATATGGAAAGAAGAAGAATAGTTTGATTTTCGCTCTCTCTGTTCAGGAACAACTCAATGACTTCACTGGGTTTTCTTCATCTTGACTTTGCCGCAATTTTTCACTGCAAACTTCACAATATCGCTTCCCCATGGAAAATTTCTAAACTCGCAGAAAATACCGTCCGTGCAGCGATGTAGAGTGGCTGGGCTGTTATTCTTCACCATTGCGCGAATTTCGCAAGGACTCAATCCCTCCAGCAAACCAGAGGTAGCCTGAATATCCAGCGTATCCGGAGAGCTCCAGCAAAACGGGATATTGTGCATGGCCAATACTTGGATCAGTCTCCCCAAACTCTCCATGGAACAGATTGACGAGCAATGCAAAGAGGATTGATCTCGACTTAAGACCAACGTGCGGATACGCTCCTTAATTCCACCCAGAGCTTTTTGAAGGTACTCTTCTCTGCTGCTGTCAATTTGATCTAGATTGAGAGTCAGTGCAGTAGGTGAGACCTCTTGAGATAGGTTGCTTTGTGACATACCTTTGATATTTCCTGGGATGGGTAAGTTGTGGGTTTCGAAGGGACATGTGCCATGTTCGACAGCAATTTTGGTAACATGAGCGAATGTGTCCTCATGCCTGAACAACACAGAAATCATAATCCATTCGGGAATTTCTGGTGTCCATTTTGACGGCAGATCCGCTTTGAGGTCATCAATCCACCTGAGAGCAAACGGTTGAACCACATCAGTGCATTGAAAAAAGTCTGCTGCCAGGGAGACATCAACCAGTGTCTGGAAACTGATCTTCTGAGGAACTGCTCGGAAATTTCCATGGATGATGTTCAGTATAAGCAGTAGTTCCTCCGCTTTGCAATCATCAATGCCAATCTGGACGACTCTACCGGATGCCAAGGCCCGTCCCTTTGGCCACCTCTCTGACAGCAGGCCTTTGAAATATTCGGAAGCCGTTTTGAGATGCGTCGATGACACCAGGAACGATGACACCAGGACTTGGGCAGTTGTTCCGGTCATTGCTTGTATTCGCATTGAGCGGCGGCAACGCACGGGGGCGGAAAGGACAACATCACCCTCGGGATCAATTTTCTGTAGGCTATTCAAGTCGAGTCCGAGACTAGCCAACTCCAATTTTTGTCTTTTGTTTGCAGGTTCGATCATTTGATTTGAGCTGTTGTCTGGCTCGTGGGTTCGCTTTGCGGAGGCCATGGCGAAATCTGAAATTAACGGACGTCAGCTCGAGGTAGATGATAACATGAGTCAAGTGATACTCACTCGTGAAATCCTCTCACGTATCCCGTGAAATGCCCTCACGTATCCCGTGAAATGCCCTCACGTATCCCGTGAAATGCTCTCATGAGTTTGTGACGGTAGTGAGGAAACAAGTAGTTGGAAGAGTGTATTGTTGCGTAGCGAAAAGTTTGCGTGATCAGCGTAGCTAAGATTCATGGAAGTCAGCTCAAAGTAAGCCTTCGCTTCAGTCAAGTAATGCACACCTGTGAGGTCCTGCCACTCGTCCTTCAGTTCTGGTATGATGATTCTGACGATGAAGTATCTTGGGAGAGTGTCAATTTGTGTGGCAAGAAGGTTGCATGATGAGTATGGACGCAACGAGACCGTTGTTGTTGGCTTGTGGGAGGATTCGGAGAGAGAAGAATGTGGATATCAAATGCAAAAAAGCAAGAGTGGCAGTAATTGATCGTACTCAGAGAGACGGGGAAGACATGGGCGTACAGAGAGAGCTACTCTGCTGGACTGCGCAATTGTGGAATGAGCCCTAAGAAGTGCAGATAGTAGGTTCCAAGGGAACAGGAGCCATCCTCTAGAATGGCCTGGGTAGTTGCTCGCTGCTTCTACACAAGGAGGCAACAGCGTAGTTCACACCTCGTCTACTGGTGTGGAATGGCCATGCTGTGAAAACAAACATTCTTCTTGCGAAGTTTGCATGAGGCATTGATGGACATAGATACTAGACACGGGACAACGGAAAATCAATGCCATCGCAACCGATGAGTTTTTGATGAGGACCACTGCGGGTTGGATTCAAAGTAAACTAGATAAGATCAGAGGTAACATGGCCATAACAGATGGGTCAATATTCTGGATTCATGTATCCAATTATCTAGAATGAACACAGTTCCGGGGTTTCGCTATGAAGGCTGGAGACAGAGCCAAACTTCATGTTTCAAACCCTCATAGAGCATGATGCAGAATGACAACGAGAAGATGTGTTTCTCGAGGAAGCAGCATAATTCTGTTTGCTCCAAGTCACTCTTCATAGGCGTGAGACCCTTGGGGTTGGGGTGGCTAGAGTCACGTTCCTTGCATGGAACAGGTTTGGTGAAACACTGCCCAAGGGTTCACGGGGCCCAAGTTCAAGTCCGAGGTGTCATAGAGGCAATGTTTATGTTGCGACTGGTGGAGATGGTTGTCTCAGGTAAGTTCATGTGGAGGCGATGGTCGTCGACAACCCGTGTAAGCGATTGAGGCCGAGGGCACTGCGGGTTTGAATCAAGTGGCAGTTTCACCCTTGGCATCAAACTTCGCCTTCTTGGCTCGTCGTTTGATTTCTCTCTTCGAAAGAGGCTTATTGGGGTCCTCGACGACCGGCTCAGAACTGACAGAAGCTTTTCTCTTGAGATTGTCTGCTCCAGTGTCGGCCTGCACGGGTTCTTGTGGTTTCGGCGCTGGGGTTTTGGGTGCGGACTTGCCCTTTTGGGTCGGCTCCGCAGGCTTGGGCTTCTCGCCGCCGTGGACAATGTCCACAATGCCTCGCCAGCTGGTCCGCTTCAATTTGGCCAACGCAGTCACCTTTCTCGCCTCCTCGCAAATTGCTTCCTTTCCACGCTCTTGCGAAAGACCCCAGACACAGGCAAGATTGATCACGTCCCACGGGGCTCGCAAACCTAAAGCCCTTCGGGCTTCGCTTGATATGATGATACCTCGGCCGCGTGTTGCGCGGATCAAGGAAGTCGCATTCCCGATGAGATTCCTCCGCGCATCAAGCCCACTCCCGGTGACTCCATTTCCATAACAAATTTCGATTCGGACTCCACGTGAAATGGCTGCGGACAACATTTTGAATTTGAAGTGGTATGGAAGTCGCACCGAGAGATCAATAGAGATCACATCGCATTCCAGATTCGTGCACGCATTCAGAAGCAATTTCTCGTTTGTGGGACGAAGGGCAACGATATCATAAGCTTGGCTCAGGGCAGCTAGGCGCTGATTCTGCGCGGGATCGGCCAAGGTCAGGTTTAACCTGGTCAGCAGTTGGAGGGATTTCGGCGCATTTGTCGGAAGAGAAGGTGGAGCGATAGAGGGCGGAAGCTTCCCATTGATTGTTTGAGACAGCGCAACGGTGGTGTAACCAACTTTAAGATGTCAGGTTAGCTCATCATGTGCTCGAGCGCATCTTGTGTCGAAACCAATGACTTACGTTCAGCAAGGAAATTCAATGTGTGGGGCACCTCCGGGTCATCGGGGCTGTAAGGGACATTTAGATCGAAAAACATGGTATATTAAAGAGAAAAGGCTTCCCCAGAGAGAGAGAGAGAGATCTTGTTGCTCAAGGTCAAGGTAACTGTCCCAAACAGGCAACTCAGAAAATCTCGAGGAAAAACCATTAATCCGAAGTCTCTAACTGCATTTGATCGGCTCCCCACAACCCTTGTCCCGTGACCGTAGGCGGAACGGATCTCATTCTATCATCACCACAGTATTCCCCCTCCATACCATTGCTCCAGGGTCTCTTGTGAGCACTGTATCTGGGCTGAGTTGCTGGCCTGTTCCTGTCTCCTACAAGAATACCCCTCCCGGCTCCTCGACCCGTCACACGGCACCCCTCGTGACCCCGCTGCATATCTCTCAATTGTGGGCGCACTCACAGACGGCCTGTCAGCTCCAAGATGGCGCGTGTCTATGCTGATGTCAACGAGCATATGCCTCGGTCCTACTGGGACTATGACAGTGTCAACATCTCCTGGGGTGTCCTTGAAAATTACGAAATCGTGCGCAAGATAGGTGAGCAGATTCTATTCACCTAGATCTCGACTCCGGCTGCACAAGCTGGGTAATGAGTTGCTTTGCAGTTCACGTTTACTGACTTTTCCACCGCACAGGCCGAGGAAAGTACTCCGAGGTTTTCGAGGGCATCAACGTCGTCAACTACCAAAAGTGTGTTATCAAGGTTCTCAAGCCTGTCAAGAAGAAGAAGATCAAGCGTGAGATCAAGATTCTGCAGAACCTCGCTGGGGGTCCCAACGTTGTCGCATTGTTGGACGTTGTCCGCGACAACCAGAGCAAGACTCCCAGCCTGGTCTTCGAGGCCATCAACAACACCGATTTCCGGACCCTATACCCCCGCTTTTCCGACTACGATGTCCGATTCTACGTTTTCGAGCTGCTCAAGGCGCTCGACTTCTGCCACAGCAAGGGTATCATGCACCGCGATGTGAAGCCGCACAACGTCATGATTGATCACGAGAAGCGCAAGGTACGTAGACTTGAGATTGATACCGGGTTCGAGTGGGTTAGGGATTTTTGAATCTAACTAGTTTTCTAGCTTCGCTTGATTGATTGGGGTTTGGCTGAATTCTACCACAAGGGCACGGAATACAATGTCCGTGTCGCTTCTCGCTATTTCAAGGGTCCCGAGCTGCTGGTGGATTTCCAGGAATACGATTACTCCCTGGATATGTGGTCTCTTGGTGCTATGTTCGCGTCGATGATTTTCCGCAAGGAGCCTTTCTTCCACGGCAACAGCAACTCTGACCAGCTTGTCAAGATTGCCAAGGTCCTTGGCACCGAGGAGCTCTTCGAATACCTGGACAAGTACGACATCGAGCTTGATCCCCAATACGATGACATCCTCTCTCGCTTCCCCCGCAAACCGTGGCACTCATTTGTCAACGCTGAGAACCAACGATTCGTCAGTGATGAGGCTATTGACTTCCTTGACAAGCTTCTGCGATATGACCATGCCGTATGTTCAATCCCCTCTTCCAATCACGAACTTGACTAACTTGTTTTTTTAGGAACGCTTGACTGCCCAGGAAGCCATGGCTCACGCCTACTTTGACCCCGTTCGTGCTGACGCTCAGGCTCTCAGCCACAACAATGTGACCCTGCCTTGAATCTCTCTCTGAAATGTTGATGATCGTGGCTCTAATATCCTTATTGCGATGCCCGGATTTCCCAAGTTCCCCGCAAGCTGTCAAGATCGCGGTGGGCATCACGACGATTCCCCTTTGCATTTGAACCCTGCCAATATGAACGGTACGACGATCGACAGTATGAACCAAGCCTGGTCTTCGTAATCGCCCTTTTTTTCTTACTAGCCCTCTGAAGCATGGGCTGCGCCAAAAGAGCCAAATCTGAATGAAGACGACTTTGATGACAAGAGATCATGATATCTAATCCGGGTTTCCTATCCTCTTATTGCCTAGGTCGTTTGGTGTGTCAGTGTGATAAATCAGCGTCTTAGATGGGGAACCTCCTCTCTGATCTCTTTCCTTTTTGTATAGCGTTACTGGGTTTCTCAATTGATTTCTCCATTGATGATTTGGTGTTTCGGGCTGTGTTCTCGGGATTTCCTCGGACTACGCATTGCATCTTAACGCTTCCTGCCTTATGAATTAAACGGAAACAGGAAAAAAAATATAAAAATTGTTTACTCCAGATTGTGCCGTGTCTTGGGTGTGTGCATCTAGAGATATCTGGTGGATTGCATCTCATTTAGTCTTACTGCCCAGTTCTAAAGTTGGATTTTGTAGCGCATGATGCTTGACTTTAGCTCGATATATATCGTTCAAGTGTTTAAAACCAGGACGATACTTGAGGATTTCTAGATTTATAGGTAGACACCCTTTTACCCTACCAGACTGACCAGCTACGAACAGAATTTCTATTAAAACATCCAAGTAAGGTGATTTTATCCTCCTTGATAGAAATGTGTATAGATCAAATTAGACTATCAGATCACCCGTTGGCTCCAGCGCATCACGTGAAGGTTATCGCAACGTCCTGAGAAAAGGGCAAGATCAGAACATGGAAGACTGGAACACAAGAAACAATCAACTATCCTGAAATACTCAACAGTCGCGAGAGATTCGATGCGAGGTGACCAGAACCGCGCCTGAATCGACTCCACCGCGCCTCCCACCGAGCCCCGCGCTCTCATTCGTTCCGTGGGAAATTTAATTGCCCGCCGCACAACCACCCCTCCTTTGCATCCCCTCATCTTTCAAGATACTTATCAGGCGGTTCGTGGCGCGATCGGCGCCTTGGAGACTAACTCCCAATTATTGTGCATTCTCAAGGATGGCTCACAACTCTGCCTCCCAAAACCCCAGTGAGTAATGACTCATGACTTTCATGTCCAATACTGATCCTCGACAGTGGGTGAGCAAACGGCTCCCCAGACCAGCGCACCCCCTCAGGCCGACGCTCAGACACGCAGCAACATCGCCGATGCCGCCGCAAAAGACCCCACCGGTCAACACCAGGGAGAAGGTGCTCCCAAGGTGAAGACCGAGAAGGAGTGTATGTGACTCATATGGAGATATCTCCAACCTTTGGACAAGAAGATACTAGGACAATGGCTGATTCGTCTGGGATATAGTGGAGAAAGAGCGCAAGAAGGCTGAAAAGCAAAAGAAGTTCGAGGAGAAGCAGGCGGCCAAGGCCCAAGCTGCCGCCGCAAAGGCCGCCGCTCCCAAGGCTGAGAAGAAGGCCAAGCCCGAGAAGGAGAAGACCACCGACGCATACGACCCCATTGCTATTGAGGCTGGCCGTCTCGATTGGTGGGAAGAGCGCGATCTCTTCAAGCCTGAGTTCGGTGCCGATGGCAAGGTCAAGCCCGAAGGCTCCTTCGTCATTCCCATTCCTCCTCCTAATGTTACCGGTTCTCTTCACATGGGTCACGCCCTCACCAATGCCCTCCAGGATACCATGATCCGTTGGCAAAGAATGAAGGGTAAGACTACTCTGTGGCTTCCTGGAATGGACCACGCCGGTATCTCGACCCAGAGCGTTGTGGAGAAGATGCTGTGGAAGAAGGAGAAGAAGACTCGCCACGACATTGGCCGTGAGGCCATGGTTAACTTGATTTGGGACTGGAAGGACGAATACCACAAGAACATCAAGAACGCCCTTCGCCGCGTTGGTGGTTCCTTCGACTGGAGCCGTGAGGCTTTCACCATGGACCCCAACCTGTCCGCCGCAGTGACTGAGACCTTCGTTCGTCTCCACGAGGAGGGTATCATCTACCGTGCCAACCGCCTGGTCAACTGGTGTGTGGCTTTGAACACCTCTCTCTCCAACCTCGAGGTTGAAAACAAGGAGATCGAGGGCCGCACTCTGCTTGATGTGCCCGGATACGACAAGAAGGTCGAGTTCGGTGTCCTTACCCACTTCTGCTACGAGATGGATGGCACCAAGGAACGCATTGAGATCGCTACTACCCGTCCCGAGACCATGGTTGGTGATACCGGTATCGCCGTCCACCCCGACGACAAGCGCTACCAGCACCTGATTGGCAAGAACGCCCGTCACCCCTTCGTGGACCGCCTGCTCCCCATCGTTGCTGACCCTGAGGTTGACCCTGAATTCGGTACTGGTGCCGTCAAGATCACCCCCGCTCACGATTTCAACGATTTTAACCGTGGTAAGGCCCACAACCTCAAGTTCATCTCCGTCATGAACGACGATGGTACCTTCAACAAGCACGGTGGTCCTTTCGCCGGCATGAAGCGTTTCGATGCCCGTTACAAGGTCATTGATGCCCTCAAGGAGGCTGGTCTCTATGTCAAGTGGGAGCACAACCCCATGAAGGTGCCTCGCTGCGCCAAGTCTAACGATGTCATCGAGCCTATCCTCAAGCCCCAATGGTGGATGGCTATGGAGAGCCTTGCTGGTCCCGCCATCGAGGCTGTTGAGAAGGGTGATATCATCATTCGCCCCGAGAGCGCCGAGAAGAGCTACTTCCGCTGGATGCGTAACCTCAACGATTGGTGCTTGTCCCGTCAGCTCTGGTGGGGTCACCAGGCCCCCGCATACTTCGTGGAAATCGAAGGTGAGGATGGTGATGACAGCGACGGTAACCTCTGGGTTACTGGCCGCACTGAAGAGGATGCCCGCAAGAAGGCCGAGGAGAAGTTCCCCGGCAAGAAGTTCAACCTCATCCGTGATCCCGATGTTCTTGACACCTGGTTCTCCTCCGGCCTGTGGCCCTTCTCTACTCTGGGCTGGCCCCGCAAGACTCACGACTTTGAGAACCTGTACCCCACTTCCGTCCTCGAGACCGGTTGGGATATTCTCTTCTTCTGGGTTGCCCGTATGATCATGCTAGGTATCAAGATGACTGGCCAGATTCCCTTCCGTGAAGTCTACTGCCACTCCCTCATCAGAGATTCTGACGGTCGTAAGATGTCCAAGTCTCTGGGCAACGTTATTGATCCTCTTGATGTCATGGAGGGTATTCAGCTGCAGACTCTTCACGACAAGCTGCAGCTTGGTAACATTGCCGACAAGGAGATTGCTGCTGCTACCAGATACCAAAAGAAGGCCTTCCCCAAGGGTATTCCTGAGTGTGGTGCCGATGCTCTCCGCTTCGCTCTTGTCTCTTACACCACTGGTGGTATGTTGATACAATTCCCTCATCAAATTTCAATGCTAACAATTCCTTCCAGGTGGTGATATTGCTTTCGATATCCAGGTCATTCACGGATACCGTAAGTTCTGCAACAAGATCTACCAGGCCACCAAGTTCGTCCTCGGAAAGCTCGGCGACGATTTCAAGCCCCAGGCTGCTGTCAAGAAGACTGGCCACGAGTCCCTCTCCGAGCGCTGGATTCTGCACAAGTTCAATCAGGCCGCTAAGGAGATGAACGAGGCTCTCGAGCAGCGTGAATTCTCCAACACCGCCCAGATCTCTTACCAATACTGGTACGCTCAGCTGTGCGATGTGTTCCTGGAGAACTCCAAGTACCTCCTTGCCGACGAGGCTTCCGCCGAGACCAAGGAGTCCGCCAAGCAGACCCTCTACACTGCCCTTGACGGCGCTCTTACCATGATCCACCCCATCATGCCCTTCGTCACCGAGCACCTCTGGCAGCGTCTTCCCCGCCGTGCCGGCGACGAGACCATCTCGATCATGAAGGCCAAGTACCCCGAGTACATTGCCGAGTTCGATGACCCAGCCGCCGCCAAGGCCTACGAGCTCATCCTCAACACCTCCAAGGCCATCCGTTCCATCCTGTCCCAATACGACGTCAAGACCCAGGGCGACATCATCATCCAGACCTACGACGCCACCAGCCAAACCACCGTCTCCGAGGAGATGACCACCATCAAGTCTCTTGGCGGTAAGACTCTCGGCGAGCTGTCCCACCTCGGCCCCGAGAACAAGACCCCTCCCCCCGGCTGCGTTGTTGCTGCCGTTGGTGCCGAGGCCGCCGTCTACCTCCGTGTCTCTAAGGAAGTTGCCCTCGAGCAGGAAGAGAAGGCCAAGGCCAGCCTTGAGAAGGCTCGTGAGAGCGTCCGCCGTTCCCAGGGTATCATTGCCGGCCCTGGCTGGGCTGACAAGGTCAAGCCTGAGGTGCGTGAGCAGGAGGAGAAGCGTCTTCGTGATTCTGAGAGTGAGGCTGCTCGTCTTGAGGAGCAGGTTAAGGAGTTTGAGAAGCTCCGTCTGGAGTAGATTATTTGTTTGAGATTACACAAAATATAACCAATGTTTTCCTATTCTTCATTATCTTCACTGTAGTGCGAGAGGGAAAACTAGTTTCTGCTGGATGCATCCAAAAGATGTACGATGGGCTTTTTTGGATGGTTGGCGATTACATCTAAGAGCGGCGGCACCAGTTCATCATAAGCGGCTCGGATGCTTCACACTTTTTAGACTTTGACGGGTCATTGAAGGCATTTACGAAAGCTGTAGATGGTCAATAAAGATGCACATCAAATCAAATATATGACTTACCGAATAATCTTGAGATTCGGAAGCCTTCTAATCAGCACGTTCAGAGGGTTTGTACTCCGATTGAGAGTACTCATATTCTCTCCAAGCTCGCATCCCGAGCTAGGCCTATGCTTACAGGCACCATGGTCGATGATCAGTCCCCTGACAAGTTCTCTGTTGGGGTTTGCTTCAAATTCCAGCAGACATTTGAGCAGTAGTTGAGGTTGGCATACACCTGTTGCGAAGCCCCATTTCCAGCCATTATCCAGACCTGCTCATTCTTGATTGACTGCGCCAGTTCTGTGAACAGAAAAGCGGCGTCGCCTAGGTCACCGAGTTGAGAGAGAGAAACCGCGCGGCGGAAGTTTGCAGAGAGGACACACTCGCGATTACCACGATCGGCAGCAATGGAGAGCTGAATGTCACGCACTTCACTGAGGGCGGCTTCAGATCCTAAAGCGACAGATCGGTAGAGGAAACGGGAAGAAACCGCATTGCAGAAGCTGGACACACAGCAGATAGTTGGTAGGTCTTTGGGGTCTAGCTATGGTGGATATTAGTATGGAGGTTTGCACAGATCGTCTGAACGTACCATTTCGAAAACAAGATGTGTTACATCTAAGCATTGCTGCAGACGATCCATAATGATCGTGGGGGCTTTGAACCTCAAGACCAAAATGTAGCAGAAGAGAGGAAGGATGAAGAAGTGAAGAAGTGAAGAAGAAGAAGAAGAGGAAGAAGAGGAAGAAGAGGAAGAAGAGGAAGAAGAGGAAGAAGAGGAAGAAGAGGAAGAAGAGGAAGAAGAGGAAGAAGAGGAAGAAGAGGAAGAAGAGGAAGAAGAGGAAGAAGAGGAAGAAGAGGAAGAAGAGGAAGAAGAGGAAGAAAAGATAGAAAGGAGTACAGAATCGCTCAGGGGGAGGATAAAAGTCGATATTGGGAGGTGTAGCTTTATTCCTAAGGCTAGATAAAACCATCCTATTCCCTCTCTCTCTCTCTCTCTCTCTCTCTCTCTTCAGATGAGTCTGATCAATATTGTCAGCCCGCGTTTGCGTCGTGCTCTAAAGACCGAAGGGACGCTGATTCCAAGCCCCATCAACGCTAAGTCAGTTTATGATTCTGGGTGTTTATCCAGATGGCCTCCGAAATAGACATGGTATGAATGTAGATTGGAGAAGATGTCGACCGGCGAAGGCCTGCTCATTCTACATGCCCAGAAGTCATCTGCCTAGGCTATTTTTAAAGCTATCTATAGGTCCAGTTTGACATCACTGCCTGCATAGTCTCTGGATATGATGACATTGAAGATTTCGTTTCAATGTCCTGTGTATATTCCGCATATTCTCCAGCGTAGGCAATAAGCGATCACGGCTCATCCACGCCCAAATAAGGCATCTCAAGGGTATTGTTACGTTGCCTGGGCACATTATGGAAAGAATAAAGTGATAGTAGATATGTCTTCGACTCTAACTTGGTTTGTGATCTTGTCAAAGATTTTCTTGGGGAAAAACAATCGCCATTCTCAAAGTACCTTCAAAGTATTTAAGGTACAAAAAATTAGTTTCGCTGGGAATCGAACCCAGAACCTTTCCGGAACACTCGCCTGTAAGGCAATTGTTAACGGAAAATCATAACCGCTAGACCACGAAACTGTTCTATGGAAAGATTTGCCATTTTTGACATGATGAGCCAGGAGTGCACACCACACACACTCGAATCCAAGTTCTCGGTCTGAAACGAAGTCTGATTTACTTCCAGCATTGAGAATTCTGGATTAACCTATTAGATATCAGATTATCAGTCTGTATGGGCTCATTCAATGTATGGAGTCCCGAGTAGAGACGAATTTAAGTATCCCACGTGACCCTTATCGATAAGCGCCGCCAAGCCATCAATCCAAAACTTTTTCGCTCTTGTGAGATTTCACCCCAAGCCTATCTGCCGTTCAGCTTTTACAATATGTTGAGAGAAGTGTAAGCTATGAATCTCCCTCCAGATTGCCCTACTCGACTAACCCTCTGTTTTCCAGCAAAGCCAAGAACCCGCGCACTGCGCGAATCCTGAAGGCTCGGGAGCCGCAACTCATCGAAGGCCCGAAGAAGACGCTGATTTTCCATGGCGCAAAATGCCCTCAGCCATTGGACACCGTCCTCAAGACTTTCCACGCCTTGACGAAGCCCCACAACATCCTCTTCCACAAGAAGAACGAGAACTTGCACCCATATGAGAACTCGGAGAGCCTCGAGTTCCTGGCCAACAAGAACGAGTGTGGCCTTGTAGCATTCGGAAGTCACAACAAGAAGCGCCCCAACTGTGTCACCCTCGCCCGTCTTTTCAACTCAGAGCTGCTCGATCTCGTCGAGCTCTTGCTGCTTCCCCCGCGGGACGGCGAGGTCATCCCACCCATCAACGAACTTGTCATGGATGTCGGTCTCGGACTGCGACCCATGATGCTCTTCACTGGTAGCCCCTGGGACGACCCTACTTCGACTGCGCACACCATTCTTAAGAGCACCCTGCTTGACATGTTCAAGGGTGAAGAAACCACCCAGATTGACGTCGAGGGTCTGCAGTACGTTCTGATGGTTGGTGCCGAGGAGCCCCAAGATGGTCTTTCTCCCGTCATTCACATGCGCTGGTACAGAGTTGTCACCAAGCGCAGTGGACACAAGCTGCCCCGCGTGGAGTTGCAGGAGGTTGGTCCCAAGTTCGACTTCAAGGTTGGCCGCACACGCCAGGCTGCTCCTGAGGTGCAGAAGGAGGCTATGAAGCAGGGCAAGCGTCCTAACGAGGAGGCCCGTACCAAGAAGAACGTCATTACCGATTCTATGGGTGACAAGATTGGTCGTGTTCACCTTGGCAAGCAGGATCTGTCTGACTTGCAGACCCGTAAGATGAAGGGTCTCAAGCGTCGGGCTGGTATGGAGTCTGATGATGAGGAGCCTACTATGGAGGATATGATGGAGGATGATGTGATTTCTGATTCTGATGAGGTGGAGGAGCTTGAGGAGCTTGAGGAGAAGAAGTCAAGCAACAAGAAGGCACGGAAGAACTAAGATATTTGCATGATTTCTATTAGGCGTTTGGGCCGGACGGGATTTCGTTTTCTGCGCCTGTATGAGTTGTCTTACCGGTTACATGAAAAGTTATTTACTCTTTACTCTGTACATCAAGTAAATCCATTGAACATAAACAATATATAGTCTACTATAGTCTACTATTACTATAGTCTACTACAGCATAAGAATATAGCAATCCACGTGACCGTGACGTCGGCTTCTCACATGCCGAGGCCCTTCTCATTGCGGAAACCGATAAAAGTGCCGTCCCCTCTCTCTCTGTTTCCCGACTATTCGGGCTTCTATTCTACTTTCCAGGATATTTCTTGTCTCGATACCCAACTCCTCCAGGTGTATCACCGCTAAACCACCCCGATCCAAGCCCAACCTCATACCGAGGTCCAATATGGATACCCTGCTGGTAAGAAACCCCGGCCCACCGCATAAACAACCCTAACAACGCCAGACACAACTCGATGCGCTGGTCCTCAAGCCCGAACTCGCCCCCCTCCTCTCCCTAGTCAAAGGTGCACGCAATGGAATCGTCTACGGATCGAAAGTGCGCTTTCCACATGCACTGGTGTACGTCCACGAAACCACAGAACCGAAGCAAAGAGACCGAGGCTAACTGTTACCAGAATGATATTCTTATTCAGATCCGGAACGTACGCACTCACACACCCTGAAAAACCACCAACCCAAGCTAATCCCGCTATAGTATACGCGAAAAGACCAAGCTCGTTTTCAAAGCTACCCGCCAACATGCGCGCAATCTCTCCACCTTCGCGATAATCTGGAAAGCATCCATGATCCTCCTCCGGAATGTCCCTGGTGGAACCGGGAAGGAGGGCCGATATGACAGTTTCTTCGCTGGCCTGCTGGGCGGGTATGCGGTGTTCGGTCGACAGCCTGGCAGTATTAGCAAGCAGGTATGTTTTTGAGATAGACTGGGAGAAGCTTGGCTCTAATAATTCTTCTTCCAGATTGTCATTTATATTTTCGCGCGTGTGATGCTTGCGCTGGCCAAAATGGCCATTCAGCCGAATATGCACCCTCTTTCATCGATCATTACGCCTGAGGCGCGGGACAAGATGACGAATAATGCGTACCCAGTCTTTGCTAGTGTGACTTGGGCGATGGTGATGTATATTTGGAGGTGGTACCCGGAGACTTTGGCTTCGAGTTTGAGAAGTAGTATGGTGTACATGTATGTTGTTCTGGAGGTTATTTGGGGATATCCTGCTGACATTGATTTAGTTATGGCGACTCGGATAATTGGGATTCCTTGCGCACGCTTCTGTTGCATAACAAATGAGGGAGTTCTTTTCTTTTTTTCGGCGTATAGAGCGGTCATGATTGGTGTTTTTCAGATTCGATGTGCATCGTTCCAGGCCCAGCTCGTTTTTGGTTTGCACTGTATTATGAGGTATGGGCTTTTGTATTTACTTTTCTATTACAATATATATACACAGACGATATTGTCTAGGGTTGGGCAGAAACATTCACATTAATAGCTCAGAAACTCGTGAATCTCGTGAACAGCCAAAGCTCCTGAAGTCAGGGTGTAGAATACATGTATCGAATTTAAAAGCAAGAGGGATATCGAAAACAACAAGAACACAAAGCAGCCTCTAATCAGTCTCAACCAGAACCTTCAAGTCCCCATCCATCCAATCAACGGTATCAGCTGAGAGGAGAGCAATAGTCCAATCCTTCTGGTTCACCACTGGAATCAAGCCATCTGGAAGCCAGACTTTGACTTTCCACGAGGCAAGAGCTGCAGATTCGCGGGCTTCCTGTGCAGCGGCGTTCCCTTCTTGAGGAAATAACCCAGGAAGCTGGCCGGGATATCGACGCAGAATGGCCTGCTTGAGGGTTTCAATATTAGGGTATTGGCCGGCTGGTAGGTCGAACCTGGGGAGAATGCGTTTTCCGCCTTGAACGATGTTGACGCGGAGGGAGATATGGGGCTGGGATTGGGACTGGGTATTTTCTGGCAGAGGAGTGAAGGGCACAGGGTGGAAGTGGTTGTCGGGCTGGGGGTGGCCGTGTCGAGCGGCGATGTTCTCGCGAATAATGCGGGAGACGTCACGGGTGATACTGCTAGCACTGTGGGGGATGTCAGTATTGGGTTAAGTGGAAGGATAAGAAGAACGTACAATTCATCGCGGGCTGGGAGATGACGGCCGCCACCAATGCGCCACGAAAGAGACGAGGTCGCGTCGGCATGAATGATGCGGTTGATGTTTTCATCCTCACATTCAGGGGGACAGTCGTAGCCATCGTTGTGAATGACATGGTAATGACTGTCGACTGCGGCGACCAGACCCCGCCAGTCAGGCTGCTGAAGACCAGAGAGAGACCATAGATTATCGAGTTCGAAGCCTTGGTTGTATGCCTCGTAGGTGCGGGCGATCTCTTCCCAGTCAACTGTGTATCCGTCCAAAAGAAGATCCGTCAGTCCAACGGTGATAGGTTGGGACTGGTCAAGTGATTGTTGAAGTTGATGCGAGGGCATTGATTGCGACATGTCTTCGCGGTGCGACTGGTTCTGCATAAGAGATTGATCAGGTGAAAAACGGTTATTCAAGTTCGAGAATTCCTCTGTTCTGCGACGTCTTCGATCATCGGTACCACCGCCTTTCCGAGTCTCAATGGCGTACTGGCGTTGCCTCTCATTTGTAACCATTCGTCGAAGCAATGGAATGACCAACGAGATGATCTTCTGCTGGTCGCGCGGCCAAATGTAGTTTCTCGGACCCATGCCCTCGTTGGCGACATTCTCTCCAAAGAAGCGCTCGCCGTTGCCTTCGGCTTCGAGGAATTGACGGACACAGTTCCAGAGACGGAGCTTGACCATCTCTGTATCTCCCTTGCCCCGCTGACCAACACAGTCACGTCTTTCGGGGTGATCGTCATCCAACATGTAGTTCTTCGCAGCAGCCTGGAGATGAAGGAAGTTCTCCGGTGAAATCTCAAGCGAGGAGAACATTTTCGAGATGGGAGGTCGAGTGTACTTTTTATTGCTGGAGGGCTGACGGAACAACGCAGCAGCAGAATGAACACCGACAGCACGAGCATCAGACAATGATTGAGGTTGCTCGGTGCGAATTTCCATACCCTCGCCAGTATATCCATGCGGTGTTTGCTGGGATTGCGCCTGGTGCTGGGCGGCAGCTAGGCCAGCACCCGCCAAAGCTGGGTCGAGATTATCATCATTGCGCTTGCGCTTCTTGGTTGCGGTACGTGTGAGACCGGGGGATTGGTTGTCAGTATGACTGGGTGCTCTCATCTGCCGTGCGCCTCCCATTGAATTTGCGAAGTTCGCATCGAATTTCGCATCGCCGAAACCGTCGTCGCCGAGATGCATATCAGCTCCATATGCCTCGAGCTGGTGATGGTGACCGGCTGCACCGGCTGCTGATGCAATTGCTTCAGCAGTGGCCCATTGCGACACATTTTGGTCTGCAGCTTGCGTTGCTGCTTCCACTAGCCCGGCAAGCTGGTTGTCATTTGGCGCATACCCGTTGTTCCCGAGTTGCGCATTCGAGTCAGAGTGGGTGGTAGGGACGGGGGCGGAAGAGCCAGGAAGGCCCGAGGCAGAAGAGCTGGGGGGATGTTGATTGTTGGAGCTCATGGTGGATCGGGTGGAATGCCTTTGATAAGGTGATAAGGGCAGATGGTATGGTTTTGGAGGGCTATGAAGCCAAAGATTGGATTCTTTTGCGGAGAAAGCTCTCTGAGTGTCCCGGTATCAGTTTGCGACGTGAGCTCCCGATCAATGATCTGGGCTAATCTTTCTGAAATCCCAAGCTCTTATCAAAGCCGTTTGTTGTTGGAATTCGCGGTGGATGACCAGCTCGCACACACGTTTCTGGCGATTAGACCAATAGCGCGTCACACCCAAAAGGGTGAAGAGCGCACCAAGCGGGGGAAGAAGGACAATTGAAGAAGTGAAGTCAAGTTCCAAAGCTGTATAGCTGAATAGCTGATAAGAAGCGCGACTGATGTTTGCGTGGTTTGAAGTAACGGCAGACAGTGCAAACTCGGGAGTTGGTGGGTCATGTGATCCCGGAGAAAAGATCCGCATTGGGACTGGGCATGTGACATTTGGACTGGTCAGGGTTTCATTTCAATATGCTGTGGAAAAATTGCTCAATGCGTCTATTCATACCAAGAAACTATAGTATAATATCTAATCGGCTGTAAGAAGGAACATAAGTATACAATCGGAAGTAAAAGCTCACAGGGGACGGGAAATGGCCACCAAGAAGGTAAAAAGGCCCAAAAAACCAACGTGAGATATACCGAAGTACATCAGGACAAGATGATCCGATAAATGGCAGGTAGATGTTATAAATCAGATGGAGAGTGCAAAAAGATTCCCTTGATCCAGTCAAGTTCAGAACCCATCGCCCTCTTTCCAAGGCCGACCAACCTCTTCAGCACGGAGTCGGGGATTCTTCCCACGTAGATTGGCATTGTACAGAGCCTCAGTGACTTGCTTCTGCTTATCCTGCAGCTGCTGGTGAATGTCAGCCCCCTCCTCGGGTGTGGCGCCTTCCGAATCGCCATTCTGGGATGACTGAACATCAGCAGCAAACCAAACCCAAATATCAAACTGTTCCTGGAGTTCTTTCTTCTCAGCCCCCAACTGCTGATAAGCCCTATACTCCTCATCACCTCCAAAACAGAAGCCATACCCATCGCAAAGACAGACACTCTCATCAACACAGAGAACAGCCTCGCCCGTGAAGATATACTGCCACAGATACTCCCAAATCCGACCAGTAATATAATCACTCAAGTCAGTCGACAACAACCAATCCCTATAAAAGACATACCGCGCCCTCGGGATTGACCGGATCCGGTCCCGCGATAGCGCAAATTGCGCACAGCACGGTTGCGCCAGGACAGACGGGATAGGCTGGTCAGGGAAGAGCTCACCCCACGCCCGCGCAAGCATGATCTCCTCCTGTTTCGACTCGTCTTCTTCCACGGCACCCGGGTGCATCCAAGCCGGACAACCAGGCCCATACCCACAGCGGGTATTCATGTAGCCCTCACGGATGACGCGGTTGAGATTCAACCTGCGAAGAAGACGAGCTGCATCGCCCTCGACGAGCTCGTCGTTGTGCCATGCGTTTTGGTGGGAGTGCATGAAGACAGCGACGTCGGGGAGTTGGTCGTAGTGGTCGATGAGGTAGGTGAGGTAGATCATGACTTCGTGGCCTTTGTTTTTGGGTGGGTGGAGGGGCGCGGATGGGTCGTCTGCGACGTAGATGGCTGTGCCCCAGTCTGGGAGCTCTTTGGCGATCCAATCTGTGTCTTCCTCCTTGGTCCGCGTTACTACCATCACTTTGGAGTATTGGTAGCCCAGGGGTTTGGGGATCCCCGGTACAAAGTGTGGGGGTGGCGCGTAGAGGTCATTGTTGGTGTGACCACGCGTGAAGTTCCAGCTTGTGTCGTTCTGGTTGACCAGGTCGCCCAGACCAATTACTTGGGGGACCTCATTCCAAGGTCGGGATAGGGCTCGGGCTGTGAGGAAGAGGATAAGGCAGAAGCAGACGCCGAGGAAGATGACCGCTCGTCGTGGGGGAAGCATGGACGGTAGGACAGTGGATATATAGTCTGTTACACGATCTGTTAGCGAAGATTTCTGGTGAAACAGACCTGGAGGACATTGGAGTCCTGGAAGTCTAGGCCGTCACGGGGAATGCCTTACCTTAAAATATCACCATTGCCTTGAAATTCCAAGGGGTATTGAAAAATGCACCCCGGGACTTTCTTAAGGGAGCAACATATTGGAAAAAGGCGAGTCGAAACACGGGTGGAGTGTGGCTGCGCACTGGATGACGAAAGGGAAGATCGACGTTTTATGCTACGCTACTTAAGTACTTAAGTAGTATGGAGTACTCCGGATGCGGTCTATAATTGATCGCAATTGAGATATGTGATTTTCCTACAATGTACAGCAATTGGAATACTCTGGAGTATGGAGTACATGTATGCTAACTACTATTGCACTTCTATTCTATTGCGCGACGATCCCCCTGATTCAGAGACACGGCCCCACGTTGGACCCTTACAGACGACTTCAGGACTCCAAAGAGTATGGAGAGAACATATTGCTCAATTCAATGAATACAAAATAAGCACATAATACAAACATAAGCCATGAAACATCACGCTGGCATTTGTCATTTACACAATACTACATGTATACATTTCCATCGGAATAACCTGGAGCATGGAATTCATCCGTGTAAAAATCGTAAGAAATCTGGGTATGATCTTTTGCTCGCGAACGCCATGCAACGCTGAAAGGGGCTGAGCAGGCCCGAAAAGTACAAGTGAAGCCAAAGATCAAGGGTGACATCCGCTACTGCCCTTCTTCATCGGTCTCTTCAATCGTGACAGCCCGACCTTTTCCCTTGGAAGGGGACGCGGGACGATCATCTGTAGAAGCTGGTTCTTGGGAAGGTTCTCCACTACCCCAGGTTGTGGGGATGGTGGACCCCGGATCCGATGACTCTCGGGGTGCCAGGTCGGTCCATTCTTGGGAAGGAGACTCGGCGCGAGTTTCGGGGACAGGCACGGTGGGGGTGGGCTGTGGGGTTGGCACAATATTTGCGGTGCTGGTGGAGGGTTCGGGGGTGACGTGTGCATGTGCTCCATCCTCATTTGACTGGCCCTGAGGCACAGGGGTCGGAAGGGGTTGAGCGGCAGCATCGTTTACAGCCGACGCAGAAGGCTGTGGCTCAGTGATTATGGGTGTGGATGATCCGGGCTGTGGTGTCTGTACTGCCGTAGCACCGTCTTCCATACGCTGGAGAGGAAGGAGGGACCAGCCAGGAGGAAGAGTCAGTCCTTCAGGGAGACGAGTGTCACCCGAATTCATCAGAGTATTACTCGGGGCTCCCCCAAATTGATGACGTGCTGTGAATACCGATGCTCCAAGCCCTGGGGCGGGGGACGGGACACTGGGAGATGGGCCTGGCTGGGCAACTGTCGTTGGCTGATTGCGCAGGCGATCCAGCTCCAACTGCAGGTGACGCACACGATTGAGTTGTTCTGTGGCAGCCTGTAGGGCCTGGATTTCATGGGTAATTCTTTGCTCCATCTGGATCAATTGAAGGCTGATACCAGTAGCAGTAGACACTCCCGTGCCGAGGGCCGGTGGGGGTGTGGGTGTGGGTGTAGGGTTTTGTGGACGGCGCCCGAACCCAAACCCAAATCCAACCTGCCCGGCGGGTATATTCACCTGCGGGTTTGCCACAGGCTGCTGTAAATTCCCCTGGGGTATTTGGCGGTGCAGATTATTGAAGAGGTCTCCACGCACAGCTCCAAAGCCAACCCGGAACGGCCCAAATTGGAACACCCGGCCCCGGGGTTGTTGTCCCTCGGCGCCTTGGTGCCCTGCGTGATTTCCATTTTGCTGACCAGGTTGATTATTGCCGCCAGCAGCTGCAGCACCTGCGGTTCGGGGCGGCGCAAGAACAGGCCGTCGGCAGGTTGGACAATTCTGTTGCCTTTCGAGCCAGCTCCGAAGGCATGCAAAATGCAGAATATGACCACAGGGAAGCTTCTTTGGGCGCAGACGCTCAGGAACAGGCCGGGCTTCGGCAGCACGAGTATTCGCTCCATCTGCTCCATCCGCAGGCTGCGCAGGCTGGACCGGAGTCATCTCCTCGCGACAGATGATGCAAACATCCTCTCGGGTCACTTCTTCAGCAGTTGCATCGGGATATCTCTCGTTCATGTCTCTGGTCGCCTTTCGGTAGCGCATGAAATCCACGATTCGACGAACAAATGAGCGAATAGTCACCACCACGTCGCGTAGAATGTGGATGGGCAACCCGTAGAAAGTAAGCAATATCCCAAAGAAGGTCAGGTAAATGACGAGCTTCAACAGGTCGGTCAGAAGATCCAGATAGAATACCCAGCGGCCTTTCTCCTCCCATCCGGAGACATCAATTTCCATTTCATTCACATCATTTTCATCGGGAAGATCCGTAGGTGGGGAACTAGCACCTGCGCGGGCGGCTTCTTGAATCGCTTCGGCCCGCGCAACGCGAATTTCGGCCCTGCGCTCCTCCACTCTCGCCTGCACTTGTTGACGGGTGATAGATATTTCGGTCAGAGCGATGGCGTATCGTAAAAGGGTGGAGGACGACAGGATCGCAAGGATAGCGAACTCAAATCCGAACATGACCATCATGTCCGGACGGGCCTGGGTGATAACAGTTTGCACGCAGTAGCGCAGCATGAAGACGTCGAATGTGACGGTCAGGACGAGAGAAGCTGCCAACCGAATATGGAACAACTTTGGATTGGCCGGAGGCTGCTGTTCCAAGAACTCGACACGGCCTTCACCGATCCAACCCCAAACTTTACCAACCAGAAGCGATATGAACATGACCAAGAACCAGGCCCCCAGTTCTCCGCGGAATATTGTCATGGCCAAACATGTCTCCGTGACGGCAAACCATGCGCGCTCATATAGTTGCTCGGTCTCGATTGGTCGCAAAGGTCCGTAGAGGAGGCGCTGGAGCCAAAAGAGAAGGAATCCGGTGACAAGAAGGCAGAGGTTTGTGAGAATCTAATAACGGGGTCAATATAATCCAAGGGCCAGGTGCGATAGGTAAGGACAGCTCACCATTAAGTTCGCACTACTTTGGGAGAGGTAGACGCATGCTGAGTAGAAATTGGACCTCTGGTGAAGAGCTTTGAGAAGAACACCAGTGGCCAGAGCCACCGAGGCCTGTCAGTGATGTTAGTGATTGTGGTTCCCCCGAATCGGCTGCACGACTTACCCCAGCATAAGCGGCTAGTCTCATGGCTATCGACTGGGTCGGGCAAGCCGAAGGTCATGGACCAAAAGGAGCGCGAGGAAGGCCAGTTTCTCAATGTAGCATCTGGCGAGGAAAGCAAGTGGATGTTGCAGAGATGTAAGTACGAGTAGCTTGATCTGGACAGCTTTCCATAATAGCCCGTTGACGCCTCTCCGCATCTTACGTCAGCGGCACGTGCCATCTATATTTCTCTCCGACTCTTTTCGGACACTGTTTGACTCCTTGGATTCAGTGTCAGGGAATATGCAAGTCTAGTGGCTTTGTATAGCAATACATTGAAGGTTATTATGAGTGACCCCATTTTAAAGTTGGGCCTTGACAGATCCAAGAGCCATGTACTTTGGTTTCGCTAATACAGCCAATTGTTCTCATATGGAAAAGGCAAACTTTAGAACTGCCCGGTACATACCATACCCTGGTGTCACTGTCTTCGAGGCGTTGATTCTGTGGGATTCTTGATCTGGTCTCATGTGATTCTGTCCAGAAGTGAGGAATCATACTAGGTCTGAGAGTCAAACAACACGAGACAGTGCAAAAATGCCATTCGAAAAATCACCCTTCCCTGCCCAGGTGCATGTGATAAATCCATGAGGAATTGTCACCAAAACTTAAGTATCAAACACTGGTAGTTCAATGCGAACCCAAGAGACTGTCTCGTCAATCTTCTCCCCGAGCAGGTTTTGGTACTTAAGTAACTGCTCGGCATTGCGGGGTATTTGATTATATACCTTCGGCATATAAACCTCTTTTTGCAATGTTTCCTGAAGTGACAGTTTCAATTGGCCTAGTACTGATGTTTATGTATTTAAATCTTATGCAAATAAGTTAATTATCTAGAGATCAAATTTCGACAGAAATTCGGAAGCGAAACTACGCGTAGTGCACCCCCGGTCCACGGGTAAAATGCCAAGAATTTGCATAGTTGGCATCGGACTTGTATGCGGAGCGTGCGGCAGTCATCAAGGATCTTCAGGATTATTCTGAGGAGAGAGTAATTAGGTGACTCTAGACTGAGAAACAATTCTAAGTGCCCTGGAAGGACAAAGAAGAGATCATCGACAATGGAACTATGTAGACCTGAACAGTTGTGGAGTCGTGTTTATCTGATCGTCATGTGACCCACTGGCCGCCTTGATCTGCGTAACCAGAGCTCCTCAACTTGAGAATCGTCCTGATTCATTGCTTCGGGTCATTTCATCACAGGCAATGAAGATTCGATGATGGCATCATCAGCATTGTTCACTGCTTCACGCAGTCAGACACTCACCTACCTCTTAGCGGTGTGCCCCTTCTCCATCGCCTTCCTAGTCTTCATCAACTCATCCATCTCCTTCGTGGTAACCAATCTGATTGGGCTTCAACATGGAGAGGGAGATGCCGTCGGAACTCTAGGGTTTGCAGATGAACTGCTTGCGCTGGTCGCCTGCCCACTCTGGGGCGTTCTCTCAGATCGAATCGGTGTTCGACATGTAAGCTCCTGACTAGCCCACTCAACAATCTCATTCCAAAATTCACATATCAATATCCATGGATGCTTGCAAAGCAATGTTTTATCGATAATTGACACCTTCTATAGGTTTGTACAGCGGGCTACGCTATTTTAGCGCTTGCGCTAGTCGTATTGGTACAGGCCACAAACATCTACCCCCAGCTTCTACTGGGCAGGTTACTTTTCAGCGTCGGTGGCTCTGCTGTGTCGACTATGGTCACTGCAGTCCTACCGACTGTCACTGGCAAAGCCAATCCTCAGGCAAACCGTGAATCGGTTTGTTCAGAGTTGACCATCACGCCGGAGCGAGTCAGGAACGGCCACAATGTCTCTGGAACGAGCGCATCCCCGTCTGCTCGACTCTCTGGGTTTGTTGGTACATGTGCCGGCTGTGGTGCACTTGTGGCATTGAGTGTGTTCCTACCGCTCGCAGCACGATTTGAAAAGAATGGACTTTCTCCTGCGCAGGCGATCCAACGCAGTTATTATGTAGTCGCTGCTGTCGCTCTTGCGATCAGCTTCGTTTGTTTTATTGGACTGCGCGATCTCCCTGGCGAAAAGGGCAAAAGCTGGAGTGCGTTGTGGAAGTCTGATTCATGTGAAGATGACGAGGACGACGATTCATTTGTCGAGTACCCCAAAATGTCCTATTGGAAGCAACTAACGACCGCCTTGACGTTGGGCTTCCGGAACCGCTGCATTGGGCTGGGCTATGTTGGAGGCTTTGTGGCGCGCGCTTCATCGGTCGGGATATCATTGTTCATCCCCCTCGCTGTCAACCATTATTACCGGGCGTCGGGTCTCTGCCACGAAGATCGTGAGCCTGCACCTGGTTCTGGGCTGGGAGACATCAAAAAAGCATGTCCACGTGCATACATCGTCGCGTCCATATTGACTGGGTCCTCACAGCTGGTTGCATTGCTTGCAGCGCCAGCATTCGGATACCTGACCGACAAGTCGCGCCGATACAATTTCCCACTTTTGTTTGCCGCATTGGTAGGAGTCATCGGTTACGTTCTCTTCGCATGTCTCCCAAACCCTCAATTCGAAAAACCCGACGGCAGCCTTTGGGTGTTTGTGGTGATGGCTCTGCTCGGGATTAGCCAGATTGGAGCCATTGTGTGTAGCTTGGCAGTGCTGAGCAACGGAATCTTGCGGGTCAGCATCGATGACGAGGCACTAAGAAAGTTATACGAAGAGCGACGTGCCAACGGGGACGAGAACGAGCCCGACGAGGGCCAGTCTCTTCTGGGCGGGTCCGTCAACCGGAGATTAGAGCATCTGTCCCACCTTAAAGGCTCCATTGCCGGGGTTTACTCCTTGTACGGTGGGGTGGGAATCTTACTGCTGACGAAAGTGGGTGGGCTGCTTTTTGATGTGCTATCATCCAGCACCCCATTTTTTATCATGGCCGGTTTCAATGGGATCTTGCTCGCCACGGGGATTCTTTGTGGGAGTATGAATCATTTCGGGTTTGGGCTTTATTAGTGAATGTTTCATGGTAGCCATGTTAGGAAACACGTTTGCATCATAGCTATGGATAGAGTTTCTTTCAGCCTCGATAGAAACGCCCACTGTATGATTGGTGTCGCAAAGGGCTGCAATATATTCTCAAAGTTCGTATCACTCGGACACGTTGGTAGGAACTAGTGGGTAACAAGAAATTAATTAAAAAGAAGAATGAATGGTTCGTCGTATTAATTAAAAGATAGCGGCACAATTTTATGAACTCGGTTAGGCGTCCTTATTGAAACACCCGTGGACGCTAATTAGAGCCGGTCTGGGGAAACAGCCACATTGAGCGTCTAGATTCTATGAGTAGATATTCGGCAGGATAGGGGAAAAGAGTTGATGTTGGCGAACATGAACTAGATCTACTGGTACTCATCAGAGGACCATATCAGACTGAAATTTCCAAATTGCTTTGTTGATCTCATCTCGCTAGTTGGCGACCCTAATGAAGACCACCAAACAACCTTCCACATACGGCGAGTGACCCAGGGGTCTGTTCGGCCCCTAGACCCGGATCGGCTAGCCCCGTTATATACTTTGGGCTAACTGGCCCGAAAGGGACTAGTGCCCCTCGCAATATAACCTTTCAAGGTGCCGAGCAGCCAAACTCCCCTTTTCGAAACACGAACCCTTTCACCCCCTGGTGTTCCTGTTGGTGTTCCTAACGTGCCTAGCCGCTCGGACCAGATGACCTTGGCATGTGCTGTACGAAATGGACGCTAATACCAAGTGTGATGGAGCCCCCAGTTTTGCGCGCTTAAACTCCAGATGTCTCGCTCTGACACTTCCTTCTTTCTTTTCTTTCTTCAGGCTCAAGCGGTCCATACACACTCTTTTCGTCAATTGACAGTCTTTCGTTAAACTCCAGTCCTTCTTTATTGAGTGTTTCTACTCCAAGTACCGTGTACTTTCATCTTTGTGCGATTCCAACCTGATTATTTTCCAATATCACCACCGGTTATCCACCAAATTTCCAACATGCGTTTCCAATCTGTCGCTATTTTGACCGGCGCTACCGCTGTCGCTGCTGGCAACACTGCCAACCTTCTGCTGCCCGGTTTCGGTGGTCAGGATCTGCAAGCTGGTGTCGTCGAGACCGTAAGTGCTAGACCCAATTTTGGAATGCGCGCAATGAGCGCGTCTTGCCATTATTCAATCGATATACTAATAAATTGCAGAATGGTGACGCGACTACCTACAAGATTACCTGCCCCCAGACCGTCTCTGCTGGCGCCTGCGGTATCGCTGGCGAGGGCCTGACTGCCATCGCTGCCCCTACTTCCATGCAACTGCAGAACATTAACTTGCAGGGAACGTGAGTATCTCAATTGAAACCTCTTTATTCCATAAGCATATGCTAACATTCAACAGCACTGGAACCCTGTCCTGCAACATCGCTGGCACCACCTACGCCTCCTGCCAGGCCTCTGCTGGCACCGCGACTCCTTCGGGAACTCTTGGCTCTGCTGATATGAACTGGATGCCCGTGACCGTCACTGGTCCCTGCTCCACCAGCACCCCAACCCCTACGTCGACTCCTACGCCGACTTCCACCCCGACTGCCACTGCTACCCCTACTAGCACTGTTGTCACCACCTCCTCTTCCACCATGTCAAGCGCCATGTCTTCCCCCAAGAAGTCATCCTCGGCCGTCGCTTCTTCTTCTTCCCAATTGATCACCTCCACCCCTCTGGTGGCAGCTCCCACCACTGGAGCCGTGATCTCTGGAACCGGCGCCCCCGTCGCTTCCTCCACTGCCTTCAACGCTGCCGGTCAGGTCGCCAGCAGCTTCTGGACTGTCGGTGGTGCCTTCGTGGCTTTGGCCTGCGCTTTCGCTTAGATGAATGTCTAAGATGATACAGCTATGCCTTTCACAGTGCTTGGACGCTTCTACGGATACATCTATCACATATCTGTGTTCATTTAATATTCTTTAATGTTTGATACCTTTCTACACGACAGACTACGATCTAGCGTCTTTTATACCATTGTATCTTCAGCTTTGAATATACCTTTTGTCCTTTCCGAATCTTTCCAACTCATTTACATAGTTTGAATCTACTTAGTATCCCCCGGATTTTCATCCATTTTACTCCGTACTTATGTTCAGCCCTATTGCATTCTCCACCCCTGAATATCACCCACATGTCTCAGCCCACCTGAATTTGGAGTGTACCCACTCAGCACGGCCCTCCGGTGAAATGATCTCCTAGCTACTATATCTGCAAAGAGAAAGTGATTCTGCAAGGGTGTGCTGATCAGTAGATCGCGATCCGCTTGATGCAGTTGAGCCGCGATGATCCATATGGCATGCAATACTGCAAGGGTGGACTTTGCTCATAATCCGATGACGCCTGGACCATGCCTGGCATATGATAGATCAGAAAGGTAAATTTGCTTGCATAGACCACCCAACCTTGGATGATAATCTAATGTACTCGTACTTTGTATGCTTGTTTCCGAGATCACATTTTGTATAGATCTACTCTGTACAGCCTGGCGTTATGCAGTACAGTGCATTCAATGCACGGGTTATGATACTCAGAGAGTGCATACTCCTTAAGGAATTGTAAATGATCGCCAAGTTCAATATCTGGAATATTGTTCACGATATTTAGCAGCGCCACACTGGTACAGGCATCTTTAGCTGTCTGCATCCATTCCCCGAGGTTTCCTTCCCACCTGGGCATCTGGGGGCATTTTGAGGGAGTAAACTATCGACCAGGTACAACCAGTGGTATTGAAACCCATCGGACTGCCAACGGGTTTACCGACGGGCAGACGGTTCGCATGTCATGATCGCAAAATCCTTGGGCCAGAGTCTGCCATGTCTTTCGAGGAATGTTGTTCTTTGTAGTCATCCTGAAAACCTTTTGGTCGGATAGCCGGACGCTGCTCGAAGTGGTGCGGGATTGCTGCACCATCTTCACCATCTTCCACCATCTTCACCATCTTCCACCATCTTCACCATCTTCCACCATCTTCACCATCTTCCACCATCTTCACCATCTTCCACCATCTTCACCATCTTCCACCATCTTCACCATCTTCCACCATCTTCACCATCTTCCACCATCTTCACCATCTTCCACCATCTTCCACCAGGATCATCTCAAGAATGGATTTGAACCATGAGCGCGAGACTTGAACTGTATTTAGAACTTCAGAAGTCGTTCAAAGGCGGGAGTGACGGCGCACTGAGAACGAACCGGTGATGGGGTAAGGAGCTTTTGCGTTGTATCTGATTTCCAAGGGTCGTCCACGGTGATTGTCCAATCTGTCGCAGATGGGTCACTCGTAGTTCGCAAGAATAAGGTATACTCCTTATTCTTTGTGTGTTCCTGGAAGCTTTTGGGGACCTCCTTCTTGTCAGTCTTTCTGAAGCTGTCAGAGATCAAGGCGAAGTCACCTCAAGCGGGAAATGGGTACCAAGCTCCTGTCGAGAAGGGGTTTTTTTTTTTGATATACCAATTGCTTCCATAATTGACTTGACAAATTCTTTCGATCAGATCGATTCTCCCGAATCTGTACATCAGAACTTGCACCCAGGGCCGCATGCCGCGTCTGTGATGGAAGCAGATTGAAACAGGTCCCCTGAGTATCACCGGCTAACATGGTGCGTTGCACACTGCCACAAAAGGGACTCCGAAAGAGATCTCCCATGTGCAATTTCCCCAGTGATAGTTGTGACCACCGACTTTCTTGTCACGCCAGCGCCTGGGCGATATACTCAGATTCCGTAGAGCGATGAGTCATGACTGGGTGTCCAGCGGGTGGCCATTGGGGGCGTACCTGCCACTTTCCCCCATCCCAACAGCCCCCATCTCATCCCTCACCAAACGACAAAGTCATCGGGAGTGTCCATCACCACCACCAAATTGTCCACCTGACGGGAATGGATCTGCCCCAGCATACCACCAGGCTCATCAACGTAGTTATCGGTGTTTTCGTTTGCGAAAGGCTCGATATTTTCCGAACGCTTTGTGGTTGTTCGCTGCGTATAGGCCCGATGCCATCTTCGGCAAGGCCGTAGGGAGTTGAATGATTGTGACAAAAGATGTTGTAGAAGTTGGAAGTGGTTTGGTGAGAGGTTGGAAGTGGTTTGGTGAGAGGTTGGAAGATGGAAGATGGAAGATGGAAGATGGAAGATGGAAGATGGAAGATGGAAGATGGAAGATGGAAGATGGAAGATGGAAGATGGAAGATGGAAGATGGAAGATGGAAGATGGAAGATGGAAGATGGAAGATGGAAGATGGAAGATGGAAGATGGAAGATGAGAGAGGTGTAAAGAGTGTAGTGTATTGAAGGCAGATGCAGGGCATTGGTAGACGACGTACAAAGTGAAGAGAAAGGGTGCGAGTGAAGAGAGAAGTGGATAGAGAAGTGAAAGAGGCTGTGAATAGATTTAGTCGAGCGAGGTAGAGGTAAAGAAAGGAGAGAACAGAAAAAAGACTCCAGGTGTCTGCAGACGCCCGTTCGGCCTGTCTTCGAATTGTATGACTCGATTCTGACAGGACTTACAATGATGAGAATCACTCACTAATCTGGGCATCAAACCAGCTGTATTCTATTTGATCACTGCTAATCTGCAGCCCCTGCCTTTGTTAATCAATATCAATATCACGAATATGCAAAAACCAAATCTCATCCAAGCCAACACGAAGCAGAATGACCAAACCAGAGAAAAATGCAAGCCGTCGCCAAAAAGCCGAATTCCCAAATTGCCATCCAAAATCGTGGGTAACATGATATGCCTCCTAGAGACTATTTTCAGGAGTTCCAACGTGTAGCCAAACAAAACACACAGGATTAACCTCAGAGAAATGTCAGCTTGTCATGAACAGTTGAGGATTCTCCGTTTGAGAGTTTAAGAGTCTGTCCTTGAGAGAGACCATGAGGGGTGGTTTACTCCAGAGATAGTAGACCTTTTGATTGGGCCAATTCACGCTCTCGGGATGAAGCTGAAGGTCGAAATTAAAGAGGAGCTTGCAAAGAATGAGACGGATCTCGCAATTCGCAAGCCTAATTTGGTGAATTAGTTGAGGTTTCAGACTGAACGAAAGAGAAGGGAGATATACTCTTTTCCAAGACAACCACGAGGCCCCAGACTAAATGGTTGCAGGACATCTTTTCGGTCATTTGCAAAGGCAGGATCATCCAACCAGCGCTCGGGTATGAATTGATCGGGATACCTGAAATTCGACTCGGAGTGGTAGGAAGCATAGTGATGGCATGCAACGACTGTCTACCAAACAGAGTCAGATTTTCATTTCAACGCCAAACAAATAAAAAAAACCATACGGGAGTATGAAGCATACATTCTCAGGTACAAAGTGACCACTCACAAGCGCCCCACCTTCAGGCACAAGACGTGCCAGACTCGTAACAAAGGGCGGATACATGCGCAGTGATTCGTTAATGACGGCGACGAGGTATTGCAGATCTTCCAAAGATCGGAATGTCATGTTACTATCTTGGGTGAAAGCCGATCGTATTTCCGTAGTGAGTTTCGCCATCGCGCATGGTGTCCGGCACAGGTAGTAGATACAACCGGAAAGTAGGGTTGCGGATGTTTCACTACCAGCAACGATGAGGCTGGTGAGAGTAAGCAATATTCAATACAGCCCATACTTTGAATCGATGTGTATTTGTAGAGAGACCAATACATACATGAAGCCATTTGAATGGATCTCTGCCCTGGTCATGATACGCTCACCAGCGTCATACTGGCCCACTCGCTCACTCAACCCATTGTGCAACATCGCGGACAAAAAGTCAGATCGAGAAATGTTAGCCTCCAACCGCTTGTCAATCTTCTGTGCAGTTAGCTTGAAATGTTCTTGACCAACGCGCTTGACATCACCAGGGAGCAGCCTGTTCAACAGTGCCTTCAGGGCTGGGAACTGGTTCACGACCCCAATGAAAGCAATAGCCTTCATTGATTTGAAGATCATTCCAATCCAAGGATGTAACTGTTTATCTTTTAAGCAATCAAAAGACTCGCCAAACATCAGATCCCCAGTAATGTCGAAAGTCGTGAAATTCATCCATGCTTTGATATCAACCACAGACGTTCCCTCTCGAATACTAGTCCGTAGCTTGGCAATCAAAGTGTCGACATAACCACCAATCAGGCCTTCCTGCTCCCTAAGTGCCTTTTTCGAAAAAGCATGCGCAATAAGTCGTCTCTGCCTCGCATGACATGCATCATCAACCGCACAGACCAAATGATCAACGTGCCGGAGGCTCATAATGGCTCCGATCCTTAGGAAAGCAAGTCCCACCTAAGGCTGCGCCATAGATATCCCGGAAAGCCTGTGGGGTATTGAAAGCCAGTTCATTGGGGCCGATACGCACGACTGGACCGTACTTTGCATGCAGGGCCAAGATATCGAGGTGGTTCGTACCGCGGAGAACAGAGATATTTGACGGGATGCGAGATATGCACCAGAGGAATGGGCCTGGAAAATGGCGCAAAGGCGAGAAGAAAGAATAGGCAATACTGTAGATCAGCCAGAGGAAAGGCTGTTGATGATTAACACCTGGACGGTACTGTGTGGCAGCCTTATGCGGATGGGGGTGTACGTATGCAACTAACCAGACATGCAACGGCTGTGTACCAGTGATTTGAGATCCAAGACATCATATTGGTGGTAAGGATGTCCCACAGGGGAATATGCTCCCCGAAAGACATGGCTGAATCGATGTAGTCAGGATTTAGTTACGTTTTACTGGCTGGAGACCACAAGAGGAAAGCCAAGTGAGACCAGAGAAGAAAGAAGCAAACAAAATTTCAAACAAGACATTGTGGCTACAAGCGAAGAGACATCTGAAAGGGTAGAGAGTAGTACAGAGATATTGAATATTCAAGGTTGCACTCGTTACAGCTGGCTCAGACGCCAATTTTACACACAGTAAAAACTCCGAGGGGACTCGAGAAGCTTATAGTTGAGTTTTGGATTTGACTAACCTACTGGTCAGACGGCTTGCGACCGTATACGACATGCAAGATGCAATAACTACGAACATCGGGATTTTTGAGCTCCCGCCGTACCCCAGCCAGGAAGACCTGGGTTCGTTCATTCGACCATCCCAACACACGAGTAAAAAGAGCCAGCGAGTAAGATTCGACTGCTAGCAGAAGAGAGCATAGATTGTATTTGCCGATCTCCTTATTCAAAGGATCACTAGGCCATGTACTTGACGGCACCTTGTCGAAGAAGTCAGTTGTAGACTCAGTATCCTAGATGGGAGGGTGATTACCTTGAAAGTGTCATCGTGTACATTTTCAAAACCAGCCTCGATCAAGTGCTGTCGATGATATCGGGCAATATTCATGGGCCGATTGAAGCGAGCACTAGCCTGATCTAGATGACCAAGAAACTCACACAGTGTCGGAGCAAGAGCAATCGAATCATCATCAGATCTTAGCATAACCTCAAACTCACACAGCTCAATCCAGCCACCAGGACGCAGATGCTGAAATCCCTGAGCCAGCAACCTTGGCCAGTCCGAGATAGAACCACCCATGTCGCGAGAATGAATATAGTCGAAAGGCTGGGATCTGCTATATAGCCAAGCCGCCTCTGCGTCGTCAACGATAAATCGACAGTTGGGCGGAACCCATGCAGGCTGGATGGGACTTAGATCAATCCCTATGACCTGAGCGCTGGGAAAAGCGTCTGCGAAGTCGATGGCCCATATCCCGGTGCCCGTTCCGATATCCAGGACTCGTTGAATATCTTTTTCCAAGGGGGCGTGGAAGAGCCGGCCGTGAAGAACCAGGTTTCGGACGTGGTGAAGGAGATCCTGTCGATCTTGTTCGGGTTCATCGTTTGGAAGGACATATGTACCTTCGCGGTACGAATGATATCGCCTTCCATTTTCGTATGTGAAATTCTCTGCTTCGGATAGTAGTGAGGCTGTGTAGGTTGATGTGAGGTCTTCTTCGAACACAGAGGAGCTTCCAGTGGACGAATCAGCCTCAGAAGTCTCGCCGTCCAGATCGTCAATGTCATCTGGTGCGATAAATGGGAGAGATTGCATCAATGCGACTGGTATAGAATCAGGCGTAGGTTGGACAGAATTAGACAAGTTCGCAAGGTTCATGTCATCATTATTTCCACTTGGGGAGTGGTTTGTTGGAGAAGGAGATCCCGGCAGAAACATGCGTCTTTCAATCTCTTCATTGCCAGAAAGAATAGGTAGTGTATCTGGCCCGGAGTGAGGTAGCGGAGGGTCCGATGTCATTGATCTCTTCGCATCTGAGGTATCACCTGGTGATTCTTCGGTATTAAAGTGAGATGAATGTGAAACACTGCTCATGGCGCTGCAGTAATTGAAATGTGTTTGAATAGACCCCAAAGACAAGCGTTGCTCTGGGGCACTGGGGCCAGCAGCATCATTTCTAGGATCATCGTCGGAAAGTCCAATCATGGCTTGGGAGGTTGATGGAATGTCAGAAGTCGTATCCAAAGACCGTTTTGAAGGAATGCACGAGGCGGGCAAGACAACTTGATCTGATGCCATGATGCCCTCGCGGCGATTGCGTCGTTTGTCTCTGAGACATACAAACCGAGAACAAGAAAGGAATCGTCAAACGCCGTATGCGTTGGAATAGAGGTCTGTTCGATTCTGGTTCTGGAAGGAGGCTAGGCCCTTTTGGGGAACAGTATAAACTTGTGTACTTTCAGGATTACCTAGAGATGACAAGCATATTTAGTACAGACTTCAGGTATAGAGATGTTGAAAGGACAAGAAAACTTTAGAACATTCCCTTGGGAAAGTTTTCGTTCGGTTTCCAAATAGTATGGTGTAACACATAGGGTTAACCTAAATGAGCCAGGGTATAGGCACAGCAGGATAGCGCAACCAATCGACATCGAAGGCCGTGCTAAGGCATTTCTGTACGGAGTACGGAGTATATCATCTAGTATTCTCGATACTGGGCAGACATAGGCTCAAGACTGTGTGAATCGGAAGCTGGGAAGATAATTTAATGTAGACAGAACTTGGAGGATTCAACACATGTAAGTTTTCTCCCAAAAATTCAATTAGCACATCTTCCAGCACGGGACTATGCCTGACTGTAACAACAGAGGGAATGGGGAGACTGCCTGGGTACATGCAGGAAGCCGAGCCCTAATCCCTGTCGACCTGCCACATTTCTCCGAGTACATTGGACGAGAGGCATAGTACATACTGTGGTCGGGTCAACCAACGCCTTCGGATTACCTTTGGACCAATCCATTGCTTGAATGAGGTTGACCAGCACAGTCTGGGAATGGTGTTTCACTACGTCAAATGACCGGATTGGACCGGCGGGATTGGTATGTGGAAGGTTGGACAGGCGTTTCGCCATAGCTCCCCGGAGTGCAGGAAGTGTAGACTGGGGGTCTGTGGTTGGGCCGAGATAGAGTTTTCTACGCCGGAAGCAGTGTCTGAGCCATACGATAATTTGTATTGGAAGAATCGGGGTATTATCTTAATTCATCATTCATAGCCGCGCAGTCGCAACTCAGTCGAATCCAGCGCCGTCGCGACTGAATCTCGCTCCCTTGCCTCCATCACCGAACTTCTTGTCAGACTTTATTTCCAAGCCATGATACAAAACCTGAGCCCGGAGAATTCGCCAATGAGCTTCTTGATTGAACTCTCTAAAGTTTTCCAGGGTGGATCGTTGCACCTCGGAGCGGAGGTCAACTTGGTTGGAGATGAGTAATCCTTTCTCCATATCGATACGCGCATCCAATACCCCGTCTTGAATGAGGCCAATCAGCTCTTGCACGAATGGAGAGGAAATATCGGTGGGTTTGGCTTCCCCGCCAATGACGCTGGGGGCGAATATCTTGGCCATGGCATCGAGTGTGACACGGTTGTAAGGGATCATGTATTGTTCGATGGATTTGGTGCGGATGCGCTTGTACAGCTGGGGAAGGAAGCGCTGCAGGTGAACATCGAGCAGATAATCAGGGCGGTAGGACTCCAGGATGTCGAGGCAGGGGCGGAACTTGAAGTTACAGAAGGAAGCGATGGCGCGACGGATGTGAGGTTCGAGTTCGAGGAAGTTCCGGAAAGACTGATTGTCTAGTACGTTGCGCTGGAGTTCCTCCCTGTTCATTGATGCGAGGGCACAAAGACCACCGTAGACGGCCACGTCGTTGGGAGTGAGGACTTCATTGTAGCTGTCGCCCAGATCCGCTGGGATTGCCAAGAAAGCGTTTGCTGCTTCGAGGAATGCGCCTTGTTGCATTTGCGCGAGTGCCCAAGCAGCAGCTATCTTTGGTTCATTCCGAGAGGCATCCTCGGGCTTGGATTGAGAGTTGCGCAAGCGGTGCACATTGGACTGCACGGAGAGCCAGTCGCCTCGCTCGATGCTGACACTGACCATTTTGAAAAGCATAGAAGTGATGTGGTTGGGTGTGGTGCAGAAGTCTCTCACGCGAGAGTAGGCCTTGGAGGCAGCCGCCAGGTCTCCGGTTCTGTAGTAATGGTTTCCCAAATCCTCAGTTCCCATCTGTAAATGTCAGTGGAACATGTCTGCCAGCAGCCGTTGTTTTCCACTCACACGAATGCTTTCTTTGATCAGGTTGTTCTTGTATCCCTTCAGCTCTCCTTCCAACCGCTCAGTCTGAGCGTTCACACTCCGCTGGGTTTCTTGAACCCACGCAGAGTTAAGAGTAGCTTCGGGGTCACTTGGTGCCACTTCAGACAGCGCGCGAACTGCCTTCTCATATTTTATGATATCCTTGCTGGCTTTGGCCTCAGCGATAGCTGCCTTTAAGGCCTCGTTCGCGAGTGATGGGGAACACGTGCCGATGAGATAGAGGCGGTCGTAGCGGGTACGGCCTGTGGTTGTCAGATTGAGGCATACCCTGGGGAAATAACGATAACTCACCGGTGTAGTTCGCGATGTAAGTGTCGAGGTCAAACTTGGGAGCTTCTAGAAAACCAACCAGTGTCAGCGTAGCCTAGGTGCGGGCACCTCAATGCGGCGAGCCCCACGACAAGAAACATACCTTCAACCCGCACCGGAGCTCTGACCCTGGGTTTAGCCGCTGCATTTGCAACCTCCGGTGTGCCACCGGCCTGTGATGTCTCAATGTCCATCTGGGATGAACCAACGGGATCCGGAAGTGTGTCCATGTTGCCGTATCGGACGGGCAATCAGACAGGGTAGCAACAGTTCAACGTGAAAAACAAGAAGCTGACTCCAGTTCAACAGAGTAGTCTGAAGGGACAGTAGATAGCGATTATGAGTTGCTAGACGAGAGCATCCAGAGAGTAGAGCGTAAAGTGGGATTCCAATCAATTGATGTGATGCTTAATTGTCCGGCAGAAACTGACCACCATTTTCACCGCCGTATATACATGTGAATTTGCGCAGTGCGATGACCATGTTAGAACGAATGATTTGTGCTTCTTCGTCCAGAGATGCACAGACAATTAGGAATTTGGGGTAGTCTCCAAAACTATGGGAACACGCAGGGAGTATAGAAATCTCGAAGTTCCCAAGGTCATCTCCGAGGCCAAAGCTACTGCCTCGGAACTTGAGTAATCAAGAAATCCAACCCTGCGGCAATCGGCTTCAAAACTGGGAGAAATCTTAATTGTAATCTCTTTAATACTCCTGATCATCTAAACATTAAATTCAAGCCAAGCTCGGCTACAGCAAAAAGATATAACTAGCCGAATCTGGGGTAGGGGAAACTTGAACCTCCAACCTCATCAACCAGCGTATCGACAACGTTAAGCACTCAAGATGTCCTCAGCCGAAGTCGCCCTAGTAATGGGCGCCTCTCGAGGTATTGGCCGTCAAATCGCCATTGACCTAGCACGAAACAACTACAATGGTATATCAAACGAGTCCACGATCCCCAACCCCAACTAACCAGAACCAGTAATGCTAGCAGCAAAAACAACGTCAGATGAGAACGTAACACCATTCCCACCAGATCCCAACTCATCGCTTTCAACAATCAACACTGTAGCGAGGGAGATTCGCGAAGCAGGCGGCCAAGCCGGCACAGTAGCCGTGGACGTTCGAGACGCAACACAGATCCAGCATGCCGTCGAAGAGACGATCCGGGTCTTCGGCAAGTTAGATGTATTGATCTACAACTCCGGTGCGATATGGTGGTCTTCCGTCGAGGACACGCCTCTCAAGCGGTTCAAACTCATGCAACAGGTCAACCCGGAGGGTTTGTATGCGACAGTCCAGGCGGCATTGCCTATCTTCAGCAAGAACGGGTGGAAGGGGAGGATTGTGGTTGTTTCTCCGCCGATTTATTCGCGCTTTTTCAGAGGGAAGACGGCCTATGCTATGGGTGAGTTTCGCGTTTTGCCAAGTGAACTATGTGCTGATGTGATGTGTATGTAGGCAAGGTTGGCATGAGTGTATTGGTGAAAGGTCTCGCTATGGACTTTGTGCGTCAAGGCCGAAATGAAATGGCGGTGACGAGCATCTGGCCGGCATCGGTAGGTGAAATTCACTCTTGAGAGGGCGAAGCTGATGATGTTCGCTAGTCGATTGAGTCTGCAGCTACAGAGCATAACAAGGCATCTGACAAGTCTTATAAGAAAGATTTGCGAAAACCAGTATGCATATTGATACGTCATTGCCTTGGATCTCTACTGACGCGCCCCAGACTATCTTTTCAGATGCCATTCTGGCTATGCTGAGAGCCCCGCATCATGTAGTGAATGGGCTTCTGGATACGGATGAGGATTTCTTAAGAGAGAAATGCGGTGTCTCTGATTTCTCTAAGTATTCTGTTATCCCGGGTTCTACGCCTCGACGGATCATGCCAAGTCAGTTCCCAGTACTTGAGGTTGCAGAGCAGGATGATGAGGGGCAGCGCATGGACAGCACGAAATTGCGGGCTAAGATCTAGATATCGCGATACGTCGATCACCGCTTCTAGAACTACTATTTTTATCAGCATACAGGCTCTGAATGCATTGATATGCATATACTTAAGCTGTTCAACTGGCTTACAAGAGTAAGGAGGTATGAGAAGCAAATAAGACATTGGCCATAGATAAATTACTCCATAATCCAGAGGCGAAAACCCAAAAAAGTACGCTCAATGCTAATGCAACTCCAAAATCCCAGACGCAAAGAGGCCAAAAAGACAATTAGAGTATGGAAGAAGCATTCCAACCTAAGCTTCTCAGCCCCCAAGCCCCATAAAAAAAGAACAAAAAAGAAACCACTAGCCAGCCATTTTCATTTCTCAGTTGAGCAGTATTGCAGCCCAACGCATTACAGCAAGGTAGCCATACCGGCGACAACTCCGCCGACCACAACACAGAGCCCATAGACATGGCTCATGTCAGCCATTCGTGGGGCGGCACCGGTTGAGCCCGTATTAAGCGGCGTTTGTGTTGCTGTAGTTGCAGCAGCTGTGGCGGTAGTATTGGTTGCATTGACCCGCTTCGGGTCTTGAGCACCACAGGGATTCTTTGTGCGGCAATCATATTGACAGTTTGAATCGCCATTGCATTTGGCGACACATTGGTTGTTGGCCTCGGTGCAGGTGTAGTAAGGAATCGTCTGGGAGTATTCCGTGGCGTTGGGAGTTACACCATTGCTACATAAACAGTCATAGTCGAGTGTGGTCTGGAATAATTAGTTTCTTTCTTGAAAGCGAAATGGTGAAGTTTCGCTTACAGCTGAGCAGTTGTTGGATGTTGGCGAGCCAGATGCTCCGGATATCTGTAGGCAAAGCAGGGGGCAGGCGGATGTTTGAGAGTTACACCAAGCCTCTGAGATTTGTTAGCATGAACCTGGTGCTGGTCTGGATGATCACTGACCTCTTGTAGCTAAGGGAACTGATGACAGATCGAGTTGACAGCTAGCCAGTGTGGCAGAGGCGATGATGAATAAAGTTTTGGACAGCATGATGATGGTCGGGAGGCTGAGAGTTGATGGAAGGCCACTAGATGTGTTAGCTTGGAGAATTCCAGTAGCTTTGTATACTTTCAGACCACATCTAGCCCAGGAGGCCAGTGATTGGAATGAAGGGGGGGAAGTACGACAGCAATGTCTTAGAACCTACCGAGCTTGATAACCGGAACTCTTTCCAGACACCAGGAATGAAGGATGAGTATATCGAGATGTGCTACAATGTCAGCCAAAACCAATAAAGAGTTGAGCGAGTGTCAAGAGAAAAATAGAATAAGAGTACGGAGTCGCAAGGGAGGAGAGAGTTCATAAAGGAAAAAGCAATGATCACAGGACTATGTATGCTCTATGTATAGAATGTACTAGTTAGTTTGCATGGTGGCACGCACTAGTGCCACTTGTACATCTGCTTTGTTTTTTGCCCTTGATCAGTCGCAATTGATTCCAGTGCCGAGTGCCCAGCCGTGGAAGCGAGGCGTGAGGTTCCGCTATAGGGGCAACCCTGAGAACCCTGAGATCGATCCGGGGAGATCAGTGGAACTGAGGTTTTCCTGATTCTTTTCTTTTATGTTGGTCTGACGTGCCACCTGTCATTCGATTGCCGACTAGTCCCCGTTGCAATTGGAGCAACCTGACTGGGCTTGATAAAGATACAGCAAAATGTCTCAGGCGAAAAGCCGGAGGAACGCCGATCAGCGACGCTTACCGAGTTGGGGTTAGTGTCTGGGAAGTGAAGAGAGTTTTGTATAGTCTATAGGAGACTATTCTTTGAGAAGGGCAATAGACTGGAAATTGTATAGTTCATAAGATTCACAGTCAAGATTCACTATTAAGATCTAGACAATTGACAAGGAAAAGGGCAAAGGGAAAGTGCGAATGTGAAGCGCATTAGCTAAGCAGATCTCCGCATGACAACGTCTGGGAATTGCCTTTTGCCTCCAACCCCGCGTCTTTGTCTCACTTGTGGTGTGATTATTATCCATTGAACAGAACAGGACACAGCCTTGAAAACCTAATGGATGGAGCCAGAACCTGAGGTGGCTGGAGCGGCATCGCACTCCGAATCCAACCCCGAATCGATCCCCGCACTCGACACAGAGACCGATACCCAGAGTACGACCTCAACAGCTTCACGCCCACTCTCTGGAGTGATTCCACCCTACTGGCGTCGTCATGATCGCAATGTATCCCACGCCTCACAATCCTCGCTCCGAGGCATCACGCTCGAAGACCACACCGCCGATCCAGACTCAGAAACCACGCGTGGACTATGGGCGCGTAGCGTCGCGATCGAGGATCATGTTGTTGTCCGTGGAATGACAGGTGTGGGCTCGTATGTGGTGTGGAATTGTACTATCCAGACGCTTGATGTGGGTGACCGAATGATGTGGTGTTTTGTGGCTCGAAATGCTAATAAAATGGCAGGGTGGTCCAATTGTGGTTCGGATGAGGTTAGTTGAAACCGAGTTGGTTCATGACTGTCGCTGATGATGAACAGATACTCCGAGTTTGATGGTTTGCGCCAGAGACTTGTGGCTTCGTTCCCGCATGCCAGAAATGCACTGCCTGCATTGCCGCCGAAGAGCGTTCTTTGTATGTTTCGATCGGCCCAATCCCGCGTTCGCGTGGCTGATATGTTCTAGTCAAATTTCGACCCAAGTTCTTGGAGTCAAGACGCGTCGGCTTGGAGTATTTCCTCAAGTGAGTATTGCCTCGTGTTCTTGTACAAGACAAGCCAATGCTGACCTTGCTCTAGCTGTGTACTTTTGAACCCGGAGTTTTCTGGATCACCTATTGTGAAAGACTTTTTGTTTGGTCGTATCTGCTAAGGTTAGCATGTCTTGTTTCTTTTTCGCGTTGATCGGGTTTGGCGTTTTGTGGACATGGCATTTGCATTGTATTGCAATATAATAGTATCATTGGTTTTGACCGAACAACAGACTGTTCCAGTGTCTGTATATGGCACCCAGCGGTGGCTTGACGGGATGAACGGGGATGGCTTGTATTGTACACTGCCCTCTACGCAAGGGCAACAGCAGAATCTATTGAGGGAATGATTAACATAAGTTACATAAATGGGGATACACCAAAGACACCAAACCAAAAGCCATGAAACAAAACGCAGACCACCTTGAAAACTTCCAAGGTTCAAGTGGTAGTGCAACAGCGATGAGCATCAAAATCCCTAGTTTCCACTAGGGCAGCCAAGTCAGGGTTGTTTAGACACCACACAGCCACTTTGTTGCTCAGGACTTTTCTCCTTCGTTCCCTCAACCTCCTTCCTCCCCACCCAACCCCTAACGTCAGCCCAGAAAATCTTCCTCAGACTGATATTCGCCATATGCGTCATAGCCAACAAAACTCGGGGCCCAGGAATCCCCGAAGGGAAAACAAGATAAAGCCCATTATCCAAGTTCGGATCAGGCCGAAACTTATCATGATAAGCCTTCTTTCCACCAATCGGCAACCGCTGAAATGCACGCTCGTACAGATCCCGCGTGAAGCTCCGCAACGGCGCCGGCATGCCGACAACATCGTCCCGAGCAAGCGCATGCAACGGCTCGAACCCAAATCCCAAATACGACACGCCTGCTCGATTAAGCAGAGCCATGGCTGCGACAAGTAACAAGTCACTAATTCCCTTGTTTGACCCCGGTGATGCAATGCATGGGTCAACGTGGTATCCGTCTGCGCCTAGACGACGTAGCGCTGCGAAGCCATTCACGGTACCTTTGCTATCGCGCGTGTATATGAAGGTCATTAGGGAGGGGAGGGCGAATGGATCGTAGACTGTAATAAAGGCTTGTGGTGATGCGGTTTCGTTTCTGTGGGCGCGCCAGGTATCGTATATTGAGATGAGGGTTGATTGGAGATGGTGGTCTGTCCCGTGGACGGCTGGAGCATAAACATGTAATGTGATTCCTCCTTTTGATTTGTTGAGGAGCTGGCGGTTTTGCGTTGTTATGCGCTTTCCGCTGGTTTCGAGGAGGACTTCGTTTGTTTGGGGGTTTAGGACTCGTTCTGTGCCGAAGCGGATGGTTGTCCATTGGTTTGGTTGGGCGTAGTCTTTTAGGAAGGATTCACTGGCGCCCATGAAGGCGATGCCCCAGTGATGGCGTTTTCGGTATGTTGTGAATTCGGCGAGGAGCTCGGGGATGGAGGATGGAGGACATAGGGGATCACCGCCGACTATGGCGACGGAGTTTTGGATCTTGAAGGAGAGAGCTGCTGTTCTGGATTTGTTCACGAAGAACCGGTAACTGCGGTCGAGGATGCCCATGTGGGCTACGCGGCCGTAGTTTGCGGCGAGGTGCTCGATGGCTGTCATGGTGGTGAAGTCATCTAAACTGAAGACATCTGCTTGGCCAAGATCTCTCGATGTAGGCTCTGACTTTGGGGGTGTATTTCCGGCGGCTGCTGGTTCCTGGGAGGTTGCATAGTACAATGGTTCGTGTCCGTCGATACTCGTTGTTGGGGTGGAAAGTGATCTGGCTGTTGTTTGGGAGCTGTAGTTCGATGAGCTGGCAGATGAAGAGACAGTTTCATCTTTCGCATTGCTGCGTAAGTGATCTATGACCGTGACACACGACAGACATCCATCGATATGGTCATCGTGTACTGAGTCTGTGTAGAGTTGCTCGACCAGGCTATCACCAATCTCTTCCAGGAACGACCTTTTCCGGGGCTTTCCAATATCGATTGTTTCTCGTTTCCGCGCACGACGGGATTTCGAGATTGGTGTTTCACAAGGCTTGCTCATGGTGACTTGACGATTGAAGTCGGCCCAAATCACGCCGACTTTGGATGTTTATGTAGGAGTGAAGAAGGCGCAGTAGATGACCGCACTTGCCAATGACGTCTCGATGTCATTAAATACTGTCATTGAGCCCAGCGCTAAAATTACATACGAGTACAGGCGTATCAGGTACGGAAGGTGCGGTAGGTACGGCCCACGAGTTGAGGGTGATAGTTACATGGTTCAAATAGCTGAATGTAGACGAGGTGACCAATCATATGGGTGGTAGAGTATAAGCCTTGCTGAGCCATTGGTTCCCGTGGGGCGTAGATCTCGCAACTGTAATATGTACCTTGAGCCAAAACGCTGGTGCCTACCTTTGTATACCAAATGATACGCCTTATTCAGGGTCTCTGCCCTACGGGTGGGTTGGAATCTTGTTTTTTTCCCTTCTTGTTTCGGAATCTCGCTTTATTCCGAGATAACTTCTGCCTGGACGCAATCCGCGGACCCCGTCCTAAAATTGGTATTGTATGATATAGTGCATTGCATGGTCTAGAAGTCGCTCTGGAACATCGATTTCGACGGTAATATTAAGCCCCAAGGCAGTCGTATAACATGACTCCATCTGCAGGAACTTGGTCACCCAGGCCCCGGAGGCATCCGTGGAAGCTGATGCCAGCGAATCCACATGTACGCTGGCTCAAGGACTGCCTTAAACTATGTGACAATTTCACGGTTTACTCATCTAGAAAGAGAGAGAGAGAGACAGAAGAGTCACCGGGACTCTACCATTCACACGACAATGATCATTCAGAAAACAGACCAATGTGTCATCAATAAATCAGACAACATAACCAGGGATATCATCAACTCAGAAACCGCTCAGCACAACATCAAAAGAAAATGGCAAACACATAAGCCAAGGCCGACAAAGCTTCAACAGGCGTCCCGGCAACATAGACGATTGGACAACCAAACAAGGGCCCAAAACAACGCATCACAGCCACCCTGACATTACAGCTGAAGAGGCACCCCAAATGAGCCATCCTCGAGGCGAAGTTTGAGGAGTACATCGGCGATCACCTTGGGGTCGGGGTCATCTGCGTTGGGCATGATAGTGACATTGGCCTCCTCTTTGACCTTGACCTCCTCTTCATCCAATTCACCCGCGTTAGACTTCTCAAGAATCGCGTCCATGGTGCGATTGATAGCCCGCATTTCCTCAATCAGCTGCTTTTGCTGCTCGACAATCGACTTTGCCAGAGCTACAGGCCGCTTGCTGTTCAATATGCAGCGATCCAATCGTCGGATATTATCTTGGATACGCTTGGTCACGGGATCTTGCTTTTGGTCTTGATTAGTCGGGGGAGACATCGGCATAGGAGAATAGCAGTGCTTACCATGTAGTGGGCCCAGAATTCCGAAGGTGAAAGATCAGGCAGCGCGGAAAGGTTGGGTGGGTTCAGCTTGAAGGTGGTGCTCAAGACTGCTGGGTCAAGACGCAAACCTGCAGCTGCACTGCCATTGTTTGGGCCGAGGGGCGTAGGTGCAGTGAGTCTGAGATCGATCTTGACTGGACGAAGTTGCTTCCTCTCGATATTCTTGTTGTTCATCTTGAAATGTGGGCAGCAACCCTGCCGTGACTTGTACTGAGCTCTTTGGTATGGATGTGTGAGTGTGGATGTGAACCAGAGAAGAAAGAAGCAAAGAAGAAGAAGAAGTATGCCTTCTGATCAAATGAGGCAGGGGCTCAGTTCGCTGAGAGAGTCCTCACTTGTTTTGTCTTCGTTGTGGACGTGAGAGAAGAAGTAGAAGAAGTAGAAGAAGTAGAAGAAGTAGAAGAAGTAGAAAGGGAAGTATGAGTTCTGATCAAATAAAGTAGACGCTCAGTTCTCTGAGAGAGTCCTCACTTGTTTTGTCTTTCTTGTAGACGTGTGGGTTGGAGATACGTAAGTGTGGACGTGAACCAAAGAAGAGAGAAGCGAAGCGGAAGAGGAAGTATGAGTTCTGATTCAATGAGGCAGGGGCTCAGTTCTCTGAGAGAGTCCTCACTCGTTTCGTCTTTATTGTGGATGTGAACCAGAGAAGAAAGAAGCGAAGAAGAGGACGAGGATGTGTGAGTTCTGATCAAGTGAGGCAAGGACTCAATTCTCTAAGAATATCCTCACTCGTTTTGTCTTTGTTATGGATGTGTGAATTGGAGATGCGCAAGTGTGTACGTGAATTAGAGACGCAAAGAGGGAAGAAGAGGAGATATGAGTTCTGACCAAATGAGGCAGGAGTCAAATTCACAGAGAGAATCCTCATTCGTTTTATCCTTAGTTTAGACATGATGTTTTCATGTTTTCATGAATTCATACTTCTATACTTCCCTTCTCGAAGGTTTGAAGGTTCCAAGGCTCAGAATGTTCCCATTGGCGCTCAGACCAACGCTAATTTGATCGGGTTAGCGTGTGTGTACCGCGCTAATCCCAAACAGGGAACTGTCATCTCATCGCGTGTGTCAACTTGCAGACATCACTTCATTGAAGCCAAACTGCCGCAGTCTGCCTCTATTCCATCCCTTTATATACTATGATCACCTCTCGCCCTGCCACGCTGGCTGATATCCCCCAGGTGCGTGATATCCACCACTGGTATATTGTGAACACCTGCTCCACATTCACAACTACCCCACCACCGGTGTCCCACTATGAAGACATACTACGGGATCTCAACAGACGCCAGCTGCCATTCTACGTGGTGGTCTCCGACACCCGAAAGTCAGCAGATGGGGCAGATTTAATCCTTGGCTATGCATACCTTTCCCCATTCCGAGGCGATTTGCTGTCCTATGCGCCCACCGTCGAGCTGTCAATCTTCATGCGTAATGACCAACGGAGCTGGGGCTATGGAACCATGTTGCTAAAGAAGCTTATGGAATTAGCTGGCTCAGGTAGCCTCCAGCATCGCTGCGAGGAGCGGGTTGGTGATCTCGCTCGTATTGGGGCTAGTAGTATTTTCGGCGTTATGAATACCTCGGCCGTTCAGAATGTCATTGCTGGCATGGCATTCAACCCTGAGAGTCCTGCTGAGGGAATCAGGCTAAGGGATTGGTTCGTCAGGCTGGGCTTTGTGCAAAAGGGGCGCTTGGAGAGCGTCGGGAGGAAAATGGGTCACTGGTATGTTGGCCTGGTACACTGTCAATACGGTAGGACCATATTTGCTGACAGAAATTTAAGGATTGATATTGTATATCTCCAGTGGACTTTGCAGTGGCCACTTCCACATATACAAGATGGTAATTAGGAGAGTGAATCCTCTTTTCCAGTAGGCATTCATGGGCGAAGGATGGACAGGGCATAAGTCAGAGCGAGACTGTCGATTAACATTTGTTAAGAATATTATCAATTCAATAAGCTGAAGCACAAAAATGTGAGCCTTGTGTCACTGCAGTGATCCATTTCTCCCTCAAAGTCGGAAGCCCTCCCTCTCTCCCTCTCTCTTGCACCGAAAAGAGTACCCAGAAAGAAAGAGTCAACCAGCAGATTGTAATCTGTCAAGACAGACAGTCAGAGTTTTCGTTTTGGAAACAAACAGTAAAAGCAAAAGCAAGTAAACAAACCTGAGTCTTCACAAGAGCCTCCGGTTCTCCTTCTGCACTGCTCCGATGATGCCACGAACAATCTCGTTGAACTCATTGTAGGTCATCTGGTCGGGAGCAGTGTGGTCTCGGCCCTCAACTTGATCCATGATGAATTTGACCAAAACCGGCATTTCCGCTTCGATCTCATGCAGCATGATCAGAGTAGCAGAGAGATAGCTGAACCCGCGAGTGTGATGGTAAGTAGCGAGGACCTGGTCACGCCACGCATCCACGTATTGATCGATACCAAGGTAATGGTGACGACGTGTGTTCCACAGGTCGATGAGAGCCTTGTGCATCCGATCCTCTTTGGCAGTCTTGGGGATGTTCAATTCACGGATCTCCTTGTAGGTCGTGTCTGCGAACTCAAGCTTTGACTGGACGTTCTTGAAATGGGGTGTGAACTTTTCGTCCACATTCCGAACCAGCCACTTGCTGACCAGACGGGACCATAGTGCCCAGTTTCTGTATCTGGGGTGTAGTCTTTTGGGACGAGGGATGGTTGTGGAGATAAGATCAGTGAGTTGCCGACATCCGAGAGATATGTGGATGCAATTGCCCCAGAAGTAAAGATCACCGGCGTCGGAGAGCTTCTTGATGCAAGGAATGGTTAACGACGTGAATTCAGGAAGTCTGTCAGCCTGGGTCCGAATTGGCTCAGGAGGGTCCATGTTCGATAGTACTTGGGCAGACATGGTTGCTTGCGGAGTTGGGCATGAGGAATGTGTGTTGATGTGGCTGAAGAAAAGAGGTTGATTGCGAGAAGAGGCGTGTGGCGGGACGAAACAGGTGATAGGGTTGCTGCCCCGACAGATGTAATTAGCTCTCTTATTCTCTCCTATGCTCTCACACTCTCTTCTCCCTCACTCATTATTTCCTAACAGTCTGATACAGCAGATGGAGAAAAAACGTCTGATGAATTGAGCAAGAATCAGATCAACGCGTGAATACGGAGGGAGTTACGTGCTTGGATGTTTTGCTCCGACTGAGTCGTCACTTTCCTCACGAGCTCGCTGCACCGTCACTGAATACCGTTTGCCTGCAATGAGCCACCACGCAAGCTCAATAATCAGGAACCCACCAACCACCACGCACGTATAATTCATATTTAATTCTGCAGATTGGATGAGCGGCGATTTACTCTCAAAAGTCAAACCTCACATACCTGTGACCGGCATCTCATACGGGAATGAGAAGAAGACAATGGCGAAAATCAACCAAGCCACTGACACTACATTCACTGTCATTCCGATAACATGGCCCATGAAGAATGGACCGCGATGCATCGTCCGGCGCCGAAGCAGAACGTTCGTGAGAATTGGCACAAGGTAAGCGCAGTTATTGATCGTCCTGGAATTATATTAGCGATGGTCAACCACTGATGCAGGACGACGTACACAGCAGAGCTCATCATTGCATTGAACGCCGTACTCGATCCCAAATATATGCACCCCAAGAGACCAACAATCACAGCAACACAGAGCTGGGCATTGAATGGCGATCCAAGACGGGGGTTTACACGGGCCCAGACCTTTGACAAGGGAAGACCTTCGTCGCGCGCAAAGGCCCAGAAAACTCGCCCGGTGCCTGGTGGTGTTAGAAGAATTCGATCATATACCGCGGGAGACACTCACTCAACTGAGAGCCAATCACACATGGGCCCAGAGCTATCCAAACCATGAAAACGAGACCAAAGGCGCCTCCCCTAGTTGAGGTCGCTTGCCAGAAAAGCTCAGCCAGAGGAAGTCCAGTACTGGTATCAGCCAAAGTACCATAGTTCTGGACGGAGAACATAAGACTCAAAAGGTATGACAGCCCTGTTACGAAGGCAATGGAAAGGGTGATGGCTAGCACAATATCAGTTTTGGCCCAGGGAGCAACTTTGGGCAAAACCTACCCAAACCCAACGGTGCATTTCTTCCAGGCTGGAAGTGAGAGTCAGAAGATTTCATTCCAAGGGTTTGCCAACCAAACTCACATTGGGCATTTCTTCTGTGATGTGCTACACTATGGTCAACATGGTGTTTAAGCTACCCATGCGAATGACATACCGAGATCCCGTCCAAGCCTCCGAGCGAATATAGCGGGTTGACCAAGCCGGTGATGAAGCATATAACATTATTCTCCCAGCCGGTGTTGTTGATCCAGGTGCGAAATACAAACTTGCTGTCATTATGCACTGGCGCCGAGGCAGCAACAACAGCCATGGTAATGAACCACGCCAGCTGCAGGTAAATCACTAGCCCAGCGTGTCAGTCATGTTAAAACCCCCGGGGGGCATTACTGACAGGAGAATTTGTTGATCAAGGGGATAAACCTGTTCCCAAACATGACAATCCCTGAAGTGAAAATGTTAAGAATCTGGTATGCCACAAATGTCATCCACGGTTTGACGACCAGATCATCGTGGTAGAGAGCAATCAAGGCCATGACGGTTGTGGCATATATCAAATTGGTCGATGCAGTCGTGAAGATCCCTAGTCGGGGTCAGTCACCTAGTCACAGGCCCTTCGCGGATAAACTCACACCCGAATACAGTACACCACCCCGTCGCAAAGCTCAGAAGACTGTTGTATCTTTTTGGGGCAATTGCCGCAATCCAATGATACATACCACCTTCAACGGGATATGCAGAGACAAATTCTGCCAGCGATGCGCCAACAAAACATTGAAGAATGAACACAAGGATGAAGCCATAAATTACTATGATCTCGTCAGCCTTCGCACTTCACTAATTAGAGATATAGATGTTCCTACGGGCACCAGGTCCACCGGCATTGATAGCTGTGATCAATCCCAACCCGAGACCTGCGATTGTTGAATATTAAACGCCATTCGACCACCACTCGATCAAACCCACCAGTCCATGAGATTGTGCAATTTGAAGCCAAACCAATCAAACTCCAAACCGAGAAGTGTCGCTTCAACTCCTGTTTATGCCCTGAACCAACGTCAACTCAACCAAGCCATACCAACAAATGACAAAGTGAGAACCAACCCATCTGAGCCAATCGCAACTCATCTTCATTCTGGACCTTGATTCCTCCCACATCCTGGGATTGATGTGTAGCAACAGCTGTGATTTCACCCATCATGCGTGAAATTTGTCGGAAAAGAGGGGCAAGCGACGAGGCAGCTCCCCGATACTAAATAATTATAGTCGGCCCCCGGGGCCGTCACACTGGCATGCAGCTCTTATCGTGATTCGGACATTCTGCTCAAGTGGACACATTTCCGTGTCCACCGGCCAGATAGCCGGGGTTGCGGGTGAAGTAACGTATCAGAATGCGGAATGCTTCAACGCTAGGGATGCTGGCCGCCCCCGCACTGACGATCTTGTGCTTCGACACAAGATAACGTGGTATTTGTGGTGTGTTGTAACACTTCTTTTGAAGTATAAGCTCCTGGAAATGATACCCTGGTGGGGGTGGCTGCATGCTCCTTGGATGTAACAATATTTACTTCTAATCTGGAAATGTTTCTTGAAATGTTGATGCTACAAGAATATACAATCGTACGATGTAAGAATCTTCAACTTGCACGTTAACGGAAAATTTATTTCCACCTCGTTTGACCTTCATCTTTCCCTGGTTTGTCAAGCCCCGAGGCTACCATGCGTAGTAAAAAACATGATCCGTACCGAGGAACGACAGGCTAACAGGACCGATGATTGAGTATGCAGCAAAAAAAAAGACACATGCCAGTAAGATCCTCCAGGTCGAGGTTGACCCATGATTAAGAAATAGATATCGAATGTGACAAGCATGCTCAAGTCTGTTGAATTCCGAAAAACGCCATCGTATGCCACACCATAGTCTCAGTCCCGGTATGGGGACTCAGGATCCCGGTCTGCAATGCGGCGAGCAGAGGTATCGAGGATGTGGATCCCCTCCCGCTTTTGAATTAATTTCCACGGACGCTTCAGACCATAGTAATCGACGAATCGAGTCCATCCGCCATACGACTCGCAGACCTCCCATTGTGCGTGAGTGAGGGTTGGGCCTGGGCATGTTAGTAGATGGAATGGTAGGATGGTGCTGAGAGGGCGTACGTGTGTAATCCCATCGGCGGTTGTAATCCATATTCCTGATGATCCACTGGAGATCCTCTTCGTGATTTTCCTCTGTGGGGCTCGCTGTGCCATGAGCGCGTGCTCTGTTGCGTTGTCGTCGCTCCCGAGCGCGATCTTCTGGGGTGTATGCGGATTCGGCGAGCTCAAGGAACTCCAGGAGGGCGGTTGTGGATGGTTGCACAGGCATGGTGGGTGTTTGAGATCGTGAGTGGGATTGGTGATAGTGAGGTCAAGAGGCAGAGATGGTTGGAGATATCTCGGTTTGACCTGGGTGGTGTGTGGAAGCAATGGGAATAATGAAAGGGACACACTCACCAAATGGAAACACAACTTTCGGCAAGCTCCATGAAGATATTCTTTGACGGTTGCTCTCACATTTCACACATACTGGCCTCGTTTATATCGAGAATCATGGTGACGGAATGGCAAAATCTCGTTGCGATGAAATCGAGCAATAAACTGATTGATATTTGAGTTTGGGACCTAAACACTAGCATGGGTTCTGCTCAAACTGGGCATTCAAGTCTTTGTTGATAATCCCAGCCTCAACAGCCTCTGGTCAATGTGTCAGCGTATATTCCCTGAAGGCACCTCAGACAACTTACTTTGATAATTCCATTGTTCAACGTTGGGAAGATTCTCATCGGTCTTCCAGGTCCAGAAAATCCATCCATCCAGTGCTTCATACTGTCTCTGTTGCGCCGAGAACCATTTCGAGTACGACGAAGCATGATCACCAGTCATCGGCAAGAAGTTGTCGCCTTGGTTGTTGAATGCCAGACTCCACTCTCCAAGAATCTTGGGACTGACATCGGACTTTCGGTTGTCCCCGCAAGCAGCGGAGATCATGTCACCTTTGGATCCAGCATTGCGGACAAGGTAGATCTCATAATTGTGGTCATCGAAGAGAAGCTTCTTCTTCTGACTATCGTTGAGGGAGCGGGTAGGATTGCCACCAGAGTCCCATTTGTCATCCTTCGATTTTTGTCAATATCTCATCGTCGTGAGGGAGTGATAGAAGCTTACCATGACGGTGATGTGCAATGCATCACTATCCGAAACGCCCAGTGACGACTCCTTGGCGCGAATACGGTCAATCGCCGATGGATAGAAGTGTTCGACCATCCAGTTTGTGTTTCCGTTCTCGGTGTTCTGCAATGGCTCGTTGACTAGTTCGAGAGCGCCGACGGTTTTGAATGCATCGCTACTCTGGATTTGTTCGACCATCCACTCATAAAACTTATATGCCCGCTCGGCATTGCCGTCGTTTTGATAGAACTCGGGAGAGTCGACCCACTATAAAGCATCAGCTCAAGAATCAGGAGAAGGTAGGAAAGTGATACGTACGCGGCCAGTGAATGGCTGTTGAGCTTGCTGCGCACCAGGCAAGCCGTGGGTATCCACGACAACGTACATGCCCGCATCAGCAGCCCACTGGCAGATGTTCCTGAAATCTTCAAGAGCGTTGTTGCGTGGGTAGTATTCGTTATCCGCGATGAGGTCTTCATTCAACCAGAATCCAACGGGGATCTAAGCACGGTATGTTAGAAGGGCATTCGGAATCAACCACATGAGAAACAGAAGGTGTCACATACCCGAATGGTGTTCAGACCATATGAGATCATCTTGGTGATGTCGTCCTTGGTGATCCACGACTGCCAATGCTTTTTGAAGGCAGCGTTTGCCGCGTCCTGACCAATGCCTTTCACACAGCCCCATTCACTGTTGTAATCTCCGCAGCCCATATCGTTCCACTCGCCGTTAGCCATCCATTTCTCAATGATGAATGACGAGCCCAAGTTGACTCCGCGGATCTTGGAAGTGCCGGACTTTTCAAAAGCCGAGAGGCTTCGCCCCGTGTCTGTTGGGAGCCATGCTGCTGCGAGTGGTATACTACCCAGAAGTGGAAGAAGCGATTGAGGCCTCATGATGTGTGTTTGAAAGAAGTTTGAATTAATCAGTTGTGCATAGGGAAAAAGACGGGGGATACTTCTGCTTTATGTCACGATTGTTCTCACGCAAAGTAAGCAATTGTCATGTTACCGTTTCACCTGCAGCTCGCAGTGCTGCACCAAGTTGGACATGCAGTCCTCGGTGATTTGGGGGGCACCCGCCAGTGGGCCCGTCGATCATCACCGTATGCTGCTAAGCTGTGCGAGCCTAATGCTTAGACCCTTGTGCTCAACCCCAAAGGGTACACAATGGGGTCGATCGCTCGAGGATTGCTGTAATATCATATTGTCAGGTGTCATGCACGAGCAGGTATCGTTTCAAGATGGTTTGCGTGAGAAATGTTGAGTCTTCTAGGGAGTACTCCGTATTTGCACTTATAGCTACAGAGTGCTAATTACGGAGCAGATACGGTATCACAATACCGAGCCCCTTCACAGTGCCTGCCAGGCATATTCCAACGCGATTGAGACTCATCCGGATCCCCTCAATGAAGTTCTACATTTTCCCGGTCACTTGGTGCTTTGTTCAGCTGAAACCAACCAGAATCTCTGCGTCGGATTGGCCCCCATCGCCAATTTTGAAGTGCAAATTTGGAGCGTAAAGCCAATGTTCATAACTAAATTATGTACATTTCGCCCCCACAGAATGCAGGGCCCAGCAGATGAAACAAGCATGGGCCTAATTTAGCCCCTGAGATGGGGTGAGGTGGTATTCTCATAGGCTGTGACTAACGATCGCCCCCAACGGGACCTGCATCCTCCTTTTTACGAATCGACACACTTACCCAAAAGGCGATATGGTCTTTGTGAATATAGTGACTGCCCCGCTTTTTGCTTGATGCTGCAACAGGACGATCATCCTTCTAAGTTGTCGTTACATTTTGTCATGCCTCACGTCAGGAGTAAAGTGCATTTACGAGTATGCGTGCCCCATTGTCTAGATTGGGTAAGGCAGTGCGAGGCAGTATATAGGAGACCTCAGTATAGCTATATAAACTGCCCTCCAAGAGTGTTGAATACCAAGAAACAGATCAGTACTAAGTTCACACTATGCATCTCATTGCCGCAACTCTCCTCTCTCTGGGTCTCGCTTCGGCCTACGACCTCCCAGACAACCTTAAGCAAATCTATGACAACCATAAGGTATACTTCGTGCAATGGCCCTTCAGTAAGTCTGAAGACTAACAAGATAGTCTGGAAAATGCAACAACAAGCTTGCCGGCGGCTTCAGTGACGGCATCAACGGTGAACACACCTTTGCCTACTGCGGGGACATTTCCAACGCCATCTACCTCCACAGTTCGGCCAATGGTGGCCAGTACGATAACATGGATATCGACTGCGACGGACTGAACTCCAAAGGCGGCGATTGCGGTGCCGACGAGACCGGACAGGGCCAGACCGCATTCAAAGACCAGCTCAGCAAGTACGGCATCGAGGACCTCGATGCCAACGTGCACCCCTATGTCGTCTTCGGCAACACGGACTTCGACCCTCAAGAGTATGGTATGGAACCACTGAGTGTGATGGCCGTGGTTTGCAACAACCAAGTGGTAAGTGGCATTTGCCCCTGATCGGCATGAACCGAGGCTGATCGACTTTTAGCTGTACGGAATCTGGGGTGACACTAACGGCGAGGACTCGACTGGTGAGGCTTCGATCTCATTGGCTCAGATGTGTTTCCCCGATGATAATATCAATGGCAATAATGGGCATGGCGATGAGGATGTCCTGTATATTGGGTTCACTGGCAAGAATACTACCCCTGGCAATGACGCAGACTGGAAGGCTGGGGATCGCAACGCGTTCGAGGAGAGTATCAAGGAACTAGGTGATAAACTTGTTGCGGGTCTTTCCTAGATGATACTCGTATGTCCTGGTGGGAACCGGTTTCCATTTGCATGTGGTGATATTTTGAGTACGGAGTACTACTGTACGAGTACTTCGTATATAGTCTATAGTCTATAGTCCATACATGAGGTCAAAGGGGGAATCCCGAGGCAAATACAAATTAGACTATTGGAAAATTGACGTCTTCAGAGTTAAAAGGGAAAGTGTAAGACACTTCTCAATTAAACACTTTCAATAAAAAAAATCTCCAAAAAGAAGGGCATTGTCAGGAGAAAACTCGGCGATCTCATTGTACTCCGCACTACACTTAGACCTCTCTTCACACACTATTACTATCTTCTTTCCCTGTCAACCCCAAAAAAGGATTCACCGGAGGATTAAACTATTGAAAAAGGTCGAGGCTTTTGCAGATCGGAACCTCCAAATCGAATTCAAATCTCAGTTTGCTCCACTGCGGTGGATGTTGTTACATCATCGCTGGTTCGCAAGTTCTGATCGCCTGCAACCACCACTGCCGGGGCCTGGCGATCGACCGATCGATCGGGCTCTCGTCGAAAATTGTACGAGCCGATGTTGATCAATTTTCAGCTTTGCTCAGCAAGTGATCCCACTGGCTCGGGCAATGGCTACTCGGGCAGCTTCAGGTTGAAATTCATGGTTCATTCGCCCGCGTCTCATTAGGAACCATGGACTATTGGGAAAAATACATCCGGTTGTCCTCGTGGCTCCGATCCTTTGGAGATGACCTCATGCTATTAAAAGGCCTGGGGTCCGAGCCCGACTAGCTGTTGATCTTGCTGCGTCGCATCGGTCATATACTGCTGCAATGGATCCTCCAAGCATCCCCGACAATCGTCCTCACAGACAAGCCATGCCCCATACCATGAACGACATGGACGGTCCAGCTTTCAGAGGCTCAGCACAAAATTCCTTGCGGTCGCATTCACCAGCTGGACAGGCCTTTGAACCCCAGGCTTTTGGTCAACCCGCGATCGGGCGACCGCCAATGACCCCGCGACAGCGATCCATGCAATCGAGAGCCCCGTCACGACCACAGAGCTCGCTGAGCGCCTACCAACACGGCGCCAATGGCAGCAATGGTTCCAATAACACCAATGGCAACGGATACCCCGGTGAACAGCCCGGCCGGAAACAATCCATTGATCAGGCATCCATCGCAGAATCAAACGCGACCCTGGACCTCGGCTACCATTCGATCGGCCAGCCGCAAGCACCACCGCGCAGCCCAAGACGCCTCTCAACCTCTAGCAAAACCTTCGATCAAAGATCTCTCAGTGCGCTCTCTCTAGATCAAGAATCAGTGGGAAATCAATCTCTAGGCCATCATTCCATCGGCGGCCCACCGGGCGGCCACTACTCGTACGCAGAACCCCAATTTTGCTTTTTTTTGGAAAAAAAAACCCCCCTCGCTAATAATGCAGATCTCCATCATCCCCGAACGGTCTACACCCAACCACGTCAAGCAGATCACTTCGACGAAACTTTGTGGTCAATGAACTTCCGGTCCTCCAACAAACCAATCCAAATGAAGGCTCCGACCAATTTAATCCCATCATCGAAGAAAATGAAGAAGCATCCTACGACCTGGTCGCGCCCTATGAGGGCGATGCAGCACCCCTCCACACCCTGGAACGCCAGGCAGATTTGATGTTCTGTAGGGAGCATATGCTAGCCATTTTGAACAACCCTCGATGGCTCGCGCGATTCCGCGAATTCCTCGCACAAGAGCGCCCAGGGGCATTTTCGACACTGACATATTATCTAAACGCCTCGAAGTCCTTGAAAGCAATTGAATATGCGAATGCGCTGGTCCGATTGGCTGTTGATGTGCCAACTGCCGGAATTGAAACTGCCGAGCAGCCTGTTGGTCCGACGGTGAACATGGCGCTTGAAAAGCGCGTGCAAGTCGCGCTGGATGCCCTGACCGCCGAAGAATTGCCGGCATTCATCACGGCAACTTGTATCAATATCACCGGTAAGGTGGTCGAGGAACGGGTGCGCGGCACTCTCCCCGATAAGTTCCAGGGAACCGCAGATGCCCTGGCAGAGGTGTTCTGTTTGACAGATCCTTCCAGACCGGATAATCCCATCATCTTTGCTTCTCAAGGTATGTGTTAGAAGTTTCATAGCCGTGAATGGATGCTCACTATACTAGAATTTCACCGAACGACACAATACGGTATGGACTATGTCCTAGGCCGAAACTGTCGTTTCTTGCAAGGCCCGAAAACAAACCCCAACAGCGTGCGGCGTATTCGCGAGGCACTGAAAGCTGGGCGTCATCACTCCGAGCTCTTCCTCAACTAGTGAGCTTCACCATATACTATACCTCTATCGATTCAAAGCTAACAATATCAGTCGCCGTGACGGATCCCCATTCATGAACCTCCTTCAAATGGCCCCTCTCTGCGACAGCCGCGGAAACATCCGCTACTTCATCGGTGCTCAAATTGACGTCTCCGGTCTCGCAATGGAAGGCGCCCAGATGGAATCTCTCCAAAACATTCAGGCGCAAAAAGAGAACCCAGAAACCGAAGATCTTGCCCCCAAAGAGTCCAAGTCCGAATTCCAGGAACTCGGCGAACTCTTCAGTCCACGTGAATTGCAAAATGTCCGCGAACACGGCGGAAACCTCTTCCAACCGATCGTCAATGAAGACCCCAACCACCGTCTCTTCCTTCAAGACTCAGATACGGAAAGCGAACACCACGCACCATCATCACACAGACATACGCTTGTCCCCGAGCCTAGCGCCGGCTTGTCTCTGACAGGCGTTTATAGAAACGTGAGTCTCAATCCTCTAATCTGCATTTGAAAAGCATAAGCTAATAGCACTAGTTCCTTCTCGTCCGCCCATACCCCTCCCTTCGCATCCTTTTCACATCGCCTTCTCTTCAAATCCCCGGCATGCTTCAGTCCTCCTTCTTGAACCGTATTGGAGAGTCGGGTGTGAAGCGCGATAACATTCTCAGTGCCATGATGGCCGGTCGCAGTGTTACGGCGCGCATCAAGTGGGTTACGAAGTTCAGCAGTGATCAGGGTCGGAATCGGTGGATTCACTGTACGCCTTTGTTGGCGAATAACGGGGAGATTGGTGTCTGGATGGTTGTTGTCATTGATGATGATGAGCATGAGTCTGTTAGGTGGCATGGGAATTACCCGACCACTTACTAGTATATAAAATAGCTGTTCTTATGATTGTATGGAGTATTTAATTGAAGGACTTTGCAATCCACGGTTGCTGTCGGCGAGAACTTGGTAGATTTGGGAGCTAACACTGTTATGGACTAGCGTGTCCTAAAGTAGGATAGCGCATATTCTGATTTCCTAATCTGGAAAGATTCCCAATCTGGAAAGACAATTGATGCTGCAATTCGAACATACTACTTGTAGAGCTCTTCTTCAAAGCTGTCTATCTTGAATCAAGGTGCATCTAGACGGATGATAATGATTGGAGGATGATCTGTACCCTGGAACATTTAAAGATTCACGGTACAATGAACATCTCGAGATGTCATTTTAGACTTTCCGAGGCCTAACCCCACGAATTAATCTATCTTGATGTCATGACCCGTTTACAAACATAAACGTGAATTCATTTCTCATTCATAAGTGTTTGCCTTCATATATTCCGAGATCTCTTGAAGTCTCTATACAATTCAACATGATTACCTGGCGCTCTCTAGCTCGTACCTCCCAGGTGCGCTGGCATCAAGCCCCAAGGACCCCATCATGTTAATCCATATTAGAAGTATGAGGTACTCAAACCCCACGTTCGGCGACTGAGCCTCCTCGAACACCACTCGCACCGGCTGTTAAAAGATGTATGCATTCACCAGTTGAGCATACCCTCACATTCAACGCTAACAATGTCCAGTTCAACCTCCCAGTCCCCAAAGGCTACTTAGTGACCACCCCCGAAGAAGCCGAAGATGTCGTCTTCAACATCAGTAAGCTCATTGATACCCCATCAGAACCAAGCCAACCCTGGCAACAGACGCACCATCCGTCATAAAAGCCCAAATCCTAGCCGGCGGCCGGGGCAAAGGAACCTTCGACAGCGACCAAAAAGGCGGAGTCCGTATCGTTAAATCGTTCGTTATCCATCACCTTCCACTCCAATCAATACCTACCTACTAAATAACAATCCAGACCACGCGAAGCATACCAATCAGCCCTAAACATGCTAAACCACAACCTAACAACAAAACAAACACCCCCCTCCGGCCTCCCAGTTCACAAACTCTACATCTACAAAGCAGTAGACATCACACACGAGTACTACCTAGCCATAACCTTCGATCGAAAGCGCAGCTCACCCATTATCCTGATATCTGATTCCGGGGGCGTGGATATTGAGACGAGCAATAGGCTGCATCAGCTTTGGTTCCAGCTTGATACTGGAATCACGCCAGAAATCGATGCTTATATTCAGGCTGAGTTGGGGTTTTCGGATTCTGAAATGGTGGGGATTCATAAGATGCTGTGTGATATGGTACGATTGTTTCGGGAGAAGGATGCGACGTTGTTGGAGTTGAATCCGCTTGTGAGGACTGAGGAGGGGTTTGTTTGTATTGATGCGAAGTTCGAGTTTGATAACTCGGCTAGGTTCAGACAAGATGATATTTTTGCTTGTGAGGAGGGTGAGGGGGTGGAAGTGAAGGAGGTGAAGGAGGCTGAGAAGTTGGGGTTGTCGTATGTGAAGCTTGATGGGAATATTGGGAATATTGTGAATGGGGCTGGATTGGCGATGGCGACTAATGATTTGATTACGTTGGTGGGAGGGAGTTGTGCGAATTTCTTGGATGTTGGGGGTGGTGCGACGAGGGAAGGTCTGGTGAAGGCGTTTAGGATCTTGTGGGGAGATGAGAGGGTGAAAGGGGTTTTGATCAACATCTATGGTGGTAAGTCGAGACTGCTTTCTGAGTTGAGTTGGATTACTGATGCTGGGAAACTGTAGGCATCGTGCGGTGTGATATGATCGCTGAGTCGATTATCGCTGCTGCTAAAGATATTGGAGGGTTTAAGATGCCGGTGGTTGTGAGGTTGCAGGGGACCAATGCCGAGAAAGGGCTTAAGTTGGTGTGTTGGCTCAAAGAATATGAAGTTGACCAGGCTGACAGAATGAACAGATTGAGGAATCCGGATTGGAAAACTTGGTCGTCGAAGCTGACTTTGAGAAAGCTGCTCAACTCATCGTTGAACACACTCCAAAGTTTGAATGATCAATGCAGCACAGCTCTAGAGCAATTGTGCTTCAATCCGGATCCACAGGTATGCTGTGAGAAAACAACATAATTGTAGGTCAACTGCATTTCCCTACCACAAGAAATTGGATTTGTGATTGAGAAATATGCATTTTGGTATACTCGCGACATTCTTAATTCAAGTTGCCTTCAAATGTGTGGAAAGGGCGCCACATAATTCTAATTTCCTCCTTGTCAAATAACATTGAAGAGGAACACTACGCGGTGAGCCCAGCACAAATTCTGTCAGTGAAGGTCAATTCGACCGGCACCATTTGGCCCTGGAGTTCCAATGCTGAATTCGAGGTAAAAGAGCAGGGATCCCTGAAATTGACCAATTTGGAAACTCTGGGAGCCAAGATCAATTTTTTTCTTTCCCTTTGCTTTTTCAACCGGTCAACAAAAGCGCATGTCCAATAGTCTGGTCTGTTGCGTTGGATGCGAAATTAGTTCCAATAAAAGGAGCAAGGTTGAAAATAACGGTTTTTACTCTGTACAACCCCAGTGGTCATAACCTTGGAAGTCAACGAATCGAATCGTTGATGGCGCACTAACAGTCTCCAGTGTCTGAAATTGATCCGTACACTTGGCACTTTATTTTAGTGTTCCTGAGGTCGTATACAAAGGGTTCATTTGCACCTGGGCAATGTAGAATGATTACCTGTGCCTGTCGGCATGACTAAAACCGGTTTAGTGAGATGTGTAGAGTCCAATGGGCCAATTCCGACCGATCCGTGTACTCTCAATGATTTTTTCAATTCTGTTTTCCCATTCAATCCTAGTATACGAAGTGACTAGCAATTAGCGATCGTCAGGTACCCCCAGAGCTTATCAGTGATTATCGGGCTTAGACCAACTCCCCCCTGAGGGCTGGGGAGTAATTACCCTGCCGTCGAATCAGAACAGCCGGAGAGCACACTCTCATGTCCACTTCTGACGGGCTCAGTGACATCGATAAAAAGCATGGCGATTCCCGTGTTCTTGCCAACCTCCGAACAATGAGGCACTCGACGCCTCACTGGGCCGTCTGGGCCTGTCTAATTTGGCTGTCGCTGTCTGTGGTGTCTGCGATTTCAGTCGATTTAGATGCAAAAGATGTCGGCACTGAAGTCTCCATTGAAGCACGCGGCACCAAGCCATTCATGCTGCGAATCATGCCACTTGGTGCATCCATCACCCAGGGATACAAATCCGCGGATGGCAACGGATATCGAAAATGGCTTCGGCAGCAGCTGCGCTATGCAGGCTGGGAGGTTGATATGGTCGGTAGCAGGAAAACGGGCAGTATGCGCGACAATGTAGGTCACACCCGCCAATATGCGCCCATAGCAGGTAATTTGAAAACTGACTGTCATCCAGAATCATGAGGGCCACGTTGGCTTCAGGATCGATCAAGTGGCCAAGGTCGCGAAGAAGACTTTGCCACAGAAGCCTAATTTGATTTTGATCAAGTAAGCTGAACGGGTACATCGTATCTATCTCAACACTAACTATTTTCCGTCAGTGCTGGTACCAATGATGGCTTGCAGGATTACAAAGTCGACACTGCGGGAGAGCGAATGGACACTCTTCTCACTGAGCTTTACGATGCAGTCCCTGGCACAACTATCATTCTGTCAACTCTGATTCCGAACGGCAAAAAGCCCGTTCTTGTCAGCAAGATCAGCCAGCAGTATCGTGATCTCGTTGCCAAGCGACGCGCACAAAATGACAGCCTTGTCCTCGCTGAAATGAGCACTTTCATCAAGTCAACGCAGCTGGTGGATGGTATTCACCCAACAGCAGATGGATACGAGGAGATGGCAGCCGTATGGTGGGCGGCCATCCAAGAAGCGGAAAATGAAGGACTTCTCAAGGCGCCGACCTCGACATCTACAAGTAACGGTACCATCAGTAAATCTCGTGAAAAGGCACTTGATGACAGTACCGGGGATCCTGATCTGCCTGCATATACTGCCCCGGCTCAGCCTACTGGTTTGAGTTATGGGATACGGCAGGCTGGTCAGGTAGATTGTCTTTTCTTGACTATGCAGGTTGTACTCTGTAAGTCATATTCACATACTTAAGTACAGCATGCTCGCAGGTTGCTAACGATATGCAGTCAGTTCTGTCTTTGCATTGTTGGCATGATATCCATGACAGCTTGCGGTTATTTCCTTAACTAAATTTCTCATTTTCCTCCGTCTGCGGCGAAGGTCAACTCAGCATTTGTACATAAGTGATGGGAATAAAGCACATGAGGCGAGACTAATATCCATAACCTCATACAAAATCCGCCCTACATAGACCACCAGGACAAACCTAATGCTAGTGAATCTATATCAAGCCCCTTGGAACGCAAGTCCACCCGAGCCACAGCACACCTCCAAGTGCAGCCCAACTGATCAACCCTTTCGCAATCAGAATTCTCTTGATCAGCGCAAACGTCGCCTTCTCGTTGACTTTGGGAAACGGCTTATCAGGGACCTCTTTACCAAGATACCTACACAGCGGTGCCCAGCCATCCTCCGCGCGGAATTCCAAAATCTCACCACCCCTAGCTGCCACAAGCTCCCTAACCTGCTCATTATACTTCACCGCAGAAGAAGCCGTGAATATATCACCTTCGCCAATCCGTTCCCGGCACCACTCAACAATCCGCAAATTCAACTTATACCACAAACGATCGGTCCTCCACAAAAGACCAGTCCAATAAAATCGCTTCGTGAAGAAAAACCTCAGACTATCACTGGCACTCTGTGCCCAGATCTCCGGATCTGGCCGGCTGCTCAACACGATCTTCGCGTCGGGATACAGATGCATGAGGTCCTCGAGGAAGAAGATCGCCGGCATATCGACGACAGCACCATGTCCATCGACCAGCTCATGGATTTGCTTGTGTCGCTTTTCTGTATCTTTCTCACGTGACGCATCTATGAGGAGTTGTTGGCGCTCTGCATGGGGGATTATGTGTGCCATGTGCAGACATGGTCCGAAGCCTAGATCTTCTAATGCGGCTTGGAGTGATGAGGTTGCTGTCCGGGGTAGACCTGCGCCAATCACGAGAAGAGGTTTGTTTTGCACTGGTGCTTTCCGAGTGTCTGCTAGGAAGCGGACCATTTTGGCGGTTGGAGGTGTTGACTGGTGTTAGTGGGAATACGAGCTTTTTATGGTGCTGCATAGCTGATGTCAGCGGGGGTCCAGGCGTCCTGCTTTGAATCTTGGCGCGATATCTGCAACGATCTTCGCAGTGTGTGAAGTGTCTGAATTGACTGAGAAGCTCGAAGTGCAAATGGCCTGACAGGTGATTTCCGAATTAGGCAAGTTGCGGATTCGGCCTCATGACGTCATCTCGACAGCTTTCCCGGATTCAAAGGCTCGTGGACTGCTGTTGTGCCTGGTTGTTCTCTTCTCTTCTCTTCACTCTCCTCCTTCTCTCCTTCTCTCCTCTCCTCTCTGCAATCCACCATGTCCGAATCATTCGCATTCCTCCGCCAGCGCCGATCTGACGAGCTCGCCAAGCTCGCCGATGAGCACCTCCAACATGACCTTCAAGCAGAGGATCGCGACAGACTCAAAGCAGCTGCCACTTCAATCTCGCTGTGGACCACAGTTGGATCAGCAGTGGGTGTCAGCATTGGTTTATTTGCAGCTATGCGGCTCCGCAGCACGCGCCGGGCATTCTTCTCGGCGATTCGGGCCCAGGAACGGCCCACAAAGGTTGTATTTGAGGATGGACGGACTGGTATGCTCAAGGGAATCTCAAAGGAGATGTGTCGGTGCTAATTTGTACAGAGTCCATCCCTGACTTGACGCCCTTGTTGAAGCCAACCACTTTGGGAGACTTTGCGACTTACTTCTTCGCCTCAGCTGGAGGACTGCTTTTGGGTGGAGAACTTGGTAAAATTCCCGGATCAATACATTGCTTTGCTTGAAAGGGTGTTCTGACTTTGTTTGTGTAGGATTTGCCGGTGGGGCGGCAAACGCAACCCGAGGTATTTCGGCTGATCCGGAAAGCAAGAAGAGGATCGAAACTGCCTTCAAGAGGTTCCGCTCAGATTTGCTTCGAAAGCAGGCAGACGCCATTGATAAGGGAGATAATGAGTCTGGCCTATTCTAGATCATTTAATGGCGGAAGTTGGTTGAATGTCTACTCTTCGCCGGGAGCGACAGCTGAGATCCGAACCAACGACTTGGTCCCACTGCGAACTCAGCCGTCTTAGCACCCAAGGAGGAGAACAACACATTGCTATAGAGATTTGGGTAGCGCGGCACTCATAATGAGGTGCTATCCAGATGTGTGTATCACAATGCTGACCTAGATTGTGAGCCCAAACCACGAATGAGATGTACGATAAATTGTTCTTTTCATTATCCGAAAGTATCAATACAAATTCAGGCTTCAATCGCCTTCAAGAAAGAAGGGCTTTCATAGCCCTGCACAACCTTCGAAATGGGCGTAAGATGGGCATCGGAAGACTCTTGGCTCTCTTGGATCTTCCGAACATAGAATTGAGCAACCCTGAGCCACATCGCCTTCTCGCTGGCACTTGCTTCAGACCCCTGCCAGACCCAAAGTCTGTTACCGACATCATACAGGAAGACATCGTTGCCATTGAAATCAGACCGGTCCACACGCTGTCCATCCTTCACAAGATCAAACGAAAGGTTCCCAGAAGCATCGCTGAGCCGGAACAACTTGCGTGGCCGGGTAGGCTCCTCGCCACCTTTCTTAGCAAACCGACCAGGTCGAGGCGCTTCCAAGGTTGACCCAGCCTCCTCTTTCCCGCCTAGCAGATCAACAATGATCCTGGACCTTGACTCCAGCTGTGACAGTACTTCGACATCCACATGCTTCGCAAGAGTCATATCATTAACCACCTGAGCAGCCTTGGCCTTCTCCATCGGACTGCACTTCTTCCCCTGCCACACCCAGATCTTCTCCCCCTTATCCAAGACAAAGACATCATTCTCATCCAAGCTCTTCCAGGTAGGCTCGACCTCATGAACAATAAGAGAATCAATCCGGGCAATCCCAGGATGTTTAAAGATACGCAGCAGCGTAAGAATCTCTTCCCGCTCCTGCGGCTCAACATGCGTGAATCCAGACCTCACACCGCCAGACCGGATAGCATAGTGGCGGAACAGCGCAAGGAACTCGTCTGAGGGCTGCGCCTGTACCTCGCGGTGCTGTGTTGCCGCACCGTGCAGGAACTCATCTAGTTCGACGGTTTTGTATGCTGCTGTTCCAGCTTCATCTTGGGTGGTTTTGCTGCCCAGCCAGAAGAAAATATCGTGGCCCAGCTTATCGCCCAGCTTGTAAGAGTGCAGAACGATAAAGCTGTCCCCGTCGAAGAATTGGCCGTACTTTTCTTTCGGCCAGGGGATGACTTGGAAGTTTTCAATTCGCCAGATGAAGAGGCCTGCTTCTTGGCCGATCTGGCCGTTGTTCCAGGCTGGCTCGGTGACGGCGGAGTTGTATTTGACGCGGTGGTCAAGGTCGGTGCCGATTAGCTCCACGTTGCTATCTTTGATGTCATACTCCTTGGGATGAACGAGTCCTTCGTGTGGTGGCATGTTTGAGGTTGTGAGTGTGTGTAAGTGATTAGAAGTAGATGTGGCCGGAGTCGAAGGTCAATAGCCACGATGTGGCGGTGGGTCCGCGGGGCACTGCATGGAACAGAGATGAGCCAATTAGAATCCTTGCCTCACTGTCCTATTTTTAGGAAGGACTAGCAGGGGTAGCTCAATAGCTAAACAATGCAAGAAGGTCTATCACAGAGCCTCCAAGGTGTTACTGCCAGGGGGAAGTCAAGACAACAATGGACCAGATGATAATATGAACTTTGGGCTCTTACATACTTAAATTACAATACACATGACTGGTATTTAACTGCGACAACGAGGTGCGACGGTGAGCAACATCTATCCTAGGCATACATCTATTTGCGTATACATTGATCGACGATCCAACTCGGTTCAAAGTTATACTTAAAGTATCAAGAGAATGTAACCTTCGACAAACCACGGGTGGGGAAAACACAAATTTACGCGAAAAAAAAGTCAATTAGCGCACGATTCAATCGGCAGCGAAATAATATTCCGTCGTAAAAGGTATATGAAACACTGTAGCAAACACTCATTACTCAAAGGTAGTCTGGTAGCCTGTGATTTCTCAGGGCTGCAGACATTCTCATTAAACGCTAAGCATCAAGATATCAATCACGTATTCCTCGTCCATTATCGCGCACAATTGTGTCGTATCTACCAGCGGCCCTGGGTGGGACGGGGGTTGGCGATGTTGACGGTGATGCGGCGACCATCGAGCCTAGGGTTGCAAGGTTAGCAAGGGATTTTCTTGCCCAGGGGTGTGAGTGGATGGAATGGCAACATACTCGGAGTCGTTCTTGGCGGCAATGGCAGCCTGGGCCTCCTCCTCGGCAGAGAAGGTGACGAAGCCGAAGCCACGGGAGCGGCCGGTCTCACGGTCAGTCATGACAATCTAGGAAGGAGTCAGGATCAACTGGGGCAGGGATTGGGATTTCACGTACGTGGTCAACAATCTGGCCGTGCTCAGAAAAAGCATCGGCGAGCTTGTTGTTGTCGGTGCTCCAGGGCAGGTTACTTCACAATTGATTAGCTCAATTCCAATGTAATGATGGAAATGTAGGACATACCCAATGTAGATCTTAGACATTTTGATGGAAATTGAATTGACAGAAAATGATGAAGAAACTTCACTACAATGCGGGGCAGCAGAGAAGAGATATAAAGGCTTGGTGGCGGTGAAGAAGGACGCCCCGCTGAAATTTCCAGATAAGACCAGATAATTGGGACCTTGGAGGGTTGGGGGGAGATCACTGCAGAAATAGATACGATGGTTTGGTATTGACCGACCATTACCACTATTCACAGTGTGGATAATACTTCCAGTGTGAATAGTTACGGTACAATACACTAGAGTACTGCATGCCAAGCAAATGCAAATTGGTGCCAATATTTTATCTATAGATATGGATATTTCACAGTAAGATCAAAGTAAATTGCAGGAGCATACCTAGATAATCTTCTCATCTAGTGCTCCAAGGCTAGGGTTTATAGGCAATGTGGAGAAAGCAATAGTAAAAAGAGTGCATGAACTATCGAGATGGATTGGCAAAGAAACCTTGAAAGGCACAAGGCAACAAACACAAAAAACAAGGCAGAAAATATAAAGAAACTAGATATATAGTGGAACTGCATGCACTTGATCAACTGCGGCCTAGCACCAGAAAGTGCCGAACTCGTTTTCCTTCATACCATCGACAATGATGCGTGGGCTTTCCTGGGGCTTTGGGAGCACCTTGGGCTTGGGGAGTACATTCAGCTTTCGGCGCACCTTGGGTTTGGGGGCACTAGAGCAGGCGGCGCCCCGGGAATTAGACTCACTGGAACAGGGTTAGAAACAATCCAATTGGAATTGATAGATATGAAGGGAAGAACATTTGGGGCTTGGGGATGAGGAGGACCTACAACTTCCGGCGCGGGCTTGGGCAAAGGCTTTTGCCAGCTCAGGTTGGTGAAGCGGTAATATCTCAGCACGTCATACAGAAAGACGCCAATCGAACCCTTCGGGATGAACTGCACTGACATTGGCATGGAATCCTGAAGCCCGCTCAATCTTGACTCCAAGAGGTATGTCCTTTCAGTACTAGAAAATAGATTCTTCCACACATGCTTTGGGTCGGCAAGATACTGCTGAAGTATAGGATCGTACACTTGCCGAATCTGATCAAGGATAATGTCGCGATCTTCGGCGTCGTGTTTATTCTGGAGATCATCGAGATTCAGCGGCGCCCAAACTCTTCGCAAAGATGCATCACATGCTTCCATGCCGTCTTTAAATTTGAGATCCGCTCTCTTGCTCTCCCAGGGATCCATGATCTAAGGTATGTAAGTTCTAAAAGGCTCCAAGGTTCTGATTTCGGTATAGGAGCTGCGAATGTTCACTGGTTGCAGTGTATTTGAGTCCTGAAGTCTGTTATGAACCTGAGAAGTAACATTGACGCGACACTGTGCTCTTTATATAGAACTGGTCATTCCTTCCGAGAATGTCATCTTTGACGTTTTCCAAAAGCCATGCTCATGAAGCAAATTCCTTCACGGCTTTCAATCAGGCCAAAGATATCTTTTTTTATCTCACTTAAATTGCGGCCTTTAGAAATAGGGTTCCCAATATGCAAGGTTCTTTCAAATTCTTTCAAAGTCGACATAAAGACATGCCGAGAATTCATGTTGACAACCCCGGACATTTCTCGATGGGACATAAATAAAGATTTATCAAAGAACATTGTTCAAGATTCGAAGTGCCGACTTCAGATATGTTTACATAACTCGAGAAAAGGTCCACGGGTGTTGCGTTAGGTTCCAATGTTGAGGTCTGCAGCACCGCCGATTATATGGTGTCCCCTCTCTCTAGATGATTTTGAAAATGCATTTGCATTTTATGCAAAAGCCCAACGGTTTATTAGGACAAATCTAGAGCTACCAGAAAGTAAAGAGAAAAAAATCCAGAAACCTCATTGAGAGAAGACCATATTTAGGGTCGGTCCCATAACAAAGGGGAATGAACATAAAAGGAGTTGATTGGGCATTGGCTCTCAATTTAACCTGCTTGCAAAGCATTTTTCAACGCACGCTGTGATTCCGATATCCTAGGATCGTTCTTGTTCATAGTCCTCTCTTGCACTGCGAGAACATGTTCGAGGATCTCAATAGCTTTGGCATTTTGTCCATCTTGTTGATGCACCGCGGCCAGTTCAAAGTGGGTTGTCAGCACTTGACTATGTTCTTTGTGCAAGGTTGTTTCTTCGACCGTAATCACACGACCAAGAAGCTCGATCGCCTTGTCGGTACGCCCTTGAACTTTATATGTCTTGGCAAGACTTTTCAAGGCTGTCAATCGGCGATGGCTCCCCTCCGGAGTCGCGGCTTCGAGCACCGTAACTATATGCTCGCGTATATCGACGGCCTTGGGAAGGTTTCCAGTGGCTTCGTAACAATCAGCTAGTAAGCTGTGTGAGTCCATTCGCTCATCGAATCTCTCGGTGAACTTGTTTTCAATGGCGACTGCATTCTGGAGAAGCGTGATTGCTTGCTCAGTCTGCCCGTGGGAATGATAAATTGCTGCAAGATCAAACATAGTCCTTGGAAGAATAGGGTTATCTTCGTCGAGTTGTCTTGTCCTTGTAGCAAGTACCTCACTAAGGAGCTCGATCCCCTCCTTGTGTTGGTCATTGAGTCGATATATAACGGCAAGCTCATGTTTCGAAGCCAACACGATTGGATGATCATCACCATACATCCTCTCTTCTGTAGCGACCAAATCCTCTCCGAGCTCAGCTGCTAGCTGGAATTGACCATTTGAGAGATACGCGTTTGAGAGATCGTGTTTGTATTCCAGTCGAATGGGATTGGTAGGGTCAAATGTGCCCGCTGCGATAGCAACCACCTTTTCCAACAGCTCCAATGCTTCCATGGGACGACCACTGGTCAAATATGCCTTGCCGAGCTGATTCTGATATTTGAGGTGATGGTAATGGTCTTCCTCGTGTATTTTTGCTGATTTAGTGACCAATTCCTCTAGCAGGGTCAACGCCTGTTCTCGGTTCGAATCCAGATATGTGCATGCAAGCTCATATTGAGCCTCCAATTCAACAGAGACTTGCTCGTTCCATGGTTCTGGGCCCTTGTCGGATCCACTAGAAATATCAGGTGCGATGACAGCAGAGTGCAGATTCGAATTCAACGGCCTGTCATCATCGGCTAGGGATTGTGGGCCTGACTGGCTAACTTGACCGAATATATCTTGTAAAGAAGACAGGATACCAATTGAAGGGCCACCAGTGCTGTCCGAATCCACCCGGGCGCCACCTGAGGCCCCACTGAGAGAGCCAAGTGTAGAATCATGTCCTGACAAGTTAGGGAGAGCAAAGGAGGCTATTCTTCTCAGATGCTGGGCAACATGAGTCGCTGGGACATTCCTTTTATAACAGAACAAGCAGTCCTGTGTTTGTGGGCCATGATCACTTTGCCTTGTTGAGCTTGATGATAGATGCTGTGAGGCTTCATGTTGAATCCAGTCATGAAGGCTGTCGTACTGTTGATCAGGGTCGCGGCAGTCTTTGTGAGTGCATATGTAAGGCCGTAGATCCCGGAAGACATGTTTTCTACCGTGCAAGTTAGTAATTGTTGACAAATATCTCCAAAACCATACTCACTCCCATGCGTTCTTGTCTATGGTCTTCCGTGGACACATTGTGAAACAGAAAGGACATTCAAATTCTTTGGCGGAAGGATCCAAAGTTGGTGGGGATGGGATAATTACTTGATCGTTGTCTCGTTCAATGGTGATAGAGAAGACGGTGCTCGAAGAAGATATCGCAGACGCATTATCGTCAAGGTTGACCTTTTGTGGATTCAACCATGTCGCGGTCGAAGGCTTCGAAATTACAGACGCAGAGTGTGCTGGCTTAAGATCAGGCATCTCTTGGAATGTTTCATCTGTTATCTTTTCATGTGTTCCCTTCGGTTGAGGGCGATCGAACACTTGATATTTTGCCCTGCGGTGTTTCCAGTAAAGTAGTTGCTGTCGCCGCCGGGTATTAGATTTTGCAAGGCGCTCAATCAGATATTGATACTGATCAATCTGCGAAGTCGAAGCCCCATAAGATCGAAATACCTCTTCCACATGACGAATGTCAAATGTCGCATACTCGTCAATAAGATCTCGCCCAGTCTCTGGGTCCTTTTGTGAGTAATTGGCTGATTTCGTAAATCCAAAGCGCAGAGAAGGATTCCTGATTTTGAAAGCCAGACGATAAAGCTTATCGATCGTCGAGACGATGTTGCGAAAGAAGGCTTCTGCCGGAGGTTCGACTTGATATGACGAGAGATCTTCTTCGTCTGAATCTTCCTCGCTCAGGCCTTCGCTTTCATGGCTTGTATGTGAGTCAGTGTCACCTTGAGCGTCATAAGCGGTTTCATTGTCATCGATGAGCGAGCTGTGGTCTACGATATTGGAATCGACGTCAGATAGGCCGAGGGAATTAGGACAATAGGACGGCGACACGTACATTTTTGGAGCGCCTGCTCCAGATCGCGAAGTAGGTTAATGGTGTAACCAAAGACAAGAACTGAATCGCGCAAGCGATAATCAAGTGAGCTATGTCCATTGTGGTGCAATCCGAGGTTTGTTGCCCACAGCTCGAAACGCTGAAGCTCATTTGAGATGGCTTGAAAGCGCCCTACATCATTATTGACAAAGTCTTGGACGTAGTAGAATAGATCAGAAATGCCGGATCCAGTGTTGCGAAGTGTATCTGGATGTTCCATTGTCATTGCAATCAAATGAGGTTCACTTTGAAGAGGGGCAGAGCACAGCGGGGACGGGCCGTGCCATGTCCCCCCGCCCTAAGTTGAAGTACAAATCTAATCGTGAAATAGCAACTTTCTTTCCAAGGTTGTTTTCTTCAAAGTGGGGGGATAATAAGAGAGGCTTGCGATGTTTCAACCCTTTATGCCGTGGAGTCAAACGATCCCCACACATTCTCCTCTGGATCTCGGAGAAACCCGTCGAGCATATCGCCTTGGAAATACTGAAGTCTGAGTCTACATTTCACCGGGATAAGCAAATTAGTGATTCAAAGTTTCCAACAGCAACCATTGGTGATCATCATGGGTGGTATAAATCCCTGTCATTAAGGTCTCTTCATTATAGACAGGAGTGTGATGGCCATTGGCCGAGTTAACTTTAAATCCATTCCCATTGCTGATGATGAACGCGTTTGTTCACAAGATATGACATTCTATTGCGCTAACGTGAGTGAGATTGCGACCCTCGCGATGAGGGTGGCTCGGGAACATGGAATATTGATAGAAAATTTCAGTCACCATTAAGACATATTAATTTAATCGCTTGAAAGATTTTGTCCACCAGTCTATTGATGCTAAAATACGCAGTTTGGTGGTGATGCAAAGTCCTAGTGCTATTTTTGTAAATTAAGCGCCAGCCCCTCCTATCCACGCACCTCATCTCGCTCAGCGCTGATAGAACTTCCCATCTACAAAAATGAGTGGCATCGAGATTCTTGGTGTTGTTATGGGTGCTCTCCCCTTGATAACATCCATAATCGACCAGTACCGAGTCTCAAAGCGGATCTACAAAGTCTTTCGGTACAAAGAGCCTTACATCGATCAACTCATCCAGTCACTGAAGACACAGAGCTTCTTTCTGGAAACCGATCTTCTTCTCATCCTGAAAGAGACATTCGGCGAAGAATTTGTTCGCTCTATCCCCGATTTCGCGCAAATTTCGCCCACCCTTTTCGAAAACCCGGAAGTTGCCGCTCGAATTCAGGAATACCTCGGTGATGGATACGCACATTATAGAGTTGCAGTGCTCCGATGCGAGGATATCCTAGCTGGGATAGCTAAGAATATCGGTGGTCTTGTCTCGGGAAAACAGGTATGATCTTGAGCATATCGAGCGACATAATCTCTGACCGTCATCATAGACTCTTCATACCCTGATCCAAGCCTATCCGAGAAAAAATGGCTCATACGAGTTGACAAGGAAGATCAAGTTTGCTTTAGATCGCGATTCACTGCAGACAAAAATCAGTAATCTTGATGATGCCACCAAAATGCTGAGCCGGATTCGCGAGAATAGCTCTGCTAGGACTGGAGTCGTCATTCACTCCAACTCCTTGACTGGAAGGAGGTCGGTATCCTCCTTCGACATCATACGGAAACACGCTTGGCGATTGTACGCGGCAATCTCTACGATCTATACAAACGGCTGCCACCCCGAACATGGAGCAAACCTATTCCTCGAAAGCAGGGCCGAGCTGTTGGATAGAAAGCATCGAACAACGAATACAAAACCAGTCACCTTCAAGTTATCATTCGGTCCAGCTAGCCAGACGGGAGAGTTCCACTCCCCTCTCGCTCTGGAAGTGAAAGCTTTGGCCGCAGACCCGTTCTCTGATACACCGTAAGTCAATGAATACTCACATGAGGGGGAATCTCATTTAACCAAAACCCAATGCTAGAAGTCGGCAAGGCTTACAAGTTCCTTGCATCTCGCAAAAATCCTTGGTCAACACTCCTCGTGTATCCTACGACACAACGGTTTCAAGAGGGAACTACAGAAGCTCATCAACTGCAATCAATACGTCTACCCATAACCAGGCTGCATCAGAACCAAGTGTCGTTGGAGATCTGTGCCTGCACCTTTCAAACAAAACGGAGCTACAACACTTGCTGCTATGCGAGAATAGTCGTCTTTGGTGCCACCAGGATGCCATCAATCCAACCTTACCGCAGTCCGCCACCCCGAACACCACTGTCTTCTCCCTCGATCAACTACTACAAGCTACATCTCCAATAAAGCTGCTCCTCAACCCGCGAATGGCATTATCATTCAGCATCGCATCATCAGTGATGCAGTTAAATTTCACACAATGGCTTCACCACCCACTAACAAGCGCCATGGTCAAAATCCTACCCGACAGTCCCAGCAAGAGAGGATCAGGCATTCGGCCATTTATCAGCCACACCTTCTCACCGAATTCAGAAGAGCCAAAGCCATGTCTAGTCCGACGAGCGATTCTTGAGCTTGGCATTCTTCTTCTGGAATTATGGCACTCGCAACCATTTACCACATACGCCGCAGAAGCCAACGTTTCACTTGATGACTGCTTTGCGGTTCGATATGAGGCTGCGCGCAGATGGTTGGATGCCAGTAGAGACGATGTTCTTCCGCATTATTTGACGGTTGTTACCAGGTGCGTTGAATGCACTTTTTTCAGCAATACTGCAGACCTGGACTGGGATGATGAGGCGTTTCGGCAATCCTTCTTTGAACATGTTGTCAAGCCTTTGTGGGAGAATTGTCCTGCGAGCCTGAGGTGAATTGCCTAGGTGAGCGTGATGTAATATTGAAACATCAAGTGTTTGGATTGTTCTGTCTCTGATTTTGCGCTCTTCCATCTCAGTCTATGAGGTGATGCAATGGGTTATATACAGGGCAATCTATGTACAAATCAATGTCAATGTGGATCTGGTGTATCCCGGATGTACTTTAAGATTCAGGGGCACCATCGCCGACTTGACTTCCGGTAGGGTATTTACCGAAGCAGGCCTTTTGGTACTGCGCCTTGTGCTTCATAGTAGGGACACCCTTCAAGAACTTCTCAACGTGACAGAACCCGTTCTTGGAATCCTCGCATCCGACAAGTCCGTCCAGGGGCAGAGGGGCGTTGTTCAGCACGAATCGGATGTAGTCCTTGGTCTCAGCAGTCGAGTTGTGGGTAGGGTTGTTGTAGAGAACAGGGTCCAAAGAGTCGAATGAGATGTCGCTGGGGCAGGTCCAGATCTCAGACATGAGTCGGGCACCGAAGGGTGTCATCTGACTGAGAGAGAATGTACGCTCGGGCGCATGGTCAATGTCAACCGGCAGACCCTTGGGGCCGAAGTTAAAGTATTCGAGGCCGAGGGCGTTGACCACTGACAGAATGATGTCGTCGTGAGACATGTCCATGTAGAAAGGCTGGCCGAAGGGGAACTGCTTGGTGTTATCGGTGTAAGTGTAGTTGATGCTGGTGTCGCTGGAAGTGATGAGCTTGTGCTCGAGGCGAGCCGCGAGTTCGAGCACATAGCCAATACCCTGAGCACGACCACTAGGGGAGCCATAGGCATAGTCTCCGTAGTATTGCACATCAATGTTGTAACCAAAGTCCTTCCACTCCTGCTCGGTGAAAAGAGAGCAGAATGACGAACCACCAAGACTGGTGTACTCGTATACGCAGAGGTTTTGCATAGCAAGCACGTCCATCGTGGTCAGGTTGAAGTCAGGGGGGAAGTAAGAGGACAGACGAGAGCGTGCATGCTTGGTGTATCGAGAAATGAAAGTTTCGGCAGCATTGTCACTAGGCTAATTGTTAATTGGATGTGCGGCTTGGTATGGGTTATGAGTGGTGTTCTGCTCACCCTTCAGTCATGTCGCCTGTACACGCTTCATATGAAGCGAGGGTGTTGTTAAAGTCGCCCTCTTCAGGGATCACGACAAGATCATATTGATCGTAAGAGCTGTTGGCGCCACTGTTACCAAAGAAGCCACCTGGTAAACCATTAGCTTTAATCGCTAAGCTACGGTGAATGATTCGACTCACTGAGCCACCAACGCGCGCTCTCAAGAATGCGAGCTTGAGAGGTGGTACGGAAAACGGGCTTGGGACGGTCGGTTCCGTTTGTATAAACGTTGAGAGATGAGCTCCAGGCAGCGACATTTTCGCGCCCAGCACGGTACAAAAGTCTTCCGTATTTGATCCAGAAGTTGGCACCAGATGTAGCCTCAGTGGCAGCACCGTTCTCCATGAGAGTGTCTTCACCAAGAACATAGTCCCAGCTGTTCAAGAACTTCAAGGGGCCGACAGCCACGGTCTTATCCGGGTTGGCCTTGCTGTAGTTGGTCAACTTTGCTGCAAAGTCGGTCATTCCCTCGCCATCAAGCGGGTAGTTCGTGGGGAAACGCTGAGCATGGCGGTGCAGGACATGGACTTGGGAAAGTTCACATCCTTGCGGCACACCCTTGGGGACACCGAAACTGTCTGCGTCCTTATAGGGGCTGAGATTGGCCCAGCTCTTGGTCATGTCAAATCCAGATGCATAGCTGGCGCCGGTTGGTCCTGATGCAGGAGCAGATGTGCTAGTCGCAGTTGCAGTGGCAGTAGCAGCGACTGTCACCAGAGTGGCTCCGACCAAGTTCTTCATGGTTGATTGGTACCTGAGTCTCTTGTGGGGTGGCTCCACGGACTTCTCGCGATGGCCGATGTCGGCGTTAAGATGCAGTCGGCGTATGCACGACACTCAGTATACAAGGTGGAATGAGTGTACAGAGTATCTCCTGATCAATAGATACTCAGGTATGAGGTTGCAACACTTGAAGACGCGCAAATTGATTCAAATTGACTTTCGGGGGATCGTTGTTCCTGAGGTGAGGCCGCGATCGGCATTTCCCCTTCCGGCGACCCCTTCCACTACAACATACAACAACGATATAATATTAACTAGAGAAGCGAGAGAAAAGAACTCGAGACAATAGATTCAATGCCATATCGTGCGAGAGGAGGTCGAGTTATCTAGGTTTGGAACCAACAGGCTATCCTTCTATCCTACTAACGCCTTTTTGCTCCCCTCTTCCCGAACATATTCCCCTAAGCGAAGCTCCTAGCGTTGTTCGTATCAGTGAAATGTGTTTCAAAATATCGCTCAAAATACACTAGGAGATAAACGAACCTCTATGGAGTACCCAATGTATGGGGAAACCGTACAGATGGATTGGAAGCAGTTTACAATTTTCGAATTAAGAGGATCCACTGCGCGCAGACTACAGATAACGAGAGAATGAGACCAACTGCTTTCTCCTAGATCGCAGGATAAGGAGAGCTTACCCCTCGCTGTGCTCAGGCATCGTCGGAACTTTGGTTGGCTGGAAGTGGTCCTTTGAATCCTTCGGGGGACTCAAGTTGGAGAACCCCCCAAAGCCAGAGTACGAAGCACTTCCTTGGTCAGTCGTGGTGGTGGTACTAGGGACTCCGAAGATACTCGGGCGTCCAACTGAATCAGTTTTTCCAAATGAGGAATTGACACTTTGTGGTTGTAGTGGTGGCTGGGAAGATCCCCTGGTTCCTGGGTTTCGGGCATCATAAGCTTTTTGCTTTTGTCCCATTTTGGCAAAGGGGGACCGAGTGCTCCCTATTCCAGTTTGAGCTGGCGTGGAGTTGAAGCCTCCCGTTGATGTGGAGCCAAAAAGCCCCGTCGTTTGAGTTCCGGATTGTGCTGAAGAGGTTGCCGTCGGGCCTATTCTCCATGTAAGCAAAATGGAAATATACCACTGTTTGCGTGTAAACATACTGGGAGTCTTCGAGCTGACAACGCTCTTTCCTAATTCAACTTCCTCGACAGAGCGGATAGGACTGGAGGAGAACGCCGTCCGTTTCAGATCTGGTCCAGGATGGTATGCTACGACTGTAACTTATTTAGCCACGCAGCCTTGGAGCATGAATCTCGCATTCCCACGCTAAGTTAAATTTGACTGACCTTTCGGTTGGAAGTTCTTATTTCCTTCCTCCAAAATGGGTCGTTGGGGCTTAGTGGAGGTGGTGTTCCTGTAACGGCCTACACAGACATTCAAATCAGCATGTCACTTCATGCGCGGCGTGTGGAAAGTATCTTACCCGATAGGGGTATGCTTCGTGTCAATCTTGGGACCGCACCGAGTGTATTCAACGTGCACCTTGCTTTTCGTAACTGTTCCAGCTCCTCATTCAGTCGTTCGCGCTCAACTTGAATATGCGAAGGCTCAGCTGCAATTTCTTGGACTTGCTGGTCATCCATGTTAATCACAGTTCGGCCAGTGAATATCTGTTCCAAGGTGCTGAGCAGGCAATTTTCAATCGCTAATATGGCGATATTATCGACGAATGTGACAATAGCAGTCTGTGGGTCATTTTGTTAGTTGGCCACAATTCCAACTATGAACTCTCCACTCACGTCGTAGTACGCCTGCATTTGGTCAATGATATCTATTAGTCCAAATTGATCACCAGAAGGCCGAAGCTGAGACGAAACTGAAGTTGAGTTAGAGGTCGGGAACGCATTCGAAGTCATGCCTCCGTTCAGAATGGACATTTGTCGTTTGGTTTTCAAATCCTGCATTTTGGAGAGGAAAGACTTTGATGTGGGTAGTGGGTGACCAGTCTTATAGTAGAAAGTCAATTCAGTGATCTTTTTGAGCAGCGAGTCTCTCATCTTGTCCAGTTCAGGTCCAAAGACATTTCTGGTGAGTAGCGATCGGGTGTGGTCATTTGTGAGATGTTGAAGGACCAGTTGGACGAAGTTGTCCACCAACTCCCATGCATGCAACACGTGCGATTTAGCAATTCTCTCCCAAGGTTGACATTGATCACGAAACAAACTGCCCACAAGTAGAGAATTTGCGCTGCCGGGTAGTTCAATTCCTCGACTCTGACGTGCTTGACCTTGAAGCTCTTCCGCTAAAGCATCCTGAGAAACATAGACAGGTGTCCAGTCTTCCATATAAAGCTTCGAATTCTCCAACCGTTTGTCCAGAAATGGAAGTTTAACCCCTCTGTATTCAATCATGCGCCGAGCCCCACGAAGACTCATTGCCTCTTCAAATGATTCAGCTATTTCACGCATTGCCGCACGCAGTCGACGGAGATGGAAATTGGAGTCATCCGTTCCCTCTTTGTGGCCACCAAAGAATTCATCAACGTACGATCCATTCAAAGCCTGATTAGTGATACGTGCAAACCTGCTGCTGATTTCAAAGAGATATTGACGTTGGTCCTGGATTGTCACTCGCGGTGCACCCATCTTCTCGACTTTTTCTTCATTGTCTGAAATTTTTTGTTGGATATCTGCGATAAGGTCTGGCAGATCGCGGCGAATATGATGAAGCAAGATTTTGCTTAGGCGGTTTCTCAAAGTCGCAATGCCAACCTGGCTTTTGGAGAGCGAGGCCCATGGTCCAGACTCGAAGAACGATTTCTCTTGGGTATCTCGCTCGTCGTCGGAAATCTTTTGCTTGTTGAATGATCGGTTGAGTAAAACATGCCAATCAAGTTGCAGTTTGATCTTCTCGTTTTTGATAATCTGGAGATAGGTCTCTTCTTGCTCGGAGCCATCTTCCACAGTATCTGGCTGCGTCACAATGCCCAGCACCCTTTCATAATAAGGGTCGAAGCGCTTAGCTATGTTCAAAATGTTCTGGTTGTGATAGTCGTTCTTGGCACTGATGACTGCCAATACGATGCTTCGGGGGTTTTTGATGTATCTTTCGGTCAGGGATTCAACCAATTTTTTTCCCTCGGCACTTTGTTCGCTGCTGGTCGAATGATACAACCCAGGAAGATCGACCAGAGTGAGCTCTGGCTGTTGCGGTCCCGAGATCTCGACCTTCAACACATCGTCACTGAACCCCGAGGTCGTCGTGTTGAGTCCCATACAGTCTCTCGCGCGATCCATCAACCCTTGAAACCTCTCACTCGAGGAGAAAGAGGTGATATCTAACTCATTTTGCTCCGATCTGAAGGCCCGGAGCTTCTGCCTTTCCGCCCCATCGAGCCTGGACTTGCCAGTGTCGATAGATACTTTGATTCGGCTATGAGGAGATCGACGAAGGACAAACTCGGTTGCGAAACGAGTGCAGAGATTGCTCTTTGTTGGAAAGCGGACTCTGGATATGGCTTCAAGTACTGAGCTTTTTCCGCTGGACTGGCTGCCACAAACAACGATTTGAGGGAGTTCTACCAAACCACCGACTCCGATAGCGCGTAGCTCATCAATTTTGTCAAGTAATTCTGATTGCTCAGATTGCAGCTCATCAATTGCGGTTTTGAACGAAGGCATGGCGTGGGTTATAGTGAGATTTGAGAGGGATGGAAGCCTGTAGCCTTTCTCGAGGTCAGACCCCGCATCCTCTTCGCGCCGGCCCCCTGCTATCTTTTCACCACTTACAGTTACCCTGCAAGGATAAAAGTACCAGATATGGAGATAGACCAAGTCATTTCTCTGGTCGATTGGATCCCTCGCGTCGAGGATTTGATCGCTCAGCACCATGTCCCGGGTGTGTCCATTGCAGTGGTGCAAAACGACCAAACATCGTCCGCGGGCTTTGGAAGCGCATCCATCGAGCCCCCAATACCATGTACAGCAGAGACTCTTTTTGACGTCGCATCCTGTGCAAAGTCCATGACTGCAGCTTCGGTTGCCTTGCTTGTAGAGGACAATGAAAAATACTCCGACATCACATACGATACGATCATGTCCAACCTACTGCCCCAAGATTTTGTTATGTCGGGCTCCGGATTTACTGAGGGCGTGATGCTTGAAGATTTGCTCGGCCACCGGACGGGGATGGCGGCGTAAGCACCACTCCATATTGTCTGAAAAGGTAATTGGACTAACTTCCATCCAGGCATGACAATTCTTACTTCGGGCCCCGGGCGGAATATCCAGACAACGCAAGATCTATCACCAGAAACCTGAGAAATCTTGCCGTGGCAGCGCCTCTTCGGTCTCGGTACTTGTACTGCAATATGATGTACACAGTATTGACACACCTTATTGAAGAAAAGACCGAGAGGTCATTTGCAGATTTCCTGGAAGAGGAAATCTTCATGCCGCTCGATATGACCTCGAGCAACCTACAGCCTGAAAATGCCCACAAGAAGGGTCTAGGCAGCCGAATGGCAACCGGTTATATGTGGGACAAAGCCAGCGGGTACCGCGAATGTCAATGCGCTGATTGTCCCGAAGGCCAGGGGGCTGGCTCAATCGTTTCAAGTGCCAATGATCTCATCAAGTGGGTGAAGGCATTGATGAACCAGGAGGGTCCAATCACCCTCAAGGTCTACCAAGGGCTGCTCAAGCAGCGCAGCTTTCCAAATCACCATCCAGCAAGGTTAAGACCGTTCACGTCTCCGCCTATCTATGCGGCGGGAATGGAGCTATACTATTACCGAGGTCATATGGTTGTGGGGCATGATGGTAATGTTCCCGGATTCGGGGCCCGTTTTGCTTTCATTCCGGACACCAAGTTCGGAGCTGTAGTTATGGGCAACTCTTCAGAAGCTGGTATTGTTGCTGGGATGCTCATTCGCGAGCTAATCGACGACGCCCTTGGAGTCCCCGAAGCAGAGCGGGCGGGCCGAGCCAAAAATAGGAGACCTAAGACCGATGTTCCAGTCCATACTGAAAATAAGGGGAAACAGAAGAGTAAGGCAACTCAGAATCCGAAGTTGAATCAAGGTGGTCGAAAGCAAAATACGCACCGACCGAGTGACCACAGAACCCAACCAGCTGATTCACCAGAACCGCAGACCAAGCCTCTGGAACAGTATACTGGCCGGTACTGGAATGCGGGATATCGTGGGATGAATGTTCGGGTAGTAGATGATCGATTATTCATCGACGCCTCGGATCGTGCTATGGGATTCACTCTCACATTCCACCACCTCTCCAACCAGACACAATATGCTGCATACCTGGTCGACTCTATCGAAGGCGGGAATGATCGGATTGAGGCAGAATTCGTGTTCAAAGACGATCAGGTGGTGGCAATGGGTCTCCGCTTGGAGCAATCGCTCAAAAATTTAATCTGGTTTGAGAAGATGAATAGTGCGACAGAAACTGAGGGCAGATGAAGCCCGAACAAGCCGGATTGAGTGTGCACCGGTTTCAAACTGCTCCTTCGGCATGCGGGACTGTCCTAGATCCTGGAGCCTTTTCAACGTCAGTTGTATCTTTCCACCGGCTCAGCATTTGACCGCTAGTATCGAACTAGTAAAGTAGCGTTAAAACATCATTCAATGCATTCAATAATGCGCAGTTGACACCGATGCACATGCAAGAAGCATGTTGTCTTTACATCCGCACCTTCCTAAACAACATCAGTGTCTCTGCAGGCCCGAGAAACATTGGTTGAAACGGGCGCAATTGGGGTCTAGTGAAGCCGGGATGGTGATATTGGGGTATTCAGTCACGACCCGTGCTAGTGTCGAATCAAGTGCTCCCGTACGGGGTAAGTCGTTAAGACTGAATCAGCCAAGATGAATATCCAGACTGTCGGGACAGTTCCCAAGCCCTGAGTACCCCGTATGTTCCGCAGTCGTGGTGCCCAAGTCATGGCCGACGGGGCCGCAGCTCGGCAGGCTCACTGATTGGATATTCCCTGAATCATTCATTTCGCTTCCTCCTCGCCAAGCTTCCTGGATTCTCCGGTGATAAGTGACACGCTGCACTTCCACGGCCTGTACTTGGTACCCGTTATAGAGTCTTCCGTGGTTTGTACTCATATCTCGTCGCCAGTTGACGTGTTCAAAGTGCGGATGTTGGGGCTTATTCGTGGGAAAGACGATCCGGGACCGGGTTCGTTTTTCCGGCCAAGTGGAGTCCGCGACAAACTCAAGTTGTTTATTTCGGCAGATCACCCGTCTCCATCTCGACTGCAACTTTTAATGAAAGCACTGAACCATCACAAAAGAATGTGTATCTATTTCTGATCAATCTCACAGTCTCCGCTGAATTCTGGCACTCCGATCGAAGTTGCACGTTCGGGTTAAGCTGAGATACCCAGCGAGATGGTTGCGGGGAACCTCCATCTCTCGGCTCTTTTGCCTCGCACAATGCTGACACCCACTAACTAGCCCGTTGGTCCAAAACGCCCGCCGCGCCACAAACGAGCTTCGACGAAATGAGGGTCTCCATACGAACTCTCTGCTCTGCGCACGAGCACCACATCCCCCCGGCTTGATGTATATCTCGGAAGACGAGAAGCTGCCCTCACGTCGTCGAACTTCCCACTGCCTTCGTTTGAAACTAGTCGTACGAGAATGGCTGCCAGAATGACCGAGGGCGGAAACATCCCTGGGACGGGGTATCACGATCGCAACGCCACTAGTTCCGATGAATGGAACCTGCAGAATGTGTTACCAAACACCGGCAAACCGTGGTACAAACAACGTCACCTGGTGCTTCTCAATCTGGGAATGATCATTCCTTACTTGTCGTCGACAACCAACGGATATGATGGATCGATGCTCAATGGACTGCAATCTATGAGTCAATGGCAGCATTTCTTCGGCTCGCCGACGGGAACCAGACTTGGCTCCCTCTCAAACGGAGTTATCTTCGGCCAGATACTGGCCTTTCCTATTGCACCATGGCTATGTGATCACACTGGTCGTCGATTTCCCATCTTTCTGGGATCTTCACTTCTTGTCGTCGGTGCAGTTTTGCAATGCGCTGCACAGAACTATGCTATGTTCCTGATCTCCCGCATGGTCATTGGCTTTGGGGGTCTAATTGCTGTGGAGGCATCACCCATGCTAGTCAGCGAACTGGCATACCCACTTCATCGCCCAGTTTTGGTGGGATACTACAACAATCTTTGGTACTTGGGAGCACTGCTCGCGGCTTGGGTGACTTATGCGACCTATTTCATGGGTCTGCATACATCATGGGCATGGCGGATTCCATCACTACTTCAAGGGTTCTTTCCTCTTGTCCAAGTTCTTTTTGTCTATCTGCTTCCCGAGTCACCGCGATATCTTGTACAACAGGATCGCCACGAGGAAGCTCGAGAAGTGCTGACCAAGTATCATGCGGGCGGCGATGAGCACTCACCTCTGGTTGATTTCGAGATGCAAGAAATCATTCTACAAATCCAGACTGCCAAGGCTGCATCCAAGACTGGCTATCGCGAGTTCCTGAGTACAGGGGGAAACATGCATCGTCTATTTATCATCGTTGCGGTTCCTTGTATGATGCAGCTTTCGGGCAACGGCCTGATCTCATACTACTTACACCTCATTCTGAACTCCATCGGCTTCACGTCCGATCCCCAGCAGTTGCGCATCAACGGAGGCCTCATGGTATTCAATCTTGTTGTTTCAGTCATTCTGGCATCACTGATGGAATTGGCCGGGAGGCGACGCCTCTTCCTGTCTTCGACCATCGGCATGCTGATTTGCTATGTTATTTGGACTGTGCTGTCTGCTGTCAACGAACAGCGGCACTTCAAGGATCGTTCACTTGGCACTGGTGTGGTTGTGATGATCTTTATCTATCAGATATGCTACAATGCTGGTCTCAACGGACCACCCTGGGTGTATGTTACTGAAGTGCTCCCAACCCACCTCCGAGCCAAGGGGACCAACATCATGCAAATCGCCTCCACATGCGTGCTGATCTTCAACGGGTATGCGAACCCAGTGGCCATGGATGCCATAGGCTGGAGATACTATGTTGTCTATTGCTGTGTATTGGCTATCGAGATTGGTATTGTCTATTTTGGATTTCCCGAGACAAAGGGCCACAGCTTGGAGGAAGTGGCATTACTATTTGACGGGGACGAAGCGTTTGGTGATCGATTGACGAAGAGCTTGGTTTGATTTTGTTCATATTAATTTACGTACCTGGGGATCCTGGTGGTTCTTTGGGGGCTCTATGAAGCTAGCTTGAACTAGCATTTTAATCAGTACCCTTCAATGTCAGTGATCAGATGCCCCGGTGGCAAATTGGGTCACGATCGGGTCAGACAATGTTGAAATCTTGTGTAAGAACCTTGGAATACAGAGGTTCCCCCGTGCTACAGAGTAGACTGAAACATGTCTATTGAACTATGTGGCTAAACCTTGGAAAAGACTTATGTCTCTCGGCAGAAATGGTCTGGACTCGGCGTCTTTCGTCCTTTTTGCTTTTTCCCCTCCTTTCGTTCTCTGTCTCATATACGAACTTGAAAGCACGAGAAATCCAGTTCTTTACTTCACCAGGGGGTTACCATGCGGGGAGATGCTACATCGCATTATGTCATGGACCAGTGAAGGCTAGTACACTTTGTCTAACATGGTCTCGAAGGCTGAAAGCTCGAGTTGCCGTGAGCGAAATGCACCCAAGAAACCGGGCCAGTTGGCACCAGCTAACCCCAATTCATCACGGGTCGCACTCCTCAAGGTGCATCGTACAACCCGTTATCTACCAGATCGGCACAGAGAATATTTTGATGGCTTCCATCACTCGACGCAAGGAGGCCTGCTAATTCGGCAGATATTGTCAACACTCCGTCCAGGGTACAGAGTACATAGTACTCGAACTCAAGATTCAAATCTTGTATGGGCCAAATTGAAACCGAAAGCAATAACATTGCGGGGTTTGAGACCTGAAGATCTGCGGGGTCTCACAGTCAAAAACATCGCTTTGGATGTTTTCTCTCCCCCTGCTTTCCTGCATTCCGTGACTTTACCGTACCAATCAGGGATGCGCATCCGAGGCCTGAGACCATCGGTCTAACCTTGTACATCTTCATGAATCAGCGTTACAATGCAACGGTACCTGTGTCACTTCTCAAGCAGTGTTTTTTGCTGTGCCTTACTAGCCAAGGCCAGTGCAGAGTGAGCTACCTGATCATGGGATGCGCATCAAACCTGGCATTTTGCATGGCGCCCAGCCCGCCATCGGACATCAAGCCAAAGAATTTCTGTCCCTGAAACTGAACCCCCCATTACCCCACAGAATGGGGTTATAAAGGGTTTTCCCACGCCGGAATGCCGAGGCGCTGTCTTTTTTATCGGTGATCGTCTATTGTGGCAGGCACGATGCACCATCTTCTCTTAACTTTGGCGCTCAGCGCTGCTGCTGAGGGGTATATTTCTGGAAGTGCTGGCTGGGATGCAGCCTACGCCAGGGCCCAAGTCGCTCTCCAAAAGCTAAATCAAACAGAGAAAGTTGGTCTTGTTACTGGTGTGACATGGGAAGGAGGACCTTGTGTGGGTAACACCTATGCGCCCGAATCCATCGACTATCCGTCCTTGTGCCTTCAAGACGGACCTTTGGGCATCCGCTTTGCCAACCCCGTCACGGCATTCCCCGCAGGCATCAATGCCGGCGCAACCTGGGACCGCGATCTACTTTATGCGCGTGGAGCTGCTATGGGGGAAGAGTCTAAGGGCCTGGGTATCCACGTGCAACTAGGTCCTGCCGCCGGTCCATTGGGAAAGAATCCAGATGGAGGTCGAAACTGGGAAGGGTTCTCTGTTGATCCTTACCTGGGCGGAGTTGGCATGGAAGAGACAATTCAGGGCATGCAAGATTCCGGCGTGCAAGCCTGCGCTAAGGTATGTGCTTGGGTGCAATGAAAGTTGGTACTCTGAGTTCCAGCTGACATCTACGATAGCACTGGCTTGGCAATGAGCAGGAACATAATCGAGAAACCATGAGCTCTAATATTGGAGACCGAGCGACTCATGAGCTTTACCTGTGGCCTTTTATGAATGCCGTCAAAGCAAATGTTGCATCGGTCATGTGCTCGTATAACAAGTTCAACCAGACTTGGGCCTGTGAGAGCGACGCAATCCTCAACAAGCTACTGAAAGACGAACTTGGGTTCAAAGGTTATGTCATGAGTGATTGGAACGCTCAACACACTGGTGTCAACAGTGCTTTGGCTGGACTCGATATGACAATGCCAGGAAGTGACTTCAGCACTCCCCGTGGCAACATTTTCTGGGGACAGAATCTTGTTCAAGCCGTCAGCAATGGATCAGTACCACAGTCCCGGCTGGATGATATGGTCACCCGGATTCTAGCAGCATGGTACCTACTGGATCAAGATCAGGGCTATCCAGATGTGACTTTCAGCTCATGGGATGGAGGGAAGGCTACCGTCGACGTGACAGCCGATCATGGTGCTCTTGTTCGCACAGTCGCTCGCGAATCCATTGTTTTGCTGAAGAATGAAGATGAGATCTTGCCTCTGCAAGCGCCTCAGACTCTTGCAATCATTGGCTCGGATGCTGCGGTCAATCCAGATGGTCCCAATGCATGCACCGACCGTGGATGTAACAATGGCACATTGGCTATGGGATGGGGCAGTGGGACGGCCCAGTTCCCGGTGAGCTTAGTTAAAATGACTGCGAACATATGACTGAAAGCTAACAATGCAATTTTAGTATCTCGTCGATCCACTAAGTGCCATTCAAGGCCAAGCCGAAAAAGACGGCACTCAGATCGTTCAGAGCATCACTGATAGCACCACTGCCGGTGCCTCGGCAGCCGCGGCCGCAGATACAGCTGTGGTATTTATCAGCTCTGACGCAGGTGAAGGGTGAGTACGATTATCCAGTCCATCACTACTGTTCCACTTGGTTTGCCATGCTAACAGTTGACTCAGTTACATAACGGTAGAGGGCCATGCTGGAGACAGAAACAATCTTGATCCGTGGCATAATGGAAACGAGCTCGTCAAAGCCGTTGCAGCTAACAGCGAGAATGTCATTGTCGTTGTGCACAGCGTGGGCCCCATCATCCTCGAGACTATCCTCGCTCAGCCATCAGTAAAAGCGATCGTTTGGGCCGGACTACCAGGCCAAGAAAGTGGAAACGCTCTCGTTGATGTGCTATACGGTAGCACTTCCCCAAGCGGCAAGCTTCCCTACACCATCGCAAAACAGTTTGCAGATTACGGGGCTGGCTGGAACCCAGGGCTAGACGACAACTTCGCCGAAGACATCTTCATTGACTACCGGCACTTCGACGATAACGACATCGACCCTCGATATGAATTCGGATTCGGCCTTTCCTACACTTCCTTCGAATACAGCAGACTTTCAATCAATATCGCGGCAACAGCTGGACCGTCAAACGGTCCCATCGTTCCTGGTGGAGCAGAAGAACTCTTCGAAACAGTCGGAACCATCTCCGCTATTGTCCAAAACACTGGAAAAGTTCCCGGTGCCGAGGTAGCTCAGCTTTACATTGGTCTCCCTGATTCTGCGCCCGATACACCCCCGAAGCAACTCCGAGGATTCGAAAAGCTACTTCTTCAGCCGGAGCAATCTGGCATGGCTACTTTTGAGTTGACTCGTCGCGATCTCAGTTACTGGGATGTCCAGGAACAGAAGTGGATTATTCCTAGTGGTACATTCACAGTCTATGTGGGAAGCTCTAGTCGGGATATTCGTCAGAATGGCGAGTTCTCTGTTTGAAATCAGTGGGATGGATATTGGAAGCTCCCACTTTGGAGGGTTGAAGATGAATTGGTTTGAATATAATCTAAATCCATGACGGCAATTCTTCTGATTGTCCTATTTTCAAACCCCTAGGCTCTCGATGTTCCATCCTGCTAGCCTAGAGCTGTTTCTGCAACTACTGGAGTTTCGGAGTACTCTGCACCACTTCCACACCCTGGAGGTTGGGCGCTTACCCCTGTACTTAAGACCTAATCTCGTTCGGGGCCCGAGCCCATATCTCCCTTGCCCGAGAAAGACATTCAGTGCTATGTAAATGAATTGTCCAGCCCTGGAGGTGGAGTAAATAGATCCGAACTATTCTGTAGATTCTGAACTTGGAAGGTATGGCTTTTGCTTGGAGGTGGAGTCCATTCTAAACTTTAGAGGTTTGCACATTGCGCGACTATCCACATTGATCTATATATTACATGCAGCGGGAGGATCCTATTTCAATTATAGCCAATATGTGATTAAACTCCAGGGGTCAAGCTCCCATAACATTTTGATCGGCGGTTTACCCGGGTAGAACTATGAGAGAATATTCCTTCCACTTGAGCAGTGCTTTAGTGATTGGTGTGAGATCCCAGGGGGCTTCACTATATGCGTCCAGATGTCCTGAAGTCGACGCAATGTAGTGACCGTGCCACCTGGGCAGCATAATGGAATCGGTTGATGCGATACTAAGAATCTTGAAATTCAGGAATCTCCAGATCTGTAGATAAAGATTTCACATAGATGTTCAAAGAAAATTCAATGATTCAATAATTGACGTGACGGGTAAATAAAAGCAAGTTGATCGGGCACATCACATAGCTCAGCCCGGGCTGATAGAACTTAGATTTACTCCGTACGGAGTACTATCTATAGATTCAGGCCACCAACTCGTATTGACGGAGCGGGGAGAACAGAATACGAAGCAGTAAATGGACACGGTGCGAGGCTAATGCGAGATTTCCAAGAGTTGTGACTTGCATCTCGTAAAATGGGGCCGTCACATTCCTTGGACGCCTCTGTTTGGATGGACCTGTCGCGTCGTGCCCTCGGCATACTTTCATTGATTGAATGAAGGCTTTCTGTGGGAGAAGTTGATCGCAACTGTGGCCTAGGCCCCGCATTCAGGTATAAAGACTTCTGGTCGTCCGTGGCTGTTAACTAATGCTCAAGACAATCAGAATGCATATCCCTACTACCCTTTGGGGTTTAGCCACACTTTTAGTTGTTTCTCTGGCATCAGCTGAAGCCTCGACCAACACTCTCGTGAAACCGGCTTTTACCTTTGACCAACTTTGGGATCTTCAAAATGCCTTTTGGGATTCATTCCTCTATCCTGCAAACCTCAAACAGACCCAAGGGAATACAACCACGGTCTTTACACCAGACGTGAGCTATTCTTCGTGGTTGTATCAGCCACTCTCAGCTGATTCAAAGTATAGGTTCAAGGACGAGTCGATATCACACGCACATTCGATGGCGACGAGCTGAACCGTGAATATATCTACGGTCTTTTCTCGGACCCTGAAAGTGTCAGCCTTGCAGGAATTCCGATCGCATATCACATTACTCAGTTCTTGGCAAACGACAATATCACATCCGCCACGACTGTCGTGACTTTCAACTCTACTACCTTTGGCGTGGTGATTCCTATAACCATCGATACCTGGATCGAATTCAGCCCAGAAGGCAAGATCGCAAGTTATGACGCGACCTTCCGCTGGTTCGGATATCTTTTGGACTTCATACTGAAAGCAGTGGCAACCAAGACGAACGGTACCTCTGAACAGGCCGTGGCGTATGTGTCAGACGTACTCGCAAAGCATGTCTGTGCTTCATCTGAGAAGTATTGCAAGGGTGAAAACCAACAATACGAGAATAGCGACTCTTGTTACGAGACGTTGACGAAGAAGAAAAGATTTGGCCAGCCCCATGAGCTGGGACGCGACACATTGCTGTGTCGTTCGATCCATGAGCACATGGTCAAGTATCGCCCTGAGGTACACTGTATGCACATCGGTCCAACGGGTGGAGGATACTGTGTGGATGATATGACCTACCAGGAGACCGTGCTGCAGAAGTACTTCACTCACTCGTGGATCCCATATGGATATGGGGAGGACAAGAATATTTGGCTGGCAAATTAACCTGATTGATTTTGTTTCTGGTGTACATAAATCTTCTCGGTGTCTTGGGTTGCATGTTGATTGATTGAATGGTCGAGGGCGAGTAAGCGCGAGAGCATTCCTAGTCTGCTAGCCAGACGAGAGCAATGACTCAATAAGCCTCTCCCATTTACTGTCATCTTTGGTTATCATCGCTCATATTCTTCGCCTTTCTCACCTTCTTTGTCACTCGGCATGTACTTTTCGGCTGCAGTAATCGGTTATATGGAGCTAGCTCCTGTCATTTCTTTCTTCGCCTCTTTCGAATTCCTCTCAGTGCCTATTTCTATCAGGTTAACTCCACAATGTATCCAAGAAAACATTTTAAGTAGAATCCAAGTGCCATGACCCACCCTACGACATGAACTGGATCTGAAATTACCCGCCCAGGTACTTTTGTCTTGAATTGTGATCAGATGATTTCTTTTCTTCTTCAAGTTCCTCTTTAGACATCTAGGATATGACTCTGCTGATCCATTGTGACATTCAAGGTTCTCCCACTTGGACCAAGACTTCGACCTATCAACGGCGCTCGATGACACCGACGGAATTCTTAGCAAGTTCCATGCAACGTCGATCACAAATTCCCCCGCCTTCGAACCCGTCAATCTGGTGACAGTATCATGCCTAATTTGGTAGGCGCATCGAGAATTGCCGGGAGCTGCCTGGGATTTGAATTGATTCTTTCGAGCGGAATGTGGCTTGGAAGACAAATTTGGTGTTGTCAGCCAGGCGTGGCGGCTCTGATGGCCCTCAGTCAGGACATAAAACAACAGAGACATATCACCAAAACCTCTGTCATGTTGCGTGCTATGTTGCATCAAGATCGAAATGACTGAGCGTGAGCTCCCTTGATTATAAAGACCAAGACGGGATCTGCTCGACGTTAATCAACGTGGCAGGATGCGGAGTTAGCTCATACCCAAGGGGTTTGAAAGATGTCCGGAGCTTAGAGCTCTACCAGTGATATCATAGGACACACCTTATCGAGAAAAAGTCTCCGGTGTTTGCAACCCCATCTGGCAATGATCGAGCTATACATTCCAATCCCTTCACACGCCCGCCCCTAGCCGTTTCTTTCGCTATTCCAGCTCACAATCCTCCGTCGCAGGCCGAGCGAGCTTTCTATTTCCCACGCGAAGCACGTCAGCTTTGGCCTTTGACAGACCTCGAACTCACGGGAGCTTCAAAACAGGGGCTGAGTTCCCTGTTATATACAGTCGCAGTGATCTCATAGATTTCAGCAGCCCGAGCTCATGACCGATGGATTCCATGCCTAATCCCGAATCGCAAGCATGGCCTTCGCTGAACTGCCGACGCTGGTCAATCGCCAAGTCGAAGTGGCGACTATACCGCTCGGTCTTCAAAAGTTGCATGCCAGCCCTACAATAAGCTCTGCGCGGAAATTCCTTCCGTCACCTGGCTGACCTTCAGCAAGCTTTTATTCATCCCTTCCAACATCCGGTCTCCCTTGGCGGAAATCAAACAATGTGACTAGCAAGAAACCATTGGTTATAATGAATGAACGGCTCGTCGTTATTCTCCGTTGTCTCAAACTATACTACTAGGTCACTCCATATCATTCAACAAATATGGAGACCCGACGCTCGTCTTGCAGTAACTCACAACCAGGCAGTGAGGCTCAGATACGTCTATGCCCTGAGAAATTCGACAACATGTCTACCGAGCAAAATTTACCACCTGTCGATGGAGGATTTCAAGCATGGATGTTTCTGGGAGCTTGTGTGATGCTAGAGGCATTGATATGGGGTATAATTAGACGTGAATCTTCGTGCGACAGAATAGAAGCTAACATCGTTGCAGGATTTGCCTTTGCATTTGGAGTCTTCCAGAAATACTATCATGCGAATGAAGCCTTTGAGGACTCCAACATGGTTGCCGTCATTGGGACCTGTGCTACAGTAAGCATTCAACGTGCTTGCCGGAGTCAAATTTACAGCACTGACCTGACATAGGGTATCTCCTACTTGAGTTGTCCACTGGTCATCATTGCTATGATATTACTCCCCACGATGGGTCGATGGTTCTCAACAATCGGATTAATTATGATGTGTCTTTCGCTGGCATTGGGCTCATTTTCTAAAAACGTCACTCATCTCGTCCTATCGCAAGGAGTCGGCTTTGGAATTGGTGGCTGCATCGCTTACAGTCCATCCATCTTATATATGGATGAATGGTTCGTGAACCGAAAGGGACTTGCATTCGGTATAACCTGGGCTGGCTCAGGAATATCAGGTATCATTTTCCCAATCGGACTCGAGAAGCTACTCGCCAGGTTTGGATTTGAGACCACACTCAGAGTCATCTCGGTGATAATGTTTGTTCTTGCCGCGCCATTTCTTTATTTCCACAGACCCCGACTACCAGTTTCAAAGTCTGTGGCTTACAACCGGCTCAATTTCCGGTTCGTCTACGACAAGACCTTTATTTTTTATCAGGTCAGCAACATTATGGAGGCAATCGGCTTTTTCTTGCCTGGAATCTATCTTCCTTCTCATGCGCGCAGTATCGGCGCTTCGGATTTCGTCTCGTCACTCACTGTCACCCTTCTCAATCTGGCATCGGTGTTTGGAAGCGTCACAATGGGCCATCTGGCAGACCGGTACCATGCTATCACCTGCATAACGATCTCGACAGTGGGAAGCACTCTATCTCTGTTTTTTCTATGGGGATTTGCATCCACCATACCAACTTTACTGGTATTCTCTTTCGCATACGGCCTATTCGCAGGGTCATATTCAGCCACCTGGGCAGGGATAACGAGGGAGGTCAGACATGTGAATCCCAGCGCCGATGCGACTATTATCTTCGGTCTTATTGCCTTTGGTCGCGGTATTGGAAATGTTGTCAGTGGGCCGTTCAGTGAGGCTTTGGTGAAAGTCGATCCTTGGGTGGGCTCTGCGATTGGCGCCTACGGTAGTGGATATGGTCTTGTCATTATGTGTGCTGGGATCAGTGCTTTTATGAGTGGATTGTGTATTTTTGCCCATTATTTTAAGGTTATATAGTTGGATTTGGTGCAGGCTCACGAGGATGTATATTTGGCTACTTTGTTTCTGAAATGTACATTTCTCCCTGACGCAATCATCTTGAAATGAAAAATTAAAGAAAAGACGAGAAGAAAGCAACCTACTATCAGGTGTACCTAAGTATGATCGTGGGGTCATCTTTAGATCGAATAACCTTGGAAGTCCTAGTCATTTTCTATAACAGGATGTCGTGCCCAGATGGGTGTGAGCTCGGCATTTATTCTAGTTGCAATAGGAACACTTCCAATCTTCTAAAGTTCCCCTTGTCATCCAATTCGCATATTCCCTGAAAGCCTTCCAGATTGAAAATTTTGACTTTATTGCTGATGAGATATGGTAAGGGTATGCCGAGGTTGCAGCTAAAACCTGGGGCTCTACGGCATGCATACCGAGCCGGATACATGTGGGACACAGCCTTGATATTTGAAACTTAATCTGTGGAAAATTTTATCGACTTGATCTCGAACACCCAGTGGTCGAGTAGGGAGTAGTGGACGTCATGGGTGGAAGTGGAAATGTGGATCCCCGGATATACCGCGCAGCCCTAAATCATGCTCTATGACGCCAGTACTAACAGCAATACTGGTTCTTTGGACCTTATGGCATATTCTTTTCATAATTCAACCGCATGCGTCTTACTTGTGATCATGACTCCAATCAAGTCCGAAGATTGCGTGTCCTTGGATGTTAAAAGGCGCGCAATCGCCCTTGAGCGGTCCAGACCTTTGATCACTTTCAACATTTCCTGTCTAAAACCCGAGTAAAACTCGCAGTTTGCAAGCAAAATGAAGATCTCCAGCTTTGCCGGTCTCCTTTTGACCGCAGTCACTGCCTCAGCAGCAAACTCAAACTGCGCACCCACATCATCCGATGCAAAGGTCCTCGAGTTTGCCTGGGGTCTATCCGACTTCATTGGCGGCTACTACAACTCCACCGTGAACTCGACCTTCTCCTCCACCAGCAACGCCACCATTGCCGCCTACAAGAAGGTCCTCTGGGGCGTGGAGAAAGAGAACACCCTCGGCAGCGAAGCCATCGAGCAACTCAGCAAGAAAGCCTCCGGCTTCGAAGAGCCCGAGTGCGATTTCAAATTCCCCAAGGTTAACACCACCCAAGCCTGGGCTTGGTATGCCTACCACTTCGAGGCTACCGTTACTGGCGCTTTCATCGGCCTCGCTGGGTACACCCAGTCACCCGAGGTGTCTTTCCTGCTGGCCCGTCTGGCTGCTTCGCACAGCGCCCATGCCACCTTGATTGGAAACAAGGTTAACTCGACCCTGTTTGCGCAGAATGCTACCTCGCTCGTTGGTGCCTATTCTCCGGCTCAGATTCTCTCCACCCGCAACCAGACTGGTAGCCTTGGTCTGTACCTTGGTGACTGTCTTACTGCCCCTAGCAGCCCTTGTGGCTCTTTGAGGATCGGACCTTTGGATGCTACTCCTACCTCTTCTATCGTTGCGGGTACATCTTCGGCCTCCAGTGCTAGCAGCTCTGTTGCTGCCCGGAAGTACTACTAAATACTTGATCTGTGTTAAATGAGGGAAGGTTCCGGTAGCTGAGTGTTAGCGTGGGCGCTTCCCTGATTGAAATGATGTTAGGGAAATATGTAATCTTAATTTTGCTGTATCCAAGGATGTGAATGTGAAGGTGGTTTATTTGAGCAGACCTTACTTTAAATCTGTGATTCTCTTTCTCTGGCTATCTCTGAATGATCTACGAGTAGTACCCGTGGACGTTTTGATCAACTTTAAGATCACCGTGGGTCAATTGAGCACATGTCTACAGTGCAGTGTAGTTTCCCTTCTCCTGAAGACTCTTGATCCGCCCAAGAAGGAACTCTAGCTGTCTGTATGCCGCGCCAGGGACATACTGAGGAATTTCATGGCCAGATCCATAGACAGAGCTGAATGTCAGGCCACGTTCAGTATGGGCAGTTCCAAGTATTCCAGCGCCAGCATCAGCAGTCCAAGGTATTTTCGTTTGGCCATTGGCAATCTGATCTAATTTATCCGTGTATGGCACAAGCAATGGCTCGATGGGTGGCTTCTGGAAGCCCTGCGCACCATTCCAAGTCATGTTCTGGATGGTAGCTAGGGTGCCGTTCAGGAAGAGTAGGTAGTCGTACCACCCATGGCCAATGAGAACGTTGTTCGTGCGCTCAATGACACTGGGTAGAGGGCCGAGGGCGCTTGGTGGGGAATTATCGCCTTCAGGGAAGACACCATTAGCACAGACGGCGTAGTTGGTAGGTGGGACGTGAAGGGCTTTTTGAACGGCTGTCTCGTTGAAGTAATTGTTTGGTCCGCCTGCTTGTGATGGGAAGCCCATTTCGCTCCATAGGAAAGGACAGAAGTCTGTGAGGTGGTATATGTTGAAGCAAGGGTTGATGTATGTTGCTGCTTTGACGACTTGGTCCCATACATCGCAGCCTGGCTCTTTGGGGTCTGGTGCGATGGGGAAATTCTCAGGAGGCGGGTATTGCAAGGCAGAGTCGAGGAATTTGGTGTAGCCACATTTGTCGGCGCGCTCGTTGATTTCCGCCATGAAGGTGTCGTTCAAGCCAAAGACGGAGGCATAGTGGTTCAATGCTGCTACGGCCGGGGCTGCGAGCTTGTATTAGTACAGTATCCTCCAGCTACCTTCCTTGGACTGACCGTAAATCATGACATTATCCTCGTTGATAGATGGGTCGTTGATTTGGATACCCTGGAGGTTGAAATGTGTGGTGTCGTTGCGATCGAGCATGCCAGCAGCCAGATATGGAATATATTGGCCAGCATAGCTCTCCCCGGTGATGTAGACCTTGTAACCCTGCATACTGAAAGTCTCAATAAATCCCTTCCAGAAGTCATTGAACTGGTTGGCGACATCAATTTCATTTTGGACTGTTGATGGTCGTGGAGAAAATCCAGTTCCAGCGGGTTGGTCAATGTAGACGAGATTTGTCAATTTGGTCCACGAGTAAGGGTTTCGTACGGGCTCGTAAACACCCGATTGCCAGAGGAATGGGCCATTTTCTTGCAGAAGACCATCAAGGGAACTGCATCCGGGGCCTCCATTCAGCCAGATGGTAATCTTGAAGACAATTAGAGTGAGCAAAGCGACAAAGTGAATAATCGACTCACTTCCTTGTCTGCAGCTAGGTTTTCAGAAGGGAAGAACCAAAAGAACAGACTTGAATTTCCACTGGGAGTATTGGGAAGTAGACCGGCGTAGCTTTCGCCGATATCAAACGGCACGTGAGGGAAATGGGTTCCATTGACCTGGAATTCTAAGAAGAGTCAGTCTCACCGTTTAAAGTCTTCTGGTCTCACTTACTCGCAGTTTGGTTGGTCAGATACTGATGCTCGCGACCAGAAGATAACTCTCGCTTCCGCAGAACCTTGGCAGACCGTTTCGCCGATGCAGCCTTGTGGTGTGGACTCTGGAGTGCAGCAACGGCCGCAATCAAGAGCGTGAAAAAGCCCCAGATCAACATGGTTGGAGTGTGATGAGAAGTGAACTTCGTAGCACGACTGAAAGAGCACCAAGCTTCCCCTATTTATGGGCCTCGATGCTTCACTGGCGGAAAATCCCGATCAACAACATTGTGAACTCCGCGTGGAGATTACCAGTGACCAAGCTTTGCCAATGCGGTTGCCAGCCGCCTCTAGTTCCCTCTGGTGGGACCCGGGGGCCAGCAGCCATTCGTTATAGGGGGCGGGGAAGGGGAAGGGAGATTGCAACGTCGCAAGCAACTAAGAAATCGATACTCCGTATTAAAGGCCATGTCGTCATGTTTGGTTGAGCGATCCATTTTACTCCGTCGGAGTCCCTTCTCTGGCCGTATCATAGCTCCACCCCGACTATTTATTATACTCGGGCTCGGAAGTCGAAAACTTGGACTTCAAAATACTGTTGCCTGTATGCAATTGAGTCTGAATTGAAGGGTTAATTGTATCACAATACAACACTCCCCGTGATACCAGAAACTACCTTAGAGAACCCGCAAGTACTTCGCTCCTCAGGTTAAGTACGAAGTGCGGAGTGCGGAGTAGCACGTCTCGTTATGATCACCGAAATATGCAACAAAAGGGTGGGGGCACGATATTGCAGGTGAAAATGGCTGGAATTCATCACATTTTACTCCGTACTACTCGTATCATGTTGTTCTTTCTACTCCGTACCTACTAGACAGATGGGTGAGTAAAATCTACTCGGCGCCCAAGCAAAAGAGCGGATAATCTCGGCTTGGTGGGCCTGATCGGCGAATGTCATCGGATGGCACGGAATCCATCTGGTTTCTACGAGTATGAACACTGAGGGATTGATGTCTAAGTAATTTCCTCGAGGCGGTATTTTCTCGTGGATGGTGTGACCATGTTGCCCCGCGCCAAAAGACATGGGAAATTAGACAGGCAACCCTGTGCTAGTACTCCCGGCGCAGGTTGGGCTAGACCCTAGAGCGGTATATGCCCAAGGTCACTTTTTTTTTACTCCGTCTTTCGTGCTTACAACGGCTTTGCCTGGCCAAGGCTTTATTGTCATGGAGATTTTCCTCGCTAAGCCCCTGTCATAGCCTTGATGTACAGTCTTTTTCCGAATCCAACCGATAGAGGTTAAAGCACCACATGGATCATAAAGATTCAAAATGTTGGTACTTGAGTATTTTCACGGCGCAAATGTATAGCGAGTCGGAAAAAATCGCTTCGTCGCTGGCAAGAGCTAACCTAAATTTCCGTTATCACCCTAATCTCGGAGATTCTTTCTTTGACATCGAAACATTAGTCTTATAGACGCCTAAATACGGACTTGTTGTTGTCCTTTTGGGTAAAACTGTCGCGTTGAGACCCTCGTGATGTCTGCTGTAATTCCATCGAAAGCAAAAAGTCGCGCTTTCGCAAGCCAAGACAAAATCCCCTCACAACCGAGTTGGCATTATTTCCAGCTGGGCAGAGTCTGGGGACATGAAAAGCTCGTGATCTGCATCTGCGAGGGGGAAGGCAACACAGCGTGCGGATCGGCACTGTGCAACAGGTGGCATTCCTCGTACTCGTAACGCCAAGGTCGGGAATTCTGACTGTTAAAAGTGAGCGAAATCTTTCTCGAACCGGGGATGTGCTGGGTCATATTGAAAAATCAGAAATAGAAAACCCAAATACGAAGTAATAAGTGTCTGTTATTGCCAAGGTACATACAGTAGTAAGTAGTATACAAGAAAAAGAAAAAGCCCATATTCAACGGGCTCATCACCCTCTCTGGTGGCGTATAGTCACAAGACTCCCGGAAACAAGAAAGAAAAATAGTAAAATACCCCAAAAAATGTGTTCGAACCGGAACCCCAAACCCCAAGTGTCTTACAGACATTATCCAACCGGAAAAAGAAAATAGCATGAGTGTCGTAAGAGGTATATTCATTAGGTCGTGAAAAAGCAGATTGGGAGTTTAGGCAGTGCCGCGGCGTTTCTTGAATCGCATACTGATACTCTTTCGAAGTTGGGAGAATGGGTTAACGACAGGGCGGTTGTAGAATGGATCATTCTTGAAATCTTCGTCGGTAAATTTCTAGTTTGAAATTAGTACATGTGACACAAAACATGAAGCATGAACCCTACCATGCCAGGAAGGCGCATGAAGTTGCCAGCAAAATCATTCATCATGTTTGAGCCCTCTTCGTAAGAGTACTCTTGACCATTGCGGTCCGTGGTACCGGGAGGATAAAAGGCCACGCCATCCAAAGGTCTGTGGCTGTTCAAAGCATCTGAGATTTTGTGCTGGGGAGTTGCTCGCAGGGCCTCGGCATTGGATTCCCTGACAGCTTCCAATGGGCTGGATTGACTAAACCGATTGCGCTCGGGGCGGGCGGCGTCATACGGGCCCTCGTGGTGATATGAAAAAGCGGTCACATTATCTAGTTGGTCGATAATATCCGGCTGTACTAGTTGTGAGTGTCGGGCCTTGTGAGAAGTAGACCGGCGGCGACGGGTAGACGGATGACGGCGTCTCGGCTCCACCGGATAATGCTCGGGGCTACCGGAATACCAGATGGAAGGCGCGGAGCCCACGGATTCACAGCGCGACCGGCGGGAGCACGTCGAGGGCGCTGGCGACATGTGTCTGGCGTAAGGGTTGTTGCTGCCCACGTTTGGCACCCCACCCGAATGCCGGTCTAGACTGGGATTGTTGAAGGGATGGTGGGGATGATGGCGCGAGGCCATAGAGATGCAATCAACTGTCATGGGAACTAGTAGAAAGAGGTATAGGCGGGTGGAAAAGGGAGGATATGAAGTCGAGCCCTTTGCGACGATTGTCGGGTCGAGAATCGAGTATAAATACTAGATTCTGAACTGGGGCTGAGCAATAATGCAGGTAGCCTCGTATAGCTGAGAGGATCAGGAGGAAGTCAAGAGACTATAAGTGATATAGGGTCTTTAATAGAGGCAGCTGCGGCCGTGACGTGACGACTTGCGTACGCCATGACCCAAAAGCTAAAGTCGCCAATAAATTTTACCAATGAGCGCTTAGACACATACTGTAGACGCCCCGGATTCTATGGATTCTATGGACTTGGTGGATTCAGTGGATTCGATGGCCCTGGACCCCGCCGAAGCTCCGGTTCCTCTATGAAGTCTTGTCACTAGATCTCTACTCCGTATAGCCTAGACCGTGTAATGTAGTATATACCGTAGAAAGAGTTGAGCTTCTTCTAAAGTTGAACCCCACTGAAAGTTTCCCCGTGCCATCAAAAGGTAAATATGCAAGGCCGATGTTGCATTTGCATCATCCGAGACTTCCACGCATGGATCGGCCCCTATGACGATATTTGCTTTTTTCCTCTCCACTCCGACTTGGTCTGGTTCAAATGTTTTTTTTTTTTTTTTCTTTTCTTAAAAAAAAGGCTTGGATTTCCACGGAAAACTCTATCGTCATAGCTGATTTCATAGGGCTCTATCTTTGGTACTGGATGACTCGCTCATAATTAAGCTCATCGACTAGGGATAGCGCCAATTTTAGTGCCGCGATGGCGTCTAACCTAACTGTCACCCCTGACTTGATCTAGATCTGTGAAAAAAAAGTATAACTCCTTGCTCGGTAGACTTGGCCATGACCTGACGCCCTCGTTCCCCGGGGACTTTTTTTCACCGCTTCATGCTGGACGTTGCTACATTAGATTCGTGCGTTTTCCACGCCCATTCTTTCTCGATTTTCTATTGTGAACACCTGTCGCTTTCATCTGTGTCTCATGCAGGGTAATATGTACCCCGTAATTGATTGGCACTAGAGCCGAGGGCGCAAATAGTCGCAATTTACATTTGGGACGGGTAAAGTGTTCCATCCTCCAGGGCTCAATCTGGATGTAACTCCTTGCCCTATGATCTTCATTCCACAAAGTCAGTTGATTCTCTCGCCTGCTAGCCGCAGATTTAACCTTACATTTCTTTTACCTCGGAATTCTGCCCTGTTGGATGATACTCGTATTTCTCTACAAACAAAATGTCTCTCCGACTTCGCATGTGGCCGGCCGTCATTTGTCTCGGCAAAGGCATCAATGCATATGAAATGTAATATTTAGTAAAGAGTATGGAGCATCGGCAATTGATCAGATCTATCAAGTATTCCGTGCCTAGGTTACTCCGTACGCTGCGCCGTAGACTGTCTACAGGTGGAGTACTGCATTTGAGGAGAGAAGCTGTCCACCTCCCAACAATTTCTACTCCGTACTCCATACAGAGTACCGCATCTATGATTCATCCGAAGCGGTGCCTGGTTTTGGTGCCAGAGACATCCAAAATATCCATCAGCCCCATCATACTGAGTAGTAGGCGTGCTGGATCAATTGCGGTTTGTTCGTTAATATTACTTCCTCACTTTCTATCTCCGAAGTCGTCTTTTTCTAAAGATCAATTACTCCGCAGAGAGTGATAAACCCGTCCCTATGCTGATTGACCTTGGGAATACCTTATATATCTGCTCTAGGTCTGATTTGAACTAACCACTTGCTCCTCCTGAAGTCTATGACGTGCAAACTTGCTTTCCTCGTTTTTGGGGGAGGTAAAACTTCCCTCCCTGAAAATTGAAAAGATCTGACACGAGAATACATAGACGCAGGCTAATTCCATAGTCACAAGTACTGGCTGCCTGACAACTATTTCAAAAATCCAAGTCAGTTCAGAGTGCGGGGAAAAGGAAGTGAGAGACTTACTGAGGCTCAAAACTCGTAGCAAGATAGATCTTTGAAGCAGATTGGCTAGATTTGAAAACAACCAAACACAACTCCCCTGTTCCTGTAAATGTTCAAACGTTCAAATGTCCATGGTATAGAGGCACCTATGGTGATTGGATGGTGAGTTTGGAGGTCTCCACTATCATCTCTCCGAGAAAGTCATCCCCAACAACCTCCAAACAATCAAATGAAATGTCCCTTGTTCAATATTCTGACTCAGAGTCTGAACCAGAGACTACACCAACTCACCCAGTCACAAAGCCCCTAAACAGAACCCAGCCATCGCTGCCGCCTCTCCCTGCAGCGTTTCACGACCTCTATGCATCAACCACACGCGTGAGCGTGCAAGATGACCCTAGTCTACATGGTGGCCGAAAGCGCGCCATCCCCCATGTTGAAGGGAACTGGCCAACACACCTTTACCTTGAATGTAAGTTGCAGACCTCCTCTTGTTTGGCTTAAGCAGCGGCTAAGCTTCCATGATAGGGTACCCGACAAAAGAAGAGTTGTCGCTTCTGGCGAACTTGATCACTCAGTCTGGGAATACACCGACTGAAAGCGCGTACGACGTGCATAGTCTGTTGCATAGCGACCTTGGTGCCCAACTACCACTTCATATCAGCCTGTCTCGGCCGGTGGTACTTCGCACCGAGCAGCGTGCTTCATTCATTGACCAGCTGCAAACTTCTATTAAGGAATCGCATATCCCCCCGTACGTATTGAGTGCTTCATTTTGCGGTGAAAATATGATCTGACCCTCAACTAGATTCAAAATACAGCCCCAAACCCTCTACTGGGCGTCAAATTACGAAAAGACACGCTGGTTCCTTGTCCTCGGTGTCCAGCGGCCACAAGGAGATCATTTGAATCGTCTTCTCAGATTGTCGAATGATACTCTGGGTCACTTTGGTCAACCGCCGCTCTATGCAGTGTCCCACGCTCATGGGCGTCAGGACCAAGCATCATCTAATAATGCGGCTGATGATGTTCGCTCCGGGGATTTCTCTGGGTGCTTTCACATCTCTCTCGCTTGGACTTTGTCAGAGCCTAGCTCGAAAAACCATGATCAAATCGCCGGCATTGATTTGCGGGCTTTGAGGGATATTCAGATCGGGTTCGACAGCCTGAAGGCAAAAATCGGCAATAATGTCACGAGCATACCATTGGACAGCTGCTTGAAATGAGCCTGGCCTACGGAGTAGTAGCTCCATATTCCTTCCATGCCCATACCTTAGGCAGGGCCGTAAGCTTATGTCAATTCCGGGGGCTTGCTCTCTTAAATCACGAGAGACTCTTCTTTCACAGCTATTTACCACTGATTAAGGTCAAATACGCTAGATTTTCTGCAAATTTCACAATGAATACATACCAACTGACTTTATTGAAAATCCAAGGCTATTTGGTGGCCGAGCTTGTGTAATGTAATTACCGAAACGTGACCAACGCGACCGCGTCTTCTCCAACTCGACTTTCTTCCTCTTCACCTGCCCACGATGCAGGTCCCCAACGTAACTCTGGTAAGTTTTCGCAGATGCTGTTTCTTATGCCATTTTCCTTTCTTCCTCTTCACTTACTGACTACTTTTATCAGGAAGATCTCCAGGCTTTCCAGAACAAGCACTTCCCTGGCGAACCCCAAACACAGCCATCGTTCCTAGAAAATGACCTGGCCACGGATGAGGATCTCGGGTACTACCCAGATGGGGTGAAGCGCACGCTCACAGATGAGCAGATCGAAATGTTTAGACACAGCGAGATTCACACCTTGCTTCGCGAGAGGCAGCTCCAAACTGACAACGCCGAGTACGAGGCTCGGACAAAGCTGGCTGCACAAGCTGAGGCGGACTCTCAAGAAAACACAGTGCCGGAGCTGAATAATGCGGATTTGAAGAAAGCTACTTTGCCGCGCAGTGATCATCACGAGCGACTGGAGCAACGACCGGAAAACCAAGACCATCGCTCCGGTGGAGGATCTTTGGATTATGGGGATGAAAGCTCAAACCCTCCCCCGACCGAGCAGCCGCAGATCTCACGAGCACCATACCAAGGTCGTAGGATTGTCTCTTATGATGACTGATTGTCAGTGAGAATGGACCGTGTCCCAAAATTCCCTGCATCCGATCAACACTGGTCACACTCCAACGACCCCATGAAACCTTCGAGCAATGAATGATAACTGAGCTTCTCATCTTGCTCCAAGGATACAAACTGTGAGTGCTTTGTCTCTTCTACAACTCTGGCCGTTTATGATGAATACCTATCGTATATCATCCTTAGCCGGAAAGCCACGCCATCTGCGGATGTGTGAGGCATTGCCGACCTTAATCTTCTCTCTGAGGCCTACTTGAAAACTTACAACTCTCTGCACAATGTTTGGTTTAGATACTGACGGATCGTCAGACTCACAGGTTCGATCTCGATCTCGATCTCGGCTGAAGCTCAATCCGCATGACCCCATCATTGCTGGCAGCATCGTTCAGGTAAGGTCTTCAATCCCGAGCCTTCTTACAAATCTCTTGGTCATTTGCTGTGCCCGCGTGATGTTTGCAATAAACGTATTTGCTACTTCAGAGCCCTCCCGGGCCATGAGACAATTTTCACCATTTGCCTGATGGGCATAGCATCTTGACAGGTATCAAGTCTTAATCGGGATGCTGACGAATTATCGGAATTATAGGCTCATCGCTTTGCAATCTTGAAGCCTTGCATTCAGGCTTGAGCTGTCAGCATAATCGCAGCAAGGTGAGTGGCCAATGTCCCATGTCTTCCAACACCCCGATCTTGCTATGCCCGCGTGATGTTTGCAATAAACGTATTTGCTACTTCAGAGCCCTCCAGGGCCATGAGACAATCTTCACCATTTGCCTGATGGGCATAGCAATGTGACAAGTATTTTATCTTGATCAGAAACTGACGACTTGACATAGATTGATCGCCTTGGAAGCTAGTCAACGCGTTCAGTGGGACTAATGCCGCCAGTATGACTGCAACAAGGTGAGTGGCCGAAACTCAATCCATTCCAACCCCCAAATCTTGTTACTGTGCCCGCGTGATGTTTGCATTAAACGTATTTGCTACTTCAGAGCCCTTCGGGCCATGAGACAATTTTCACCTTTTGCCTGATGGACACAGCAACGCACCCCTTGGTTTTCCAACTCCTGGAACCAATCGGACATCCTCCGTCTTTGAAAATAATCTCTTAGACCATCACTGACACTGAATCTTCCAGTCTTGAAGCCAAATTTCCGTCGCGGGTCACCACTCCCTCTTCCTGCATAACTTGCACTGGCTGAAGCCTACGAGAATTTCCTCGACAGTGATATTGTCGATTATATCAAAAACTCCACGCAGATTTGCGACTGCCTGTCAAGGAGAAAGCGTGGTTGGTGCTGTTACCGTTTTATCCCTTCGTATGCATCCATGCAGGAGGTGGTCGGTACCCAAATCCGCACTGAGTCTTCCAGGCCAAATGACCGCCATCCAAACGACCTCGGTGATCCCCAAATGGATTATCAACAATATCTTCATGGAAGGACTACCCGACGACTACTCACTGTTCCGAATTCTGACTGAAAAAATCGGCTCTGTCACCAATTCAGACCCCAGAATCACCATGGATTGGGAATCCCTCGTCAATGAAGCCATCAACCACGAAACCACGGTCACCAGGGAAGGCAGCATCTCCCGGGTGGCTGCCCTCCACACCCAAACTCAGCCATGTATCACCTGTTCTGTTACGGAAGAGGCAATAGAGAGTTTCGGGACAAAATGGCCTCGTGTTGGTCTTGAACGCGTGTGGGTCGCTAAGCTGTTTATGGTCACCCCCCAATCCAGACATCACGATCACCATGTTGCTTTCTCTGTCACTGCCCGTAAATAGGTTCAGAACTTGTCGTCTTCGATTTCATCAGGTATTAGATTGAAGTGTGCTCATCTCAGTAACTACCAACCCTAGAGAGGTTAATCCTAGTAACTGATATGATTGAAACATGATCTATAATACATTTTGTTCCACAGCTCCGCTGAGGAAAAGTCTATATGAAAGTGGTATATGTACTCCGAAAGCAAAGCAAGACATGCAAGCCAAAGCTCAAGCATGGATATGAAAGTGAAAATGCAACAAAAACGCCGCGGGCTTTCCATGCCCAGTGCAAATCAAGTAAATCCTGATAAATGATTATATGCAGTGCAATCAAGCATTGTTCGCGCAAGAGAAACTCGCAGAGCTATTATCGGCACTGAGTGCTTTTCCAGAAACCCAGAGACCAAGGCCACACTGTGAGATATTAGCGATGTAAAAAAACAAAATAGTTGGAGCTGAACATACCAGCACAGCAGCAATGGCAACGATAGTGAAATTCAATGCTGTGAGAGCAATCTTCTTGGGCGATGAGAACCAGAGTCCCTTATTCATGTACAACCAGAAGATACCGCTCAGGCCGTAGGTGAACCAGCTAGCAAACAGGGCAGTCTAGATGAGGTTAGTGATAGGAATTTGGTGGGATTGAGATCACACATACGATCAAGGTGAGAAGGTTGCTGAAGACGGGAATGGCGGTTGAAACGATCCAGGCGAGAATCCACATCGCGAGGGCAATGCCAACCCATGAGCCCCAGGCGATCCAGTCACGCTTGTGCATACGGTCTGTACCTGAGAAGATGCGCAGGTATACGGATTTGAAAGCCACGTGGCCGTTGATGACGCCGGCAATGATGATCTAGGATTGTCAGTTTGATCTAAAAAAATTCCGCAGAATGAAACTTACAGTGGGCAGGGCAATGCCGTATGCAACCTTTGCCACGACTGGTGAAGCAGATCCTAGTGCTGGGGAGGTGACGTCGCTTCCAGCGTAACGGTAGATGACCAGAGAAGCAGTGATGTACAGACCCATGTCTATACCCTGTAGCAAGCAGAGGGACTTGGTGAAGTCCTTTGGGTTCTTGAGTTCGGCCATCAGGCCAAAGAAAGCGGCGTGGCCGCAGAATGCAAAGACGATATTGCACACGGCTGAGAAGCCATGGTATAGGTCTGTGTCGACGACTGCGACTACACCACTGCCAGGCTTGGTGATGCCGACTGCGATCATGACGATGATGACGGAGGCCATGATACTTCCGAATGCTGTGGCCTTGTTAGTGTATGTGGTAGCATGTTGCGATGGATATACATACAAACAAGAGAAAGCCATGACATCTTCACCAGGGTGCGAGGCAGCGACAAAATGAAGGAAACGAGCATGCCCACGATGCCGAACACAACAGAGCATGTTCCATGGTCTGTGATTGTGTTCATGGCAACGGTGAATGTCAACAGATGACTGGACATAATGAAGACAAAGAAAATCGTCCAGGCACCGCCGACGATCTCTCGACCCCATTTACCTCCAATCACTTCACCGGCATCAGCCATTGTTGAGATATGAGGATATCTCAACTTCATCTGCCCAATCACGTAGCCGGTATATGTGGCCAAACAGCCCAGGAAGAGGAGGACGAGGATCGCACTAAAGAGAATTAGCTTCATTCACACGCAAAGATATCCGGCAACGTACGGCACAAGACCCAGACCTGCGACAGCGGCAGGCAGCGAAAGCACACCCAGCGACACAGTCTCGGCAACCATCACTGAAAAGACGTTAGAATGTATTCGGGTGTATCTGTAAGATCAACGTACGCAAACCACATTGCCTAGAAACAAACAATTAGTTCCAGAGCTATCGCAGACATATAGAAACAAGAAACATACCACCACTTCAGCACCTTATATTTAACCTCTGCGAATTCCTCATCACCAAAAGCATCTTGACGATAGTTTGGGACTTCAAGAGACTTCTCAGAGTCGACCATGTCTGGGTTGACATCCAAGCTCTTCCTCATCGAAGGGGAGCTCATAGCGAAAGGGGATATCTATACTTCGAGATGTATGACGTCGAACCAGCCAAACCGAGACCAAAAGCTTAAAACACTCGAAAGATGTTGAGATCTTCGAGAATGCCGCTATCAAATAGAAACAGAAAAAAAAAGAAATCCAACACTGTAAGCTATGAAGCCCCCAAGCCCTCAGAATTAAAGAATCCGCCACCCTAAAGGGAAGTGGGCCGCCGAGTCGCGGACCGAGACGACGAATCATCAGGACGCGACGTAATAAAAATCTGAAAACGGGCTTAGTTAACTGGGTCTTTTTGCGTCAAGTTTGTGAAAAACTGGGGAAGTTGAAAACTTCGCTCCGATGCCGGCCTCCATACACTGTACGAGTATACTTACTGTTATGTTGAATATTGGGAACTTATGGGGAGAAGAGAGCTAGAAAATTCTAGAGTTGAGCTTGCTACGGATGCTCAATTGATAGTGGACATTATAGCTTAATTCGTCAAGCTAGCCTCTTTTTGACCTGGCGTGCATGATCAGGGCCTATGGCGCTTAAATGAAAGGCCGGCTCACTCGGATAGGGGCGAATATCGAAGGCCCCGGTGGCCAATTGGTATATATGATTACGGAGTACATACTCGAGTGTGTTCAAATTTTGCTGATGCTTTATCGGTGATTTTAATTGCGGTAGTCTGGCATAGTACAAAGTACATCCATTGTATGGTTGTATGATATTGCCATCGACGTACTCTGTACTTGAGTGCAACTATAGAACTACGTGTAGAGACAGCAACTTCAGAATTGATTCTGGGCACGTCATTCAATCTACAAATACATGATATCATTGTCATGTACAATCTACTGATTATTGTGGGCTACATAGGACGCTCTATTATTCGTCCGGCCCTGGTGGGTATACAGTATCAACATTGGTACTTGCAATGACCTGCAGTCACAGAGCTGACCTCGGGATACCGAGTTGCTAGAGTAGACTAAAGACAGTCCAGACCCTGGAACTCAAGAGTAAAATTTCCATGCTCATATGAGTCTCAAAAACAAATGTCTATACTAAGTACCATCCGCAGACAGATCGTTGTACAAGGCCTACCCCAACGCCAGGACTTGTCAGTCCAACAAAAATAACGCCAACCATATGCTATCATACAAGGTATCAATAAAAAGAATGCCCAATCCCATCATCCCTGACTCCTCCTCTTCAACCTCCTTCTCTTCCGCTGTGACTGGAGAATAGCCTCTTCGGTCAATATATCCCCAGGTAACTCGAAATCGGCCTCCGGCAGTTCAGGCACTGGATGTCCAAACGCTAGCGTCGATCGCGATCCGGCACGTCGAGTCCCATTTGCTGCCGCCATCGCCGCATCGCGAACATGGCGCTGACGGAAGAAGGAGGTAAAGGGGCCTTCGCGGGGTGCCGGGGCCCAGAATAGAGAGAGGGAGGCTTGTTTGAGGTTCTTTGGGGGTGTTGGGACTGGAGCTGAGGGAGGCTTTGCATCGGCAGTCGAGGCCGAGGTCAATGGCATGGTTATATTGGGCTTTTTGCGCTTAGGACTGGGTTTAGGTTCCTCTTCGGCGGTGGATTTCGTGGACTTTCGCTTCCGCGATTTCGCTCCCGCTGAACGTGCCTCCTGGTGTAATTGTCTGGCGGCTAAGGCGTCCACATCGTTGGGATCAGGGGTACTTTGCAAATCGGCTGGTGGAGGGGAACTATCTTCCTCGATGCGGGAATGTTTCCGAGGACCGGGTTCATCTGGTTTCTCTTTTTCGAGTCTGCGGCGTCTTTCTTCATCTTTCCAGGCTTGGAACTTGTTGACTAGTGAGACGAGTTCCTGGATGAGGATGTCGCGCTTGGGTTCGTAGTTTTTCTTCTCTGACTCGTGAACGTTCGGGAGGCCCATTGTTCGTAGCCATTCATGGCCTCGGAGCTCGTCCAGCAGACGTTCCAGGACTTGTTGCTCATGCTGGGCACGGTTACGTTCAATGTTGCGCAATTGCTTTTCTTGCCTTTCGAATTTGCGGTGGGCGCGAAAGTACGTCTCTTCCGAGAGGGGATCTGTGGCGGTAGGGTCTTGGGGAGGGGTGGGGAGTGCGAGCTTTTCACAGCCGTACGGGTTGAGAAGGGGATTTCCGAAGGGTGTAGGATTATGCGGAGGAACTGGGAGGGGTCGAGGGAGGTTGTCTATGACTGTAATTGTTGTTTTTGCTGCGAGGAACTCTGTGCGGACGTTAGACAGGCGGTTTACAGTGGCGTATCAGCACTTACCAGGTTCAGGGTCCTCCAGGCTGATGATCTGTTCGTAATTGTGGAAGTACTGGGCGAGCTCGCTTTTGCATCGCGATCCGGTATCCGTTGAGCGCAGCGACCGTCGTCCAGCACTCTTCTCGCCAGTCTGGTCGTCGCTCTTGCGATCGGGGGTCTCGGACGCGCCGTCCCCGCCCAGTGGCTCGTTGCGCGGAGGGCGTTTCACGGGGGAAGCGGGGGGTCGGACATCGTCTGTGATTGCAGTAGTGAGATTGCGCTGCTTTGGCGCAGGAGAGATCGTATCTAGCGGGTCAGGCGATTCATGGACCCCACGTAGTAGGTCCGCTGAGGGTGTTGCGGGCGTTACGGGATCACGACGTGCGCGACTCTTGCTGTTTCCGTTCTGGGTGGCTGGAGCCAATTGTCTGGGGACAACCGTGCTGGTAGATGAGGAGGAAGCACGACGTTGAGTGCGCGCCTTCAGCGGACTGACGCGAGTCTCGTCGACGGTGGTATCCAAGCAGTCTGGAGAGCTCTTGCGACGGTCTCTGTCGGGCTGGCTATCCAGGCGTCGCACAGAGCGGAGAGAAGGCCGCGACAGAAGGGCCATTGTAGCAGATTCAGTCGGTCATCGTGTGGACTGTTTTCTCGCGTTCTCAAGTTCTGCTCAAGTGGTAGGGATACGAAGAGTGCGGAGTTGAAGGGTTCTTGGCGCACCCTTTGGTCTCTCGTTTGTTCTCTGCCTCCCTTTTTATTCTTTCTAGTGTTTCTGTTCTTTCTCTTGTTTCTATTTCTTCTATTGAGATTTCTCCTGAAATTGCTTTGATTCCTGTTTCTGCAACCTTTCAAGGTTCCTTTGCATCTTCCCAGGTTACCCCGTAAAGGGCGAGTCTTACATGCATTCCATAGATCCAGATATATTTCTACGACTTTTTCTATACTAAACATCGGTACAGGCATAGCTCTGGGCAACATGAATCTTCCCTGAGTCAAGCCAAGCAAACCGAGAGCCGACGGAAAATGACATGCGTTTCCCCCCCACGGCCAAGTGGGGGACAGCAACTTTAGAAGGTCGTGACAATGCAACGTCGATACATCAAATACTTCACAGATCATATTCAAGTCGGGATGTCGAGAACCACCAAAGGCCCCAGAAATAAGCCAGGAATAGGCCAGGAACCAGAAGGCAGAAGCAGACCGATCCGTATCTCCAGATCGTCACACAACACCTCACACAAGGAGATCTCTCCGACGCTGTACTTCCGACTGGGATATCCCCGGTTTGGGATTTCCGGACCCCGCATGGGGGACGTGGGGGATTTGGGGCCTCGAAGCGGAGAGCTCCTTATGGTGGGGGACGTGGGGGTGGACGATCGTGGAGTTATTTAGTGAAGTGGCTTGCACTCTGGGAAACTCAACAGACACAATGACTGCAAACGGCACCAAGCGCAATCCTCTCCCTCATGGAGTCTACGTCCCAACGGTGGCCTTCTTCAAGCCCGATGAAGAAGTCGACCTGCCCACAGTCGAGAAGCACGCTGCCTACCTCGCCCGCAGCGGCGTCACAGGCCTAGTCACCCAAGGCAGCAATGGCGAAGCCGTGCATCTCGACCGCGAGGAACGCAAAGCCATCACTGCCGCGACTCGTCGCGCCGTCGACGCAGCCGGGTACCCCAACATGCCCGTCATTGCAGGCTGCGGTGCCGCCTCCACCCGCGAGACCATCCACTTCTGCCAGGACTCCGGCGCAGCAGGTGCCGATGCCGTCCTCGTCCTTCCTCCCAGCTACTACAAAGCGCTCGTGAGCACCGAGTCGATGCACGCACACTTCCGTGCCGTGGCAGACGCCTCCCCCGTCCCCGTCCTGATCTATAACTTCCCCGGCGTGCAATCGGGTCTGGATCTCAGCTCCGATGACATCCTCGCTCTGGCGGAACATCCCAACATCATCGGGTGTAAGCTCACTTGTGGCAACACAGGCAAGTTGGCCCGTGTGGCGGCGGGGAAGCCTGAGTTCCTGACCTTTGGAGGATCCGCGGACTTCACCCTGCAAACGCTGGTTGCGGGCGGAGCGGGCATTATCGGTGGGGTGGCTAATATGATTCCCCGGTCGTGTGTGCGGGTGATGGAACTCTACCGGGCTGGACAGGTTGCCGAGGCGCAGAAGTTGCAGGGAATTGTTGCCCGTGCAGATTGGGCGGCCATCCATGGTGGGTTCATTGCGGTCAAGAGTGGCTTGCAGTCTTACCGTGGATATGGGGGTCTCCCCCGTCGGCCTTGTGTGGTTCCTTCGGCCAAGGAGGCTGCTGCTATTCACGAGGAGTTCCGAGAGGGCATGGAGTTAGAGACATCGTTGGAGGCTTAGATACCCCGATTTTCGTGTTCCGGGTGATATACGGGATAGAACCTGTTTCATATGACACATAAAACCAGAACCAATATATGGCTAGACTGTATGCATTGAATGCAAGCCCAGGAGTAAACATTGGAGCTCTTGGCCATAGTATTCGTCAATCGTCAGTCTATTAGAGGGACATTAGCATTTGACTAGCGACGGTGACATTCGAACACGAGAATATGCAGAGTAACTATACTAAGGTACTATGCTATATTAATATAGTTAGTATAGAGTACACGGAGTAACTTTAGAGGATCGTGATATCAGATGTAACATACTGCAGATGAAACAAGGGGGATTGTTGGGGGCGCAGGTTGCATTGGGGCCATTCTTGATCGGCAGTCGATCTGGACATAAATAATAAAACATGTCCTTCTCCTTTTTACACGAGTAACGGCAACATGAAGCTCCTACTGACTCTTGGGGCCCTGGCAGTTGCCTCTGCGGTGCAAGTGAATCCACTTCCCGCACCCCGAAACATCACTTGGGGATCGTCCGGTCCTATTCGCGTCGAAGAACTGACCCTCAGCCACCAAAGCGCCATCGTCACTCGCGCCTGGGACCGAGCATGGAAGTCCATTAGCACTCTCCAGTGGGTTCCAGCGGCGGTCGAAGCCCCGATCTCTTCCTACCCAGCCTTCCCCACGGCGACCCCAAACGCGAAACGCGCGGAGACCCCAACGGTTCGCACCGTCCAGGTCCACATTGCCGACCACCACGCGGATCTCCAACATGGAGTCGATGAATCGTACACCCTGGAAGTTTCCCAGGATGTCCCTGCAATTCGCATCACCGCCAAAACCCCCTGGGGTGCCCTCCACGCCTTCACCACCCTCCAGCAACTCGTGATCTCCGATGGCAAAGGCAGCCTCATCATTGAACAACCCGTCAAGATCCAAGATGCACCCCTCTACCCACACCGTGGTATCATGATCGACACAGGTCGAAACTTCATCTCAGTGCGCAAGATCCTTGAGCAGATCGATGGACTGGCTCTGTCGAAACTGAACGTTCTCCACTGGCACCTCGATGATGCGCAATCCTGGCCGATGGAGATGCGCTCGTACCCCGAGATGACCAAGGACGCCTACTCGCCTCGTGAGATCTACACCGAGAACGACATGCGTCGGGTGGTGGCTTACGCCCGGGCGCGCGGTGTCCGTGTCATCCCAGAGGTTGATATGCCCGGCCATTCCGCCTCGGGTTGGCAGCAGGTGGATCCGGAGATCGTCACCTGTACCAACTCCTGGTGGTCCAACGATGTTTGGGAGCACCACACAGCTGTCGAACCGAACCCCGGCCAGCTGGACATTATCTACAACAAGACCTACGAGGTTGTAGAGAACGTGTATCAGGATTTATCGCGCATCTTCAGCGACAGCTTCTTCCACGTCGGAGCCGACGAGTTGCAGGCAAACTGCTACAACTACAGCTCTCACGTCACGAACTGGTTCGCCGAGGATTCGTCTCGCACCTACAACGACCTGGCCCAGTACTGGGTTGACCATGCCACCCCGATCTTCCGCGCAGTGAACAACCGCCGAATCATGATGTGGGAGGATATCGTCCTCTCGACAGAGAATGCCCACGATGTACCCAAGGACATTGTCATGCAGAGTTGGAACAATGGATTGGAAAACATCAAAAAACTTACTTCTGCCGGATACGACACCGTCGTCTCATCCGCCGACTTCATGTACCTGGACTGCGGGCACGGCGGCTTTGTCACCAACGACCCCCGCTACAACGAGCAGTCAAACGCCGACGGCAGCGTCAACTTCAACTACGGCGGCAACGGCGGATCCTGGTGCGCCCCCTACAAGACCTGGCAGCGGATCTACGATTACGACTTCACGACCAACCTGACAGCCTCCGAGGCGAAGCATGTCATTGGTGCTGAGGCTCCTCTCTGGTCGGAGCAGGTTGATGATATCAATATCTCGAACGAGCTGTGGCCTCGTGCTGCGGCGCTCGGTGAGCTTGTGTGGTCTGGTAACCGTGACAAGAATGGCCACAAGCGTACCAATGAGTTGACACAGAGATTGCTCAACTTCAGAGAGTATCTTGTTGCTAATGGGGTCTTGGCTAATGCCCTCGTGCCCAAGTGGTGTCTGAAGAACCCTCATGGGTGTGACCTCTATCAGAACCAGACTGCTGTTGCTTAGATCTTTCCAAGGTTTGATGTGGTCATCTAAGTTGACTTGTATATAGTTTATTTAGGAGTATGCAATATCACGATATCTTCCGGGCTAATCTTGGATTCTCACGATTCTCCTCCACTCTATGTCCTTCAACTACTGAGCTAAGTCGGATTGTTCACCAGAGACTTTTTCTCACTCTTCTGGAGTTCGCCTGCCACTGATTTGTATTTCATATTGAAATTTTCCAACCCTTCTGGAGAGGAGCTTGTGCGAATCATGTATCCAAACCAGCCTCACAAGAAAAAGCTCTCCTATAAGTGGTGAGCCACCCGATCAAGCCATTGACTCATCCACCCAAGTACCTCGCCCAGTTTCAAATCACCCATCTCAGTCCTCTCACAACCTGAATCTGTGAAGGCCATGTGAATCAATCACCAGACCAAACAATCACCACGGAAAAGACACCCACAGACCCTCCTTCCAGGACCATTTCCCAACCCACCCAGCTCATAGTCCGCGATTGGCTAAATACAACATTGTTTCTGAACGCCGTACAACCCACCTTCACCCAAGAGGCTCAGTATAGTGCCGAGTCCTCCCTATGGCTTCGGGCTCGGCCTCCATCTCGGTAAAACTAGTTCTCTACTAGTACAGCAAGTGACTCAGATTATATTACCGGAAGATTCCAGAGTATTAGGTCGGTTATATGGACATCACGTGTTCTACATTTCAATACGACCTCATGCATCTCCATCTATCATCTGATATATCCGACAACCTGCTACAATGGAGTCTGGCGACTTTCACCGAGAATTTCACGCTGCATGCTTCCTTGGCGACATGCCAAAAATCCACGAAGCAATCGCCACCGGCCTAACAGTGGAAGAGCTTAACGCCGGACTCAAATCCGCAACACGAGGGTGTCACATTGACGCAGTGGCCGCCCTTTTCAACGCCGGTGCTCACATCTCAGCAGAGTCAACGGGCGCTCTCCGCGGAGAATACGGGAACCAAGACCCTCGAGTCGTCCGTCTCTTCCTAGGCAAAGGCCTGGATCCCAACGCGACTAATTCCAAAGGCGAACCTATCCTCCCGTACGATGCTAATGGAACAAAGAGGCAAGATATACTAACTAACTCCGGTATAGCTCATTTTCCAACCCCGAAGCTGCAGCAGAATTGCTCTCCGCCGGTGCAGACCCCAACCGTCTTGGACCAAGAGGAGTCCCACCCCTCGGCTACCGCATCGTAAGCACCAGAGAACCCAGCACCGCCATGCTAGAGCTATATATCAGCCATGGCGCAAAACTGGAATCAAATCTGCTTTGGTACGCTGTCAGACCGCGTGTACCACAGAGCGAACTGATGACCCGCTTTCTGCTTGACAGAGGCGCAGACCCGAATGTGACTGGCGAGAAATGGGGCACGCCTCTGCATCTTGCTGCGCGGATTGGAAGAGTGGAAGTTGTTAGGATTTTGTTGGAGGCTGGTGCGGATCCTACTGCTTTGTTTGTTGGGAAGAGGGTATCAAGCACACCGGCGCAGATGGTTGAGCAATTGGGGGATGTTGAGAGACGGGAGGCGATACTTGGTCTCTTGCGGGAATACTCTGAGAGGCGAGAATCTAGAGAGATAAGTTAGTGTGGCATTGCTTGGATCAGGCTGGGGATGTTGAACAATTCGAATGTTTGGAAGGTATGGAATTCAGTGGGTCCAGCCCCAGGTACCAGGGAAGCACAAGTGAGCGATACGCCTGGAGAGACTGGTGGCATGGCGTGGCAGTAGAGGCAGGGAAAGTATGTGGACATGGCCAGCCGGCGTATTTAGAGAGACGGTGCCGAGACTGCCATTTTCGGCGGCAAAGGTAGTTTTGGCCCAGCATGAATGGTGTTTGTTATAGAGTAATATCCCTCATTATGGGCTTATTTATTTCGCCTTTGGGCGTTTTGTATATTGACCAGCCTCCACCTGTAGACCCCGGAACAAGGTCTGGACAGTATGGAAATCTCAATGAGACGAATAGAAAAATGGTAGGATTAATCGAGTAGAGCATATCAGACATTCTTTTACCTTTGATTGGTCTTTGCCTTTGAAAGGTTTCATTCTATATTCGTCTGTGTATTCACGGAGTTATTCGGCTGTGACTTCAGTTCACTCTCGACACTTCAATCTTGAAAGTCCCTTTGGTTGTATATTGAACTACTTAGATCGGAAACCGATCTCGCCTGCGTTTTGTACGAGCCGCAGAACAAAAACACGAGGTTTCTCTGCGTAACACTTACCCTATGACGCTCGGTTAACATTTACGATTCGGGAAAGTTACTTTGGACTGCTGACTATATGTTTCCTCATTGAATGTTTAACTCACGGGTGGCCTTTTGAAGTCGGACTTTCTGGATCTTGTGGGAGTGGTTTGTACTACGTTGTTGTTTCAACTTGAATCAGTGTCATTTTGGATATGTCTCTCTTGTTTCATGGCATTGTATTATTATCTATTACTAAATACATTGTGCCGTTAACCTTCCATTTTGGGGTCTAATGCGGTTTGTTTAGCTATAGCTTCGGAAAGCCGATCAGATATTCTTGGTTCCAAGATTAGCATGAAAAATATGCAATTCAATTTAATGCAGAATCATATCAATAACACCAATCTCGGAAACCAATCAACTTCTCACCTAGCGATACTTAAAATATGTTAATTGCAGAACGTTAAGCCACTGCCCACTTGAGCCTGTATGTCTTGACCCATCACTGCATTGCGCCTTGCTTAGATGTTACACTGCGTCACCCCAAGAGCCAGGCTCTAAGCGACACCCAGTCTGATCGCGGGCCGCGATAAAATACAAGGCCAGGGACTCTGTAATGAATTCAATTACCCCAAAAAGGGCAGAAAGGACTGCGTAATATCTCTATTCTGTGTCGCTTTTTGCAGGGTAGTCCCCTGCGCAAAGGGGGTGTTTCAGGGTGATCCTGGTTGATTCTGAGGTGCATTTGCCCACACTAGAGGATTTCCGAGTTTGTAAAGGGAAATTGAGATTGATCATGGGTTTTCTGGAATTGGTCTCCCGAGGGTGAGGTATTGTTAACTTTAGAACAATGTGACTGTCTGCACGGGTGCGGTCTTGATGTCCATGAATAGCATCAGGCACTCAGTCAAGCCACATTCAATCGCCAGGTGGTACTATCCGTTCGTTGTATTTGCATAAGCTTTTACAATCTGGCCTCTATAGTCAAATCTACTTCTAACCTTCTGGGTTGAAAAGAGGCGAGGAAGCAAGGTCCATGCCCGTAACCAAATCCCTAAAACCCTATGTAGCTAAGTACCATGCAACAGTAACAGCAAATCAGCAAATCCTTAAGAATCAAGCACAATGCGCATGATTCAAGCACATCATACGCTGTACAGTGCTCATTCAATATACGCCACATGTCGATCTTGGACGTCTTATAGGAGTTCCTGGTTGTAACTACACATGTTTACGAGTACGTGCTGTGTACTCCGCAGTGGCCAAAGGGAAAACCGGGTCCTGCACGATGATCACCCAGGTGCATGAACTCTGCAAATCAAACCATCAACATCAGACTTCAGGATCATCCGTTGAGTACGAGTAGACAGGATTTGATTCTAAAGTATGTGATCTGGTGACCACATAGCCGACCCCTCTACGTCCCACCAAAGTCTTCAAAACAACCAGGTGTGCGGAGTCCTAAGATCTGTTATGTCATAAGCGAACCATCTGGGCAGTCTGTTTCTCAAGGATGCGCCGGAGCGCCCGACTCCACGTCCGGGAGTGAGACGCTACACATTGCCGTAACGTCATTCTCGGAAAGGTGTGAAAATTGTTATCGATCGTGACACCGCCTCAGTGGAGAAGAATCTCCACTTGTGTGTCATTTCGGAGGCATTTATATCCTAACTACTTTAGGAAGCGTGGCTGGAGAGAGGGTACAGAACAGCAATTGTGTACAGTCGCGTAAATGCCATGCAAAAGGACCCAGTCAAACCAATATGGGTAAAAGGGAAATGCGCGAAAACGGAGGCAGCCAGAGTCTTGGAATATTCCCAATCCCAAATTTACTACGAGTAACACTAAGTGGAGTTTTGATCCACATTATCGATTTATCGGATCTTTTCGCCACGGATTGTGGACATTCTGCATGATTGTGCACAATAGACAACTTGAGTAAAAGCATCGTGTTTTCGCCTTTGTTCGGGATCGACATGGCCCACCTGGGCAATCAAGTTGATACATCAGAAAAATGTGGCGGATGTGTCTGTCCACCCCAGCGATTGGATTGCTGAGATGCATTGCAATCAATTTAGTTCCCGGTTCCGTCGCTGCATTCGTGTCGATCATAAGAAATGAGGAACCAAGGCTGCCGAGGCTTGATTTGTTCAAATCTATGCGTACGCGACCCTCCTGCCTTTTACGTTTACCAAGAGTATGCACTCGATTATTTCTCTAGTTGCTCTCGCCATCACTAGCCCAATGTGTCCTTGGATGTACCACGCGATGTCCTTGATCTATGAACTGATTGACAGTATCTGTCCCAGAAAGAAGGCCTTGAAACATAACCTCACACAAGGAGTGTCCCCGTTAAGCCCCTGCGTTGCTGGATTTACGTGATGGGCTCTGATTATGATGCAGGGTGTATTTGGTTGCTTAAAACCGTTGGTGTCTATTTATCGCTACTATATAACATACTGTTACATCTTAACCCAGGTTCCTCTAAAGTTCATCAGGCATGGAGTGCCATCAAGTACGGAGTACATATTCATAAATGCAATCTGGGATCCACTATAGCTTCCTGTCACACATTTTTAAGAACCTATCGGCTCTAAATAATTTAAATAATCCATTCACATGTGCAAGTATAGCCAAGTAGACTGGTCGCGCCCGAAACTCATGGGCGGAAGATATTCCAGCACGGATTTGATTGGATCATGGACGCAACGAGGGATAAAGAACATGTGCTCCGATATACATGTACAAGTAAGCCTATTCCCAACATAAAGCACGAGTC